TTAGAAAACAAATCCCAGATATTTAACCTCTCTTCTCGAACTTTAACTTTGGATCAAGAAGCCGTTTTGGGGAGGGGCCTTTCATTTGTACCCACACCACCATTTGATAAGTTCGGGTGGATAAGGGACCTTAATCTCTTTGTTAGGAAACTGGCCCTACACAAATTCCATTCTATACAAAACGAACGAAAGGCAAAAGATTTGGGACTTGCACCTAGGGACTTTCAATGTCTCACCAATCTGTTAACCCTTTTGGATGAAAATGATCCCAATATTATACCGAATCGTACAGGTTTAAAATCTAAGAGCCGTTTTACACCGAACTTTTCAAGTTATAGGAATATTGAACTCTTTCTGGAGGCAGTTAAAACTGAGATTGAAAAAATCAACATTAAATCTCTCCGCATCCATTCACGTGGTAATCTCCTGAGATGGGAACAACGTGCTTTAAAAGCTCTGCAAGATGATACTAACATTATCATCAAACCCGCCGACAAAGGGGGAAATATCGTGGTGATGGATGTGGATAAATACTTGGAAATGGTGGAACAAGTCCTTAGTGATACTGGGACATATACAGTCCTTAAGCAAGATCCCACTAATGCCTTTCTGTCCATGTATAAAGAGATTCTGGATGATGGTCGCAGTGGGGGGTTGCTATCGGGTGACGAGTTTGAATTTATTCTCAATCGTCACCCTAAGATAGCAACCTTCTACTGCCTACCAAAAATCCACAAGAATTTAGAGACTCCCCCGGGGCGTCCCATAGTCTCTGGGGTTGATAACCTTACCCAAAATGGCAGCTTGTACTTAGATAAAATTCTAAGACCTCTTGTCGAAACCCTACCATCATACATTAGGGATACGAAGCAAGCACTTAAATTGGCTAAGCTCAAATTCTCTTCTACTGCTCAACTATGTAGTTTAGACGTTGAATCTTTGTATTCATCTATACCTCACGATAGAGCTTTTTTCTCACCCAAAAAACCTCAAGGGATGACCCTCATACGATTTTCCTTTTACGTCTCCTTAAGTTTATTTTGTCACATAACTATTTTTTGTTTAACAACCGCTTCTACCACCAGGTGAGGGGTACTGCTATGGGGACGGCTTGTGCCCCCTCATATGCAAACCTCCACCTGGGTTGGTGGGAAGAACAGTTGCGTTATTCAGACAAACTAAGTGGACACCTATCTAAAGTCCTGTGGTGGCGTCAATATATCGACGATATCTTGATTGTCTGGCAAGGTACCCCCCAGGAATTCTTGGATATGGTGACACTTCTTAATCAAAATGATGAAAACCTCCGATTTACATCTGAATTCGGAGGACACTCTATAAACTTCCTTGATGTCACTATTAGTATCAGTGAAGAAGGTACATTTTGTTCTACGCTGTTCCGCAAACCTACAGCGACTAATTCCCTTCTACACTGGACCAGTCACCATCCGCGATCCCTCAAAGAGGGTATACCAGTAGGCCAATATCTCCGTCTTCGGAGAAACTATAGTGACATCCAAGACTTTATAACAAAGGCTAAACAACTTCGGCAACACTTTAAGGAGAAAGGTTATCCGAACCGCTGTCTGAAAAGGGCTTATAAAAGAGCACTCCAGACTGAGAGGAGTGTTCTATTATGTGACAGTTCAAAAATAGACACTAATCAGGACATTGGAAATATCCGTATGATAGCAACATTTGAAGTGGGTTGGCCTGAGGTTCGGAAATCGTTTGAGCGTTTTTGGCCCATCCTGCTCAATGATACACACCTGAAAGACACTTTAAGCCCTCACGTTAATATGACAGCCAGACGAGGATGGAATATCCGTGAAGTACTGGTCCCCAGTCACTTTTCTACTAAACCACAGCAACGTGCCACCTGGCTAGGCACTCCGCCAACAGGCACATACAGCTGTGGTAGATGTGTAGCCTGTAAATATATCCTCAAAGGCTCTAAGACTGTTCAGGACAGTCAGGGACATGACTCTTTTAAAATCAAGAGTTTTTTCAACTGCAATACGAAGGGCCTTGTATATTTACTGTCTTGTACGTGTGGACAGAAGTATGTGGGAAAAACTATTAGGGCCTTTAAGGACAGGATCATAGAGCACGTGAGATCCCCAAGAAATCGCCTCGAGACATCTTAAAGAAAATCATCAGGGGGACTCCATTAACCTTAGGTTCTGTGGGTTGGAGCTAGTCAAGAGGACCCCGAGACGTGGGAACTATGACAAAATATTAAGACAAAGGGAGTCAAGATGGATATATGAACTGAAGACACTTCAACCCTTAGGTCTTAATGAGGGCTTCTCTTTTGCCCCGTTCATATAACCTTCCCTTCATCGGAAGATACTATCAATTTTGTATTTAGTGTATACATCTTTTTTTATATATAAGTATGTACCTCTTCTATAGATATAGATGTGCAATTTCTTAATTAATACATTATGTATACATATAGACTATGTTTATATTTATATTTATAATTATTCTTATGGGGGTCGTGTTCCTCCTGCTCTAATATTCAATATACATACACATATCAGCAACTAAGATATATACATTTGTATTTTTCTATCCACCCTACTATTATTTTACTTTATTTATTTATTGGTTATTTATGTTCTTTACCACTCTTTTTGTCTCTTTATAATATATCTGAGTGGTTAACTGTAAATATGATGGGAATTTAATACCACTGTTTGAGTTTATCTCTATTTATTTATTAGTTAATCTTTTTGAAACTTCCCCCCTCCCTTTGTTTATTTTAAACCTTCGATCTCTTTTTTTCTTGGGTCTTTACAGTTCTCAAGTTAAGTTTACACCCTGTCCCTTTAATTGGAACAGGATGAATTGATGCCCGTACTGGTATGCGTGCGATTTGATACTTGTGCGCATGTCATGATTTCTGACATGCGCTCTCTGCGCGATACCCGTTCCGACGCCAAGTCTCCACACATGTGTGCTGCCGTCCCTGCTCCTCCTCCTCCGAGATCGAGCTTTTTCACATGGACGGATTGTAACCAATTAGATGAGGTGGGAGGCATTATGTACTATTTAAATAGGCAGAGGGGGATCGTTCTGTTTGGCGCTCTTTTTTGTATTCTACTTTGTGCCCTTGAAAAAGGTGGTTAATCCACCGAAACGCGCATTGGGCTGTCTATGTACTACATTTAGCTTAGTTTTTCTTTTTTTTTTTTACCGACAGTGTGGTTTAGCATTAATGAGCGATGTTTAGCTCTGGATAACATATATAGGGTAGTTGGGTCATTTATTAGGTTTGTGCAATTAGACCTAGTTTTTTCTTATCTGTTTAGACTTCTAACTAGGTCCTTTTGCTTTGTTTTCTTCTTTCTATTTTACCCTTCTCTATCCTTTCGATTTCTATTTATATTATAACCCTGTAGGTATAGCAGCAGAACTAGTGGCCACAATTGTTACTTATATAGCAACTTATTATCTTACTTTATTATGAGCTTGTTACATTTATACATGGTTTACTTGGCTACACTCTGCAGCTACTAGATTTAAGTGCTGGATTTATGGCTTTTATATCTACACTCATTATACTCTTCTATATAAGAGTTTAATATAGTACATTTATGTAGTATTTAGCCGTACTTTATACTCTGTATTTTGTATTGAGTCTCATTTACAGGGTTTATTGATAAGGTGTTTTGCCTTTTTTGTTCCTCTGATTTTAACACGGTTTTTCCCAATAAAATTGTTTATTATTTTTGAGACGTTATCCTGGGGTGGCTTGGAGGTGATCCGCTCGTTTTTTTCACGAGGTGATCATTCCTTCATCCTTCTATTTCTCTTCTTAAGACTGCATAAAGACAGTAAGGATTTTTTTTAATTTTTAACCACTTAAAGATGGAGGCGATTGTTAAACTTCTGAAGCTAACCAAAACCTAGAATTATTCATCTTTTGTGACGTTAATCATCCCATATTCTATTTACTCTAAGAGATGTTGTATATTTAACATATGTCATTATTCATTATGTAATTTCATTTCATTATTCACCCCACATGCAAAAAAATAAGTAAATAAAATATATATTTTTTTGCTAACCTATCTGCTAATTAAAGAGTCAAGCTGTTACTACAGAAAGTTGGCTGTGAAAAAAAAAAACAAATTATTCTCATCTCACCTCTCCAAATAATTTTTATTTTCCCCCGTTCTGATACCTCCTCTTTTAAACTATCCTTTCCGTTTTAAAAGGTTCTGTTCTGGGAAACAAAATCTTGGTGCCAGATTCCCATGGCAACACATAAATGAGAACTGGCATCGAGAACACCTTCCTGCAGGCCATTAGACATAAGAATCTTTCATGTTTGTCCTGGGGTGTTGATATAATCCAGAAAGTCTTGCAGTAAACCGTTATACTTGAAAGCTTAACAGCACCTACTTTTACTTTTCCCTTTCTACTTATGTTGTTACTACAGAAAAGTTCCTAAATATTTTATCTGCATACTGTGTAAACACATGGAGCAAATACCACTACATTCGAGGAAAATGGATAAAATAAATGACAAAAAAACAGTAAGAGCATAACACAGGATTCCAAGACTAATAATGATTTTATTACTTCTATCCAGAATGGCATCTAAATGTTAAGGAAACAATGACTTAAAGCAGACAGTATGTATAAACATAACATAATAAGCCATGCTTTTCCAAATATCTTAGAGATCTAACTTATAGCAGGTAAACACATTTATAAAATGCAGTGACATTTACATGAGGTTTATTTCCTAAACTGCGAATTGCACAGAAGTGACAAAAATGTTTTTTGTTTTTTTTAAATGGATAAAATAGCCTAGCCGAGTTGAAAAAGGAGTCTTTTTTCCCAGTTATATATTTTTGCCTAAAATGTGCAATCCCCTTTTCGGTTCCTCAAAATTACCAATTTCATTAACCCCAATTTGTTGCCAACTAATAGAAAATAGTAAACATTTTCATATAAAATGTACATACATATTCCACAGAATGAATTTATGAAATTGGCCGTCTGGAATTATATAGTTTAATACCATTCTGAACAGAACACCGGGCATATTTAGTCAACAGTGCTCCAATGGTTTGCTTTTCCCCGCACAGGTCCCTAGAAAATAACAGAAAATCAGATGATAAAAAAATGTACTGTGCATCAAAAGAAAGGCATAAATAGATACAATGCAACAAACACATGCAGACATCACAGGGACAGTGTCTGCCTTATAGAAGTAGACAAATAAGTGGACTTATGTTCTTATGTTATCAAGAATTCATGGGCAAATTAAAGTCCACTGTAGAGATGACCAACCTTGTCCTTTCAGCTTTTGCTTATTCATCACGACCACTTGACTATCAAAATTCACTTATTGAGAACTTTGGTATGGTGGAGTAAATATAACCTGAACCAAGTAGCAACATACATATTATTAAAGGCAAATATAACAAGAGTCACACAAAGAAAAGAAAAGAAAATTAAAAACGAACAATTGAAGGGCCAAATGCATCCTAAAATGAACAATTCCTTGATTAATCAGGTTTGTTCAGTAAGCAGCCCCTGCTACACTCCAACCAATGTTTATGGTTTAAGGCCAGTTGAGTGGGGTAGGGGAGATTTTATGCAGAAATTGAGAGCTCAGGTATTGGGAAAAACTGATCTGCAGGGTTAATCCTGAAGATTCTAAATGAATAGGTAACGGATTCACAAATATATCAATTACTCACTTTATATATGGAGCGATGTCTGCTTCCATCCATTTCTCTCTCATAGTAAATAAGCTGTTAAATCGCTCCTGGGTGTCTTCTGGTAAGTCCTCAGTTTTCAACAGACAGACAGTCTCTGGTCTAGATGTTCGATCCACCAAGGCCAAACCCTGAAAAATCAGATTTATTTTTTTTAAAGAAATTGGAAAGGATATGGAAGACCTACTGTTCTCTAATTTCTGTTACAAAAACTAAAAGTTATGCAACCCTTCCAGGTTATACAACTCACAGGGTAAATACTCACAATATATTACAGCACCAGTAAACAAGCAAAATAGAGAGTAAAAAATAAAGCATTCATATTTGTATCAGGAAGACACTCTAAACTGACTTTGACCCCCTCACATAAGCTTCAAAGTCCATTTTATAGACAGACATCCATGCTTCTTGTGTCTGAAAACACAACATTGAACGTATGGAGTAAGGCAAATGTATTTCAATAATTCCAAGAAATAGAAGATAATACCATCAGAGGGAGTAAATAGAAGCTGCTGGAGACTTCTGTTCACTTGTCCATGGGTATTTCCATCATTCATTAAAAACATAAAAAGGTGCTCCCATGCCATGTGTGAGGCTTTTTCTGCATGATTTTATTGGGAGGCACACTAATGTTCCATGAAAACCTATGGGAAAACCAGCATTTCCTGAGACGTTTTTGAACTGGATGTACCTGAGTGAAGCATCAGAGCTTGGAGATTTGCTACAAATAATTGGCAGTCAATAGCAAGTATTTAAATTTGTTATTAGTATAATAAAGCCAAGCATTTTTTCCCAACTACTCCCTGGGTCTTACCTTCCATTACATGGTGGTGATAGCATCAGAGGAGAAGAACCCTTGGATATACCCCCCCGAACTATATAAGGGCAGGCACCCTGAGGCGATACTATACTCTTGAATCTTGTGAGTGCATTCTAATCTGGCGTGCATTAATATTTGTTTTAACTGTATTACACTATTGTATTATTTTGTCCTCCATCTGTAGGAGGTCAGCTATATCCTCTATACTCTTGTTTGGCAAAATCTTATGCACAGGATACAGTCTGGAATATCCTGAGAGGAAACTGCTTTATATTTATTAACGATAAGTGAATTTATTTAAACATCACTCTATATTGGTGTTTGATCTAGTCTGTTCTTGTACGACATAGTAAAATGAGGCAGCATCTTGCAGAATGATACTGTGATATTAATGTTAAGTTCACATTTGTTTTAGGTTGTGAATTATACAAACGAAAACAGAAAAGTAACCTGCCTTTAATTGGTCAGTCCTAGTCGTCATGCCTTCTGGGACGCTCTGCTGCCACACTTCCTGAAATTCAGCAAGGTTAAACTTTACTGCATTCTGGAGGAGCATTTGGGCTGTAGCTCTGCATATTTTGTCCTCATTGAGGGCAAAATAGATAACATCTAAAACAGGAAAAAGATCAAATTAAAATGAAGCTCACATTTATGTCTGTACGGATACTCTCTAGAATACAGAGACTATGGCAATCATTGAATTGCAGGCAGTTCTTAATTCAAAATTAGATTTTATAAAGAAATAATCCAAGCACCAAACCAATTACAGCAAGGCACACCCTGCCTGTACTCTAGCCCAAAGTTCTATGCTCAGAGCCAAGCCCGATGGTGCAGCGCATAGTTCAGGAGAGCAAACAGAGGCTCCTAAGCATAAGCTTTTGACTCACTTGGTTATGGTATTTGGCGTGTTCCTTCAAGAAGACGATATTGAGCAACAATTATACAACCAAAGTCCCACAGAGACCTACATAATAATAATTGCTCAAACATATTACATTAAATAATTATGGAATTTTATCTTTATCACGTGGTAAGTAGCCAAACCTACTTTGTTTTGCAATTCAAACTTTGATTGTCAAAATATATACTTGTCAAAAGAGAATAATGATAACTTGAAATTTATAAGCATGACAAGATATCCCCAAGTTGTGCTATTTACTGGAAACTCCAGGACAAAAAAAAAAACCCCACCTCCTAAAAGGTCGGAGAGGGGAAAAATGCAAAGATCCATAGGAAGGGAATAGTGTTGAAAAAGTTGATATAAGGAAGGAAATCCACTTTATTTTAATACAAGCAAAGTACACTACTATAAAATAACACACAATTGATCTTACCATCCTCTTTAAACTTCTTGCCATAGCAGTTTAGACAGTGCTCAATCATTTCCCTTGCAAAATAAAACCAGAAAGCAGTGTTAAATAGACCAAGTAACTCCACATTAACAGTTGGAACTTTAATTAGCAGTTGTCAATACTTATGCTTGTGAAAAAAAGCAAACAAAAAACACAAAGTGCAAGATTTGTATTTTTGCAAAATGAATATTCTGTATTTCTAATCTGGAAAAATAACTTTGTAAAGGGAAGAGAAAAACCAATCAAAATAACCTGTTGGACCTCCAAGTGATATAAAACAGTATTTGTGAATAAGGATCTGCTAGAACTTTTCTAGTCTCTGTAAAACCTTTGAACTTTATAGTTCAGGAAACTGTCAATTGTGACTGAAGGACACTGTAAACCTGGATAGTGTCCTGCCATGTGACCTGGATAGAGGGAAGGCTTAGGTCAGACAAAAGAACTCTCTATATATATTGAAATACAAATCAACTGAGCGCCCCCTGAAACAGGTTGCATCCCTGTAACACTGCTCAAAAGCACAGACTTGGTGAAAAAAAGAGAAATAACAAGAAGGCCTCCAAAGTCACTCATTTAGACCCCTATGGCAGGAGTAGGCAACATTCTGCACTCCAGATGTTACGCACACCATTCCCTATAATGGTCTTAAAGCAGGGCTTGACAAATTTGTTTGGAATCTAGGAGCCAGCTAAAAGTTAGGAGCCAGTCATTTTCAACGAGAAAATTCAATTCTTAAAAGGGACACTATAGTCACCAGAGCCACTACAGCTTGATGTAGTTGTTCTAGTGTCTATACCCTGTCCCTGCAGGAGTTTCAGTGTAAACACTACCTTTCCTGAGAAAAGGCAAAGTTTAAATTTCTGCTTAGTAACACCTCTAGTGACAGCCACTCAAACGGCCACTAGAGAGTCCTGGGACACTGCTGCACCATGTGCAGCATCCCGGTTCAGTGTCTCCAAGCTCTGCATGGCGGCGCTGAATGAGGAGATGCAGATTGGTACATTTGCTGCGCATGCACAAAATCCTCCCAATGCTTTCCTAAGGGAAAGCATTGGCTTAGCCGAGATAATAAAGATTGATAATCTCAGCCATGGCGAAACTGGCACGGCGTGGGAAAATGGGAAAAAAGGTGAGTAAAAATACCTTCCTCATGCTATCGGAGGGGGCAGGTACCTAAACACGCACACACACACTAACAGAATCACATACACACTCACAACAGGCTTTCACACACAAACTCTTGACAGGCTCACACACTCTTACACTGACAACAGGCTTGCATGCACACTCTGACAGACTCACACACACATTCTGATAGGCTCCCTCACAAACTGGCAAGGTCGCTCACACTCACAAACACCGACAAGCTCACAACAACAGGCTCACATACACAAATGTGAGTGAAATACCTTTCCTTTGAATATATACCACATCTGGACATACAATATTTCACCATTGGCAGCTTTTTCTTTTGTTTCTTATCTTCACATATATGGACTACCTACCATACGGACGGAGCAACACTTGAGGACTATTATCGTATTACCGCACATCAGTGAGACTGTTTCAATTTATACTCATATATCTGGATGAACTTTACCTGATTTTATTATTGTTTATTTTATCTAAATACATTTTTTACAAATTTTTTATCTTTCTGTCTAAGCGCAGCCCTTAACTCCCTTTCTTGCATTTTCTTGTTTCTAAAAGGGTTTCTTGAGGGATTCCCCTTTTAGGGTTGCTGCTTAACTGAGTTAGCGCACACTCTTCCCCTTTTCTGTTTTCACACACACACCCCCACACTTACTTTGACAGGCTCACACATACTTACATTTTTGTTTTAATTGAAACCCACTCAGCCTCCCTACCTTTGGGAGAGCTGAGTGGGTCTTTCCTTGGGTCCAGTGGGGCTACTCTCTTCCTGTGCGAAGGAGCAGTACTCTGCCTGTAGCTCCTCCCTGCTCCCTCTGTATTGAAGTTGGGTCAGAATGATGTCATAATGATGCTCCCTGCATCATTAGACAGCACGAGAGAGCAGAGAGAAGCTGCAGGCAGAATACTGCTCCCTCGCCCGCCGCCCACAATGAGTTCCCCCTGACAGCCGCCACACTAACTAAAGAGCTGGCCAATCCCAGGCGCCATGGCAAAATTTCTAGTCGCTGTGACAACCTGACACCTGATATTTGACGAGCCCTGTCTTATCCATAATGCTGGCAAAACATCAAGGGATATGAAGTCTTCAACATCTGGAGTGCCAAAGGTTGCCTACCCCTGCCATTAGGTGATCTACAGAGGAAAGCATAACCTGGGAGGTCACAAAAATAGCATAACTGGCACTTATCTGATATGCATCATCATCTGAAGCTCAAGCCCAGCCATCCGCAAGGGACACCAACCCAAGGGACCTTCAAGTGAAGGCATCATTGGATGACTTTGAAAATAAAAAACTACACTGCCACCATTATGCACTCATCAGTCAACCCCTGGGACATAAAGGACTTCGCAAGAGGAATGGTTGTTCCTCGAGATTAAACACATCCACAAATTCATGCTTGTAAAAAAATAAGTCGTCTTACTTCCCTCAAGATTTCACCTTCCTCCTTTGACGCAGAAACAGAACTGGGGATTCTATAGGAGGGGCAAAAGAGGAAGTAGAGTAATAGAACATTGTTTTATGGGTCTACCTTCTCAAATACACCCTGTTCCAAATTATTATGCAAATTCTATTTAAGTGTCACAAAGATTAAATATTTTGTTTTTCAGTTTAACTCATGGATGGCAGTGTGTCTCAGGGCTCTTTTGATCACTGAAAACAATCTCGGACACCTGTGATAATGAGATTGCCAGGTGAGCCCAATTGAAGGAAAAACTACTAAAGGAGGGTGTTCCACATTATTAAGCAGAGCACCATTTTCATGCAATATGTGGAAGAAAAAGGATCTCTCTGCTGCCGAAAAGAGTGAAATAGTTCAATGCCTTGGACGAGGTATGAAAACATTAGATATTTCACGAAAACATAAGCGTGATCATCGGACTATTAAGAGATTTGTGGCTGATTCAGAGCACGGGTTTGTGCAGATAAAGGCACATTGAGGAAGATTTCTGCCAGATCCATGCATCAGATCAAGAGAGCAGCTGCTAAAATCCCATTACATAGCAGCAAACAGATATTTGTAGCTGCTGGTGCCTCTGGAGTCCCGTGGACATCAAGGTGTAGAGTCCTCCAACTGTGCATAAACCTTCTAGTCGGCCACCACTAACCAATGCTCACAAGCAGAAACGGCTGCATTGCACAGAAAATTACATGAAGACTAATTTTCAAACACTATTGTTCACTGATGAGTGCCGTGCAACCCTGGATGGTCCAGTTGGATGGACTAGTGGATGGCCACCCTGTTCCAACAAGGCTGCGACGTCAGCAAGGTGGTGGTGGAGTCATGTTTTGGGCAGGAATCATGGGAGGAGAGCTGGTCGGCCCCTTTAGGTTCCCCGAAGGTGTAAAGATGACCTCTGCAAAGTATGTGGAGTTTCTGACTGACCACTTTCTTCCCTGGTACAGAAGGAAGAACTAGGCTTTCCGTAATAAAATCATCTTCATGCATGACAATGCACCATCTCATGCTGCAAAGAATACCTCTGCATTAATGGCTGCTATGGGGATAAAATGAGAGAAAGTAATGGTGTGGCCTCCATCCTCCCCTGACCTCAATCCTATTGAGAACCTTTGGAGCATCCTCAAGCAAAAGATCTATGATGGTGGGAGGCAGTTTACATCCAAACAGCAGCTCTGGTAGGCTATTCTGACATCTTGCAAACAAATTCATGCAGAAACATTCCAAAAACTCAAAAAGTTCAATGAATGCAAGACTTGTGAATCTGCTATCAAATAACGGGTCCTACGTTAAAATGTTTAAAAAGTTAAAGTGTTGTTATAAGTTTGATTGAAATAGCTTTTGATTTCAGTAAATATGCTGCAAACACAACAAATGACAATTTTCAGTTCTTTACAACCTACAAAGTATTTTGAAACTTACATAATAATTTGGAACAGTGCATTGTAAGTTTTTTATGTTAAAAAAACCCCAAAACTGTTATCAATAAAATTTGAATTGTATTCTTAATACTGTAGTTGATAACATGAGAATTATGCTGACTTATTTACATTATTTAGGTAAATGAGAAAAATATAATTTGCATAATAATTTGGAACAGGGTGTAGGGAAGAACTTTATCCCATATGTCATGGCTTGTGGGCTTTCACCATACAAGGAAGGAAAAATATTATTACATGGAACATTGTCATCATTGTACAGTGTTGCGGAATTTGTTGGTACTATATAAATAATAATCATCTATTGTCTATAAGTTCCCACTAAGAGCTTTTCTTTAATATTTGGAGATTTACTAAATTAAGCTATATAAAATTACATTTTAGCTCATACTAAGCTAGTTAACTTATCATAGAGAACTGTGCAAAAACAACAACATAAAATATACTTTCCCCATGACTTAATTTTTTTATGAAAAACATAAAACAAAGATTGTAGACGAATGAGAATATGTCTCTATAGGTTTTCCACATACAGAATACCCAAATAATGAAAACAAAGCAAATACGTGCTTCACAATGTTATATAGGTCTTTACGTGAGGACAATAAAGAAACAACATTGGCTCAATGAAGAGTGACAGTTTACGCACATGCACCCGAATGCTATCAGTAGCACTGAACTGGACAGAAGGCATTTGAATAAATGACTTCATCAGAGGGAGCGGTGACTACAGCATTGCGTTTAATTGCTTTTTTTTTGGTACTTTTTATTCTAACAAAGGAAAATGGTGCACTAAAAAAAAAAAAAAAAAGACAAAAAAAAAAAATAATATACTGACTCTGGCTCCAGGGGTCTCAGCTCTTGAAGACATTCATTTAAAGGAACTTTACTGAACGACCACGACTCAGAATCAACTAGCTGAGTCACATGGTTAAGAATCTTCATTTCATAATCAAAATCAAGGATTCTCCAAAAACCTGTAATGCAGATTAATACAAAATAAATAGGTTATTCCTTACAATTTTTTTAAAGAGGCAGTATTTATCACACAGGATTACTACGAAAATGTTGAATAAGACAGAATGGGGAATGTGCAAGCACCTAGAATTTCTCTGAAGACTAAATGTCAAAATTCTGCATTATCAACACAAATTGGGATGTTAATGACAAGCTGAGAGCACAGTGTAAAGGCACAGATTTGTATGGATAATGAGAAAGTTAAACCAATCACAATTGTTTGGACAAAAACACAAAGGACTACATCCAAAGACTCCTTGCATCATGATCCCTGCTTATTGTACTGTTTACTATAGTGGTTATGTGTTTATAGTGGTTTGAGTGTCCATGCGTTATCTCCCATAGTTCCCATGATTGTGCTTTCAGAGCAGATAAGAGAAGAGGCCAGTTATAGCTACACAGGCTATATGTAAAAAAACGTTAAAGCTTGGTTTCAACTTTGAATTAATAGATTTGTGCCTTTTTATTTAACTATAACTGGCAGATCCATTTAGATAGCATAATCCATAGACACACAGTATGTATAACAGTCATAATTCACAAAGTTCTGTTGAGATTTGAAACCATTTATGTGGTTACCCCCTCCTTACAATTTTGATGCATAAAATATATGGAAGCTAGTTTTTTTTTTTTTTTTAAACAGTATAAGTGTAAACAAATCCCATCATGTGTAAACTCGAATTACCATTTGAGGACAATATACTCATTTTATGGGCCTGCATCGCGGCTCAAATGTCATGCAAAAAAAAAACAAAACAAAACAAAAAAAAACCCTTTTCACCTGACTTAAGATAGTAACTTTGTTGTTATAAAACAGAGACTCTGGTACAGACAAATCATTACAGGCTTGGTTTTATTTGGCAAGTCAAAAAAAAAAAAAAAACTACTTTGATTAGTTTCTCTCATTAAAGGACCACTATAGTGCCAGGAAAACATACTTGTTTTCCTGGCACTATAGTGCCTGGAGGGTGCCCCCACCCTCGGGAAGGGGTAAAACTTATTTTTTTTTAAAAACACCCTCCTTTCTAAAAAATATTCTGCACGTGAAAACTGGTGGGCGGTAAGAAAATGTTTCCATCAAGAAAGATGCATTAGTGGGCGGTAGACAGAAAAAGGTTGACTACCACTGCACTAGAGGCTGGATTAACCCTAATATAAACATAGAAGTTTCTCTGAAACTGCTATGTTTATAGAAGAAAGGGTTAAACCTAGCTGGACCTGGCACTCAGACCACTTCATTAAGCTGAAGTGGTCTGGGTGCCTATAGTGGTCCTTTAAGTCCTAGGGGTCTTCAACAGTATGCAGCCACAAAAAGCAGACAGCATAAGAATATGAATATTATTTTTATATAGTACTTTTCAAAGCTCTTTAGAGAATACTCTTACATTAGACCAAAACAGAAGCTTAATAAAAAGGTGTTAATGCAATATTCAAGGATAGTTATAAAATAAGGCAGCAACAAACATACCTTTAATATTACAGGCATGTATAACTTTCAAGTGCTCTGACAACTCTTCATTGCTGGCTTGAATTTGATTCAATAGATCCTCTGTGGTATACTAATATAAACATTAAAAGAGAAAAAAAATTACATATAATTGTTATGGGTTTTATTCACTAAAATGGGAATCATAAAAAATGGACTAGACAACAAATGGCAAGGACAATGCACATTTTAGAATAAAATAGAGCTGGAAAACTGCACGAATTGGAGATTTTTTCCCAGTTTGGATAATTCAGCTCCAAAAGGTTACATTCTTGTACAATAGAAAAAGGGGTATGTGGTGGTATCTACAGGTCAATATCTTAATCTACAAATTAGATGGTGATAAAAACTATGAGGAATGTGTTTTATTGTTCAAAAGAGACACTAAGCACCAAAACCACTACAGTTAACTGCAGTGGTCCTGAAGCCTAGATGCTACCCCAGTCCTAACAAACGTAAGCATTGCCATTTTAGAGAAAAAATAATTAATATATATATATATATATATATATATATATATATATATATATATATATATATATATATATATATATATAAATAAAACCGATCTGATATATATTCAAACACTACTGGATATTCCCCAAAATTATAAACCACACATCTGACTTCTTATTTTAAGTACATTTATTACTGTAAAATAAATACAAATACATATTTAAACATAGCTTGACGTTTCAAAGGAAAAAGTTCAGGAGAGATCTTTCTCTAGAGAGCCGATGTGGAAAATGGAACACAACTACACCCTAACTCAAGTTAATATAAAGAATGCGTGTGATAAAGCGGTCTGGTGTGCTTAAAGCGGCACGGTCATGTCGAATCCTGTTGTTTTTTTTTAACCCCCTTCCGGCCTCCACTACATCTAACTGACACCCTAGTCACCCCCAAATGCCCCTAAGCCCCCCATATCACCTAGTTTTTATTCCACATTTTCTGCCCCGATCTTTATTCAGGGCGCTGCCATCTTTGTGTGGGTAGATGAAATCCCTGTGGGACACGTCATCTGCCCACACTAGATAGCACTGAGAGATTCCCGCACATGCCCAGTGATACACCTGGACATGCGAACGGGAATTTCATCTATTTATTCATCAGACAGACGAATGAGTGAATAGAAATATCAGCCGAACAAACAAACACCGAATATCAGTGTTCGTTCAGTTTATTACAAGGAGGGAGCTACCGGCATGCAGCTCCCTCCTTGTAATATGTAAAGATAGAAGTGGCAGGGAGCAGTGCTCCCCACCACTTCATAAGCCCCCCCAGGCCCCCTTCCTCACTCTATGAGGAGTTAAAATCTCCCCAATGCCCCTACTCGCTATACCGCGAGTAAGGGTATGTTTAGTAAACAGTGAGCAGCCTGTGGCTGCTCACTGTAAAAAAAACAAAAAACTATTGGTCCCCACCCCTAAACGACGGGTGGGGGCCCTAAAGTAAAATAAGGGGGGAGACCCACCAATCAGAGTGTTCTTAGCCTAATTGCAGGGCGGGGCAAGGCTTTATAAGCCTTCCCCCACCCTGCGGAGCTCAGTCTGCGCGGAGCCCTCCTTGGGTGAAGATGGATTTTTTTTTGCGCTCAGGTTTTTTCTTTTTCGTCTGGTTTTATTTTTTGCGCTCAGGATTTTTATTTTATTTTAAGTTCGACGGTTATGATGGTTTTTTTATTTGGCCTTTATTAGGGCTGAAAAATGAAGATTCGACTACTGTCCTCCCCCCCGGCCCCCACCCCTGGGCGGCGGCCCTAAGTCAATTCCTCCCCCCCTAACCCCTAGTCACCCACCCCCCCACCCAAAAAAAAAAAGTCCCTATCTACCCCCCTCACCCTAAAAAATAGTGAGGGGGGAATAAAATAACTAACCTGTAAAATAAAATTAAACTTGCCATTTGACGTCTTTTTTCTCAAATCTTCATTTTTCAATTTTTCAGCCCCAAAAAAGGCCAAATAAAAAAACCATCATAACCGTCGAATTGAAAATAAAATAAAAATCCTGAGCGCAAAAACAGACGAAAGAAAAAACCTGAGCGCAAAAAAATAATCCATCTTCATCCATGGAGGGCTCTGCGCAGACTGAGCTCTGCAGGGCGAGGGAAGGCTTATAAAGCCTTGCCCCGCCCTGCAATTAGGCTAAGAACACTCTGATTGGTGGGTCTTATTTTACTTTAGGGCCCCCACCCGTCGTTTAGGGGTGGGGGCCAATAGTTTTTTTTTTTTTATATTTATTTTTATTTTATTTATTTATTTTTTACAGTGAGCAGCCACATGCTGCTCACTGTTTACCAGACATGCCCCTACTCGCGGTATAGCGAGTAGGGGCAGATCATTTACTAATACTAAGTAATCTTGCTTAGTATTAGTAAATGTGGCTGAAAGACCAATTTAGGTCTTTAAGCCTTTTAGTAGATAACTCCCTGATACCGTGGGAATTAGGTAGTTATCTACTAAACGGCTGCAAGGTGCAGCCACAGCAAGAATAGGATCGGAGTTTCATTCATTCGAATGAAATTCCAATACGAATAAAGTGCCGAATTGCATTCAGTTAGAACGCAATTCGGCAGTTTCATCTAAAATGACGGAAGCATCGCGGGAACACAGAGGAAAGGTAAAAATTATGGGAAAATTGCTCTGACCAGCAGAAATGAAGCACACTTTGCTCCTCCGCTGGTCAGAGCTGGTCAAGCGGAGGAATCCTCCATAAGGCAAAGAGTCCCTACTTTGTCTTATGATTTTAAAGAAAACTAAAGAAGAACAGATGCTGAGAGAGGGGGAGAAGAGAAAGATTGAGGAAAGGTAAGTTCGGCATGACAGTGCCGCTTTAAACCAATCAAATTTGAACGAACATACATACACAATTATACAAAGAAAGACATATTCACACCATCTGTCCTATATTCAACCAGACAACCAATGACACATAAGCCTAAAATATATAATATTCTGCAGTGTGCTTTGCTAGAAAAGACTTTTAAATAATTGAATGTCTTTACAATCTGCATCCTCTTGCACAGCATGAAGTCGTTGAATGCTTCTCATATAGAAGCACTGGATTTAATGCTTCTTTAAGAGAAGCATCCAATTGATTGAGCACAGCAATACCCGTTAATGCCCAGTAGAACCCCAAATCGTCTCTATCAAGGTTATTCACTAAAGTGAAAATGGCTGGGAATTCAAAGTAAATTTCAAAAGTAAGGCTAACATAACAGAATTAGAAAAGAAAAAAAAAAATTCTCCAAAATTAGTTGTGTTCTCAGTTCAGCTATTTTGGAGCTTAAAGGACCACTATAGTGCCAGGAAAACAAACTCGTTTTCCTGGCACTATAGTGTTAATAGGTCCCCTCCCCACCCTGCTCTAGGGGGAGGAAGGGGTTAAAGGCTTACCCTTCTCCAGCGTCGGGCTCCCTCGGCGCTGGGGACTCTCCTCCCTCTTTCACCAAATGCACATGCGCGGCATTCAGTCAGTGAAAATCACAGTGAGAAGTGCCTCAAGCGGCTGTCAATGAGACAGCCACTAGAGGCTGGATTAACCCTAATATAAACATAGCAGTTTCTATGAAACTCTACAGCAGGCAGAGTTAACCCTAGATGAACCTGACACCCAGACCACTTCATTGAGCCGAAGTGGTCTGGGTGGCTATAGTGGTCCTTTAAATTTGAAATTCATGTTGAATTCTCATAGGACTAACCAGAAATTGCGCATTATGATGATCTTACTGCCTAAAGAGGATGCAGTGCTGAGACTAGGATAGTACTGCCTGGTTAGTTTAACAGAATTATTCAGCTTTCACAGGGAGACCTAACAATGTCAAGCTAAAAAAAAATAAAAAGTACATTAACTTTATAATTAACTACATTTAATCATTGTTATTTAAATTATTTACAGAGTATTCCTGTAATATCTCTCTACCAATTTAAATGTCATTTTTTCAATGTATTGATCATACAGTGTGCATTTGTCTAGGTACGTTAACTTACCTAGACAAATGCACACCATATGCAAACATCAAAGGCTGTCAATGTAACAAAAATCAAATATCAACAACCTAAGCAACCCTTTGTTAATTTCTCACCAATGAAGTGTCGTTGTCTCTATTACCCTGATTTTCTGGTCCGTCATAAGTATTTTCCATCAGAAGTTTCTTCAATTTCTTCAGCTTTGGTCGGCATCTTCTGAGTTCCCAGTAATGGTTAGAGAAACCAGCAATCTGAAACGTGTAGCTGGGTAAGCGTGTATGCATTCTAAATTACCTAAAAAGTATATTTCTTAGCGAAGATTAATATTAAGTATAATTGCAAGTGTGATATATATTTATGTGGCATATTCCTGAGAACAACAAAAGACGAAAATGACGAGTATGAGAAATATTCATTGTAATTTTCTTCCAAAAAACGAAGAATGGAACCAATGCTATTTACAGATAACAAGCGGGAAAGTATCCATATAAACTAATTTTAAACACTACTCTCAAATGAATGTGCAAAATAAAACAATAAAAGTTAGCTCCAACCATTTGAATAGCATGCCTGGACATGTAAATGCATATAAACGCAGCCCACTGAGCGCAGCTTATACAATTTGAAACAATAATCATGTGTTGGGTCACAGTGGACAATCAATAAACTCAAGCCCATTAGAAGAGACACCCATAATATCAAATTCAGGAACTTTCCATGCTGTGTCAGTATGCAACCATTAAATTCAAATATAAATCATTGAAAATCCATGTTCTCTGCACATTTACTTTACCTCACATCGAACAACATTTACTTCCTGTTGATCGGCAAGCAGCTGGTCGGGGGTTTTACATCCAGGAATAAAGAGAAGCAAGTTGGAGGTATCTGCGATTTTAAGATCGTAGGTTTTGCTTTCACTACAAAGAACAGCATGATCACTTTTCTCCCCTCGAATGACAAGACTACAAAAATATCAAAAAGTGAACTTTATTATTAAAAACACAAGTGGAATTATGCAGCACATACTTTTTTTCTATGGAGCTGTAAGTAGGGTCTTCTTACAGAAAACCCAATAATGGTCTATTCTATAGAATCATAATGGGACATTCCACTGCCCAAATAATTTTTATTTTTTAAATCACTGTTTAGTAGATATACCTCCAATGAACTCATATGTATTATGTAATTGGGTACATATCTAAAAACAGCTTGCAAAATCTGTAGGTCTCTTGTCTGATGCCTTTGCAAACCCTTCCCATTTAAACAATCACAGACTTCCCAATAAAACTCAACAGGAAGTCTTTGCAAGGACAATTTCTGGCTAATGAGTTTAGTTCCAATGAGCTAAGCAACAAGGAAATAAACGGTTGTCTGACTACTGAGGGGGTGTAACAAGGATATTTTATACAAGTGCCAATTTCTACTGAACTCTTTATAAAATTACATAAGAAGACACAATCTTCACACAACTACTTCAGCAAGCTAAAGTTATTTAGGGGTCTGGAGTGTCCCTTTAAGTGGGACACTACAGGCACCTAAACATGACATTTGTTAGTATCTATTTAGTTAGTTTAAAAATAAATTACCCGCTTAAGTCCTCAATCCCTCTGTATCCGCAGATTGTATTGTTTCTGCTGCAAATCTCATACATGTGCTCTACAATCAGTGGCTGTAAAGACTTTTTATATAACTGTATAATCCAGGGATGTGAAATTTGTATTGCCAGATGCTTGAAACATACAGCCAGCACATCCCAAACAATACATACAGCCAGCCGATAGCACATGCATTACATCCAACCTTAAAGGACCACTATAGTGCCAGGAAAACATACTCCCCCCTCAGGGTCCCCCTCCCGCCCGGCTCTGGAAGGGGGTAAAAACTTACCTTTTTCCAGCGCTGGGCGGGGAGCTCTCCGCCTCCTCCGTTCCTCCCAGTCGGCTGGATGCGCGCGCATTCAGCCAGTCGCATAGAAAAGCATTCACAATGCTTTCCTATGGACGCTGGCGTGCTCTCACTGTGAAAATCACAGTGAGAATCACGCAAGCGCCTCTAGCGGCTGTCAATGAGACAGCTGCTAGAGGCTTTGGGGGGAAGGCTTAACCCATTCATAAACATAGTAGTTTCTCTGAAACTGCTATGTTTATAAAAGAATGGGTTAATCCTAGATGGACCTGGCACCCAGACCAGTTCATTAAGCTAAAGTGGTCTGGGTGCCTAGAGTGGTCCTTTAAAACACCACAGGCACACACATGCAAATTATATTCAGGCAACACACACCACATGCTTGTTAAATTATGCTACCACACACTATGGGATAAAAGAGTGGAAAAAAAAAATTTTTTGTAAACTGAACCTGAATGGCAAAAATGAGAGAGTTAATTGCCAGTTGTGACGTTAGCAGAGTTGGAGATTTTTTTGCAGATCAGCCATTTTTGCCTCGGTTTTTCCCAGGTAGATTTAATGAGTGGAAATGTACTGTGAATAATCCTACCACCTAGGTCTAAGGGTGAGCAGTGAGGCTGCAGATGCATCGATATATATTGTGCATACCTGCCACCAGCCTCAATCTCCTTGCAGAGGGCATCGTCCAGCTCCATCAGACTGTAGTCCCCAGAATTAAAAGCACGATTGAACGTAAGGCAATGCACTGTGCTGCGGAAGTCCTCTGCGTTCAGCTTGGCGATCTGCAAAGTGGCCGCCACTTCTTCCCGTGTCCGATCCATTGGATCCCGGATTCTTCGCCTTGGTGTGAGACCCGATATTGAAACGCTGCTGTGACAGACACAATAGAGGCACGTTAGTGGACGTGTGCAAACTATAGTCAACATAGAATAATTGTACAGCGCTGCGGAATCTGTTGGCGCTTTATAAATGCCAATCATAATAATTAAACAAAGAGTTTAATACATTTTTATTAAAAACTACTTTACACTGTGTGAGTAAACCAGACATTTCACAATTTTAGGCCAAAACACTCAGTTTGTTGAATTTGTTCCTATCCAGCTGGTTTTGCCTGAGTTTTACAGAGATTGCTATGGCTGGCTGAGCATTGTGGGCCGGATTAAACCCCAGCTTGCAGTTTATTTACCCCCTGGCTGAGAGTGTTGGGAGTGATGCTCCGTGGGAAGGTGACAATGGCGGTTACTTACTCCCAGCCGGTGAAAGCTGTAGACCTGCGGCAGCTCCTAAACACCGGGACACGGGGGAGAACCGCCGGCTGTTACCATGGTTACCGCAGACAGCCTGCACAGATTCCCGCCACACAGGAGACCACGCCCCCTCAGCGAGTAAGCCGCTCACGATCTGTCAGGACAGCCCGAGTGCTTCAGGGCCGCAAAGCATGACGGGAAATGTAGAGCGCAGTCTAACGTTAAAGGAATTACATTTTCTTTTTTTCCCGTTTTTTATTTTTTGCCGGTATAAAGTATCACGGTGTCTGTGTCAAAAAAAAAAAAAAAAGCTACGCTTCGATTCGCCGTGTGCCCACAGTAAAGATGGCGGCCCCGCCCCCCCTCGTCACGCTCTGGGGACGCACGGGATCTCCGTCTCGCAGCCATGTGATCTCGCGAGAGTGCCCTGGTGGAAAGCGGAAGTGCCGGAGTGGATGTTCCTGGAAACTTTGGATTGGGCTGGTTCCGCTGTTACCGCTGTGCGTCACCATAGCAACGGGGCCACACTGCCCGGGCAGCGGGGGCCCCCCGAGGGGCTGGTGGTTGGGGCCAGGCTGTGAACGATCCCAATAACAAACCCGGGGGGAAAGAGCGGAACAAAGAGCCGGCACCATGAACAGAAAGAAAGGAGACAAGGGCTTCGAGAGCCCCCGGCCTTATAAACTATAAGTATCATCCAATAGGGACTCACACAGGGCTGTGATAATAACTGTAACAGTATAATATGGCTGTGATAATAATATAATAGAGCTGTGATAATAACATTATAATATGGCTGTAATAATAACAGTATAATAGGGCTGTGATAATAACTGTAACATTATAATATAACATGGCTGTAATAATAATATAATATAATAGGGCTGTAATAATAACAACATTACAATATGGCTGTAATAATAACATAATAGGGCTGTGATAATAACATTATAATATGGCTGTAATAATAACATAATAGGGCTGTGATAATAACATTATAATATGGCTGTAATAATAACATAATAGGGCTGTGATAATAACATTATAATATGGCTGTGATAATAACGTTATAATATGGCTGTAATAACAACATTATAATAGCTCTGTAATAATAACAGTATAATAGGGCTGTAATAATAACAGTATAATATGGCTGTAATAATAACATTATAATAGGGCTGTAATAATAACATTATAATAGGGCTGTAATAACATTATAATAGGGCTGCAATAACATTATAATATGGCTGTAATAACATTATAATAGGGCTGTAATAACATTATAATAGGGCTGTAATAACATTATAATAGGGCTGTAATAATAACATTATAATAGGGCTGTAATAATAACATAATATGGCTGTAATAACATTATAATAGGGCTGTAATAATAACATTATAATAGGGCTGTAATAACATTATAATAGGGCTGTAATAATAACATAATATAATATGACTGTAATAATAACATTATAATAGGGCTGTAATAATATTATAATAGGGCTGTAATAATATTATAATAGGGCTGTAATAATAACATTATAATAGGACTGTAATAATAACATAATATAATATGGCTGTAATAATAACATTATAATATGGCTGTAATAATAACATTATAATAGGGCTGTAATAATAACATTATAATAGGGCTGTAATAATATTATAATAGGGCTGTAATAATATTATAATAGGGCTGTAATAATATTATAATAGGGCTGTAATAACTGTACAATATGGCTGTAATAACATAATATGGCTGTAATAACATAATATGGCTGTAATAACTGTACAATATAGCTGTAATAACTGTACAATATAGCTGTAATAACTGTACCATATGGCTACAATAGGGCTGTAATAGCCTTCCGATATGGCTGTAATAATCCTCTGATAGGGATGTAATAATCCTCTGATAGGGATGTAATAATCCTCTGATAGGGATGTAATAATCCCTCCGATAGGGCTGTAATAACCCTCCGATAGGGCTGTAATAACCCTCCGATAGGGCTGTAATAACCCTCCGATAGGGCTGTAATAACCCTCCGATAGGGCTGTAATAACCCTCCGATAGGGCTGTAATAACCCTCCGATAGGGCTGTAATAACCCTCCGATAGGGCTGTAATAACTAGATATGTGAGTGAGAAGGCAGACATAGTAACTAGATCTGTATGTGTAAAAGCAGCCACAATGGACAGACCCTCTGATCTTGTACATCTGTGAATCCCATGGGGCTCTGCCAGCCTCTGGTCTCGCAAAGCATAATGGAAATTGTAGATCTACATTACCAATTGGGGTCTCCCTTGTGTCCACCTCTCCCCATTCAAGAACTTAATCCACTGTATGGCTGTATACTAAGCATGTAAAATTCAAAGGCTAGCACGGGCCAAATAAACAAGGTTTAAGTTTATGGGTCGCAAAAAAAAACACAACTTAAAATTTTCATAGAAACGTAGGTTTATTTTGAAAAGTACAGTATAACCCCAAAAAAAAAAAACAGCATCCCCCATCTACTAAATCTCAGCAAACCAATATTAGCCAACAGCAGACTCCCCTCACATTGCCGCTGCCAGTATGTGTATCCGGAGTCCATCCTCTGGTATACCCCCAATGACGCCGTCCGCACCCTGCGCCAAAGCGGATCTTCTCACTACTTCTTGAAACCCTGTGATGGTGGTGCATGTTAAAATCACGTCTGACTGTGACGTGACGTTGCGCGCCTCCCTGCATCTCCAGGTCCTCGAATGTCCAGCTGCGGCCATCACAACACTGACCAACACACAGACACAGACGGACAGACCTACACATTCTTGCACACACATACAAATCATTTTATTTATTGTTCCCTACCTTTTGGGAGCTGGTGTGGGGCCTCTCCCTGCGGTTCAGTGGGGAGCTTCTCTCGGGAGGTCGCCTTTCCTGCTCCTCACGCGCACAGTTTAGTGATGCCGGGCCGGAATTACATCATATATTCCAGCGCGCGCGTGACCTCTTCTCTCGGCCAGGTAAATTTTAGCAGAGTAGGCACTTGCAATGTGGGGAGAGCAGGTGCCTACTCTGCCTTAACATGATGTGTACCCAGTGTATAGCTATATACACAGCGTGATGTGTACCCACTGTATAGCTATATACACAGCGTGATGGGTACCCACTGTATAGCTATATACACAGCGTGATGGGTACCCACTGTATAGCTATATACACAGCGTGATGTGTACCCAGTGTATAGCTATATACACAGCGTGATGTGTACCCACTGTATAGCTATATACACAGCGTGATGTGTACCCACTGTATAGCTATATACACAGCGTGATGTGTACCCACTGAATAGCTATAGCGAGACCGGCGCGGCATGGAATTTAAGGTAAGTAAAAACATGTTTCCCGTGCGATCGGAGTGAGGCCGGTAACCTAAACTGACAGACACACACACACACACACACTGGTACAGAGTTGGGATCGACCAATATCGATACCAATACCGATAATCTGTGAACTTTCAGGCCGATAGCTTACCGATATTCTGTACATTTACCGTTTTGAGAGAAAACATTTTTTTTTTGCAAATCTTTTTTTTTTATTAAGTGGTAAATGCACAAAATATACATGGCAGTCCGATTTTTTTTTTTTTTTTGTTATGTTTTTAAGAATATTTATGTGTGTGTGTGTAGTGGATGCAGTGAGAGTATTTGATTAGTAAATGCAGTGTGTTTGTGTAGTGGATGCAGTGTGTTTGTGTGTAAATATGTGCTGTAGGAACACCCCCACCCCCCCCATTCCCCTTAATGTTCCTCTTCCTTATTTTTTAGTGCCCCTACCCCAGTGTTCCTTCTCCCTTCCCTGTACGTTAGTGCCCTCCCTTAATGTTCCTCTCTCTTCCCCCCTAGTGTTCTTTCCCCCCCAAACCATAGTGTTCTCTCCCCCCCTCCCTAAACCATAGTGTTCTTTCCCCCCCCTAAACAATAGTGTTTTCCCCTCCCCTAAACCATAGTGTTCTTTCCTCCCAAGTCAGACATTTTCCTGACTTAGTTCAAGATGGCATCTTAAAGTCTGGACATCCTTATCTACTTAAGGTTACCACAGTATATTGTGTACTGAAAGAGTCGTAGCATAGCCTTGTTATTATGCATTATTGTTATTGTAATTCGTCTGGGACAAAATGGCGCAAAGTACACAGTTTAAGAAATACAAAATTTTCATTCTAAAACCCCTGCCCCATAGCGTTTTTTCCTCCCTCCCCCTCCCCAGCCCCATAGCGTTTTTTCCTCCCTCCTCCTCCCCTGTCCCATAGCGTTTTTTCCTTCCCCTATCCCCCGGTCTTGTCTCCCACGGTACAGGAGATTCAGCCGATACTTACAAAAAAGGGGAATATCGGCAAAACCGATAATCGGTCGATCCCTAGTACAGAGACACATATTGATACTGATACAAGCACACACTGATACTGACAGACACACACACACACATTCTCTCACACACTCACAAAGTGTTGTTGTATTTTGGGAGTGCTGAGTGGATCTTTCCATGGGGTCCAATGTGGATTCTCTCAAACCTTCTTGCAGTTCCTCTCTGCTCCCTCGTGTGCCCTCTGTAGTGATGTTGGGGTTGGAATGACATCCTATTCTGGCTCCCAGCATCACTATACTACGCGCAAGGGAGCAGAGAGGAACTGCAGGAACATTACTGCTACCTCGGTCGTCTCCAATACTTCCCAGGACGGCTGCCTCCATGCTACCTTGGCCGGCTAGCTCCAATACTCCTCAGCTCCTCTGTAAGGCTGACAAATACCCAGGACTAAATTTCTAGTTGCCATGGCATCCTAGCGCCTGGTATTTGTAATACCCTGTGTTACCCACTGTATTGATGTGAATGTGTGTAAAGCATTATGCATTACTGTTACTGTTTGCAGAACGTCACCTACTCCATTACAATACATGTGTGCAGAGCATACTATTTTACACACTGCATTGCCACACCTGCATATTTAGACTGTAATATCACACCCACTCCATTGCTGTACTTGTGTGTGTGTGCATGCAGGGCATACTATCTTACCCTCTGCTTTCTTGTACCTGTGTGTGGAGAGCACACAATCTTACCCAATGTATTACTATACCTGCGTGTGGAGAGCGTATTATCTTCCCCATTGCATTGACATACCTGTGTGGGAAGAGTGCACTATCTTTTCACTGCATTGTATAAAGTGTGAACCCTTACCCACTCAACCAAGTGTGTTTTGTGTGTGCACAGTGTAATTTATTAAGAACAGTTTAGCTTTACATGTGAGCAGAACATAATATGTTACCCACTGTATAGATTTAAATGCTTGTGTAGAGAATTTTTTTTTTTTTTAAAGCAAAAAATGTGACTTACAGAGAAGTAACAGTTCCTTGTTCCTTCACCATAGGAAAAAAAAACACTATTTCAGTGTTTACAGGTATAAACTTACCTCTGCTCCACTTTTTCACTGTGAGCTATTGAGTTGTTCTCTATTAACTCTGGCATGCACGGTCATCTAAATCGCAATTCTGTGTGAGAGCCGTGTTCTCCAGCAGTGCCATTTTTGCGCATTGATTTGTATGTTTTACCCAATGTACTTTGCACGGTATGTAATAATAAATTAAGTGCAATTTTCAAAAATGATTAGCTCAACCAATAGCCATCTATTAGTTAGCCATTTGGTTATGCAGACATTACCAAAAGCCAAATTCTGCTTTGCCCTTTACTGCAAAATCTTTTTGTAAACTAGTGTTTTTTTTTTTGTTTTTTGTTTTTAAATGGCATGTCAAAAATACATACAGAGCTCAAATATTTGCAAGAAGTCAAGTGATGAGGATTAAAAAAAATAACCCCAGTTAGACCTTAACAGGACATACGACTTGAAAGTCAATATACTTTGTAGCATTCACCAAAAAGAAGATAACCATGGGCAGGGTAGGCAACCACTGGCACTCCTGATGTTTTGGACTACATCTCCCTTGATGCCTTTCTAGCATTATGGCTGTAAGAGCATTATGGGAGATGTAGTTCATAACATCAGGGGTATCGAAGGTTGTCTACACCTAACCTAGGGCATGGATAAAATAGGAAGAAAGGAGCAGAAGAGAAGTGGCACTAACAGGCCATATGAAGAACAGAGAAAAGAAAGAGGGTTGGGATTTTGTGATGGTTGTTTTACATTTGATTACTTTAGGGGAGATCCCTAGGCTGTAATGTAAGCGCACTGCCTTTTCTCTGGATAAATCAGCCGGCAGGGCATGATTATACTCACCAGAAAAAAATACAATAAGCCGCAGTTGTTCTGGTGATTCTTGTGTCCCTTTAAAATTGTGAATTGACATTTTCTGCTGCAATATTGCTGGCCATTTTGCTCCTTTATAGAATGCAATCAAGTTGTGATTTAGGTTTACTTGAAATGTAACTTTATTTTTTATTTTATTTTTTTCCTGCACGACTCATCAAGTTGTCTGCATCACCAACATACACTTCCAAAGAAAAGCAGTGATTGTAAGTATAAAAGTCTACATTATTGCATCTTTGTAGAGGTTTTTACAAAAAAGTGATTAACTTGATCTTCTGCAAACTGGTTGGAATTATTTTGGCAGATTAACCCTCAATGTAAACATAGCAGTTTCTCTGAAACAGGGTTAAAACTAGAGGGACCTGGCACCCAGACGACTTCATTGAGCTGAAGTGGTCTGGGTGCCTATAGTGGTCCTCTGGGTGTAGAATGCTTGCACTGTATGAGTGCTCACTACCATTTTTATGCTCCCTAATTCTGTGAGAGACTTTGTGTGGCAGCTGAGTGCTTACCTGGTCCTGACTAATTTCACAGAGCTGTTCATTACTCCATAATTGATTGGTAACTAGTTAATATCTACTCTTAGGCCAGACTTGTCTTCTTGCCTCAGGAAAAACTATGCCCTAATGTCACACAAAATATTTTTCAAACTGTCATTCACATGATTTCTGCATGACAGAGTAACACCATTCTCTACAGAATTAATTATTTTCTTATAATATGCAAATAACCACCTATGTACCTGTGATTCCTGTAAAATTTAAATTGGAGGGAGAGTGTTTTCCATGTTTGTAGAAGTGATCTCTTGAATGCAATTTGTAATGCTTTATTTATCACACCACACTCTTAAAGATGGGAAGCATCGTTCACGTGATTGGCAGACTCCTTTTACAATGTTCTTGATGGCTGTGGGGTGAAAACAGTATTGTTCATATTTTCTGTAGCTTGGTTCCAATATTTAACTTTTATGAGCTATTGCTGAGATCCGTATTTATTGATTTCATTGGCAGGGCTACGTTGAATTAACGATATTCCCCACGGTCGCTAACTTGAACAGGATCAAGCTGAACAGCAAGCAGTGCAGGATATATCGCGTGAGGGTGAATGACCTGGAAGCGGCATTCATTTACAATGACCCAACCTTGGAAGTTTGTCACCATGAATCCAAACAGTGAGTATCATAGCCTATGATCCCTCCCCCTAATCCCCCCCGTCACCTCCTTTAGTATAGGTTTATAAAAGGGACACTGCCGACCCCTAAACCACTTGCTGAAATGCTTTGTGTGTTCTTTCTCATTTTACAAGAAAAGTGATTTAAGTCACTGTGACAGACCGCCTGGCACCCGGACCGGGTATCTCAATAAATCGCTGCTTCCTAGTAATCCTTGAGTACCATAAGCACCGCACAGGACACCATAACCACCGTAAACCCCACAAACCGCTGCAGCTTGGCTGGGGTCTCTCTGTCCTCCACACACCCTGGACCCAAGACCAGGATCCAGTTTCCAATGGGTAGACCTCTCCCAATCCAGAGAGTAAAGCAGGATAGCTCTTACAAGAGCTAGTGATTATAATCCAAGGGAGTAAAATGAGTATAGCAATCCCCAGAGTGAATATAGCTGTTCCCTCCACACATTAGACGAGGCTCTATGTTGAGGGTGAAGAGGAACTGTTTAATGGCAGCTACAACTGGCTTTATATGCAAGTTCCCATGCAAGATATTTTCCATAACATATTCCAGGGGCATTCCCCACTGGACCTGAGAGGGGACTGTGACAAAGTACACACTGTACATTGGCTCTCATGTCCAGGACACTCCCACACAAAACAGAATAATCTCTCCCCTGTGCCTGAGAACGTCCCCATCGTCCTATGCACTCACCTGATCGCCGGCAATCGGCGTTGCTCCCGGTCTGGGGGAACTGCCTGAGAGCCCAGACAGTCCCCACTCGGCAAATTAGGCCACCGTGGGCAATGTGATCGCTCTGAAATAGTGGTTACATGGCCTGGGCTGTCAGGCAGTCTTCCTGCTGATGAAAAATAAATAATAAAAATATTAGTAAAGCAAAAAAAATATATCTAATTACATATATATATATATATATATAAAAAACTATATATATTGTGTGTGTATATATTATAAAATCTGAATAATAATTAAATAAAAACATATGTATAATTTTATTTTAACTGTATTTTGATATTAATATACATTTTTCGCAAAATACATTTATATATTTTTATTTATTTATTGGGGATGCACTGAAATTTTGGCCGAAAATGGGCCTATCCCATTTTGGCTGAAAAAGGGTCAAATCTGCCTAAATTTACACCCCTACCCCTTTCCCCCTGGCAAGGGAGACTCCCTCCTGGACCTGAGACTACAGTAAAAACATACACACAATTACATTGGCTCTCAGGTCCAGGACACCCATACAAAATGGGTAAATCCCTCCCCTGTGCCTGGGAGATAATTGAGTCAGCACTGTATTCAACTCAATTATCTCCAGGCACAGAAAACATAGATTTTTTACAAAACCCCCAAAATACCTTCAAAACACATAAAACCCCCACAAAATTTACATCCCCCTGATAGCCCCGATCTGTGTGACCAACATATCCAAAAATCACCCAGATCGGTCCAGGGGTTTGGGATTTTCATGGAATTCAATTATTTGACCGACCGTACACATGGTCCTTTGCCCAAAACAGTTCCAGGGAATCAGGACTAACGGCGGTCTCTCTTTCTGGAGTACAAAAGTACATAAATCACATGAACAGAGCCTTTTAAAGTGCATTGGGGAAGGTATATTGCAGGGCCCATACTCCTGAGGCAGGAGGCTGGCAAGCAGGCTCCTCCAGGAGCTCGTGGCAAATGACCAGACCACAGGGCGTTTGTCACAGTCACACTTTTATAAATTAACCTTGACATTCCCTCTAGCATTCAAGCATGCAACATGTCCTGTTACTTCCTGCTTGACTCAATGGAGTTAAGTTCAGTGGCTGAGCCAGCAGCAGCAGACTGCAATAAAGGCTATATTTTGCTATATTTAAGGGGGTAGCATGGGTATTAGACGTAGGTTTTAACACCGTTTGTGTTCATGACCCTGTAGTTTTCCTTTAACCCCTTAAGAATGGCAGGCGTTCTATGCCATCCTCAAGGAGCCGAGCCTAAATGCCAATCGGCGTTGCTCTCGGTCTGGGAGAACTGCCTGGGAGCCCAGACAGTCCCCCCGCTGCAAATTAGGCCACCGTGGGCCATGTGACCGCAAAGAGCGATCACACGGCTGCAATAGGCGTCTATAGTGCTGCCTGCAGGGGGACTGCCTGGGCTGTCAGGCAGTCTCCCTGCTGCTGAAAAATAAATAAAAATATTAGTAAAGCAAAAAAAAAATGTGTCCTAGTCCCCTTAACCCTGCAAGTGTAATTATTGCAGTTTCTCTGAAACTGCAATAATTGCCTTGAGGGGTTAACTCCACCTCTAGTCTACCAGAGGGACTTCCGGGTGGTTAGGTGACCAAAAATTGCCTAACTGATGCTGGATGTCCTCACTCTGTGCATGTTGACATCATGCGTCTGCTAAATCCCCATAGGAAAGAATTGATACAAAGTCCAATATTAATACAATTCTAGAAAAAACTATTTTAAAATCATTTGGGGGGAAAAAGTAATTTTCGGTTTTCAGCCAAGGGCACCCTGAAGTTTCGGTTTTGGGCCCAGAATGTGTATATATAAATAAATAAAAATATATCCATAATTACATAAATAATTTCATAAATATACACATAGACTTCAAATATATAAATATGTAAATATATTTAAATTCTAAGTGCATAGTTATGTAATATTTTTACATAATTTAGTAATTTTATTTATTGATTGTAATTTGAGGGACCTGCCTGACAACCCACGCAGAAAGTCCAGAGAATTTAATTTTTAGCACTATGTTTAACCCTGTAACTTTCCAAGACACCCTAAAACTGGGGGGTACTGTTGTACTCGTGAGACATGTCAGTGAAAGTGAAGTTTTTTGCATTTTTCACCCACAAACAGAACTTTCACTGATGATATCATTGTTTTGAAACACTAATATATGTGTTCAGCGACATCTCCCGAGTATAACAGTACCCCCCATGTACTGGTTTTATAGTGTTTTTGAAATTTACAGGGTCGACTATAAAGCTTGCCCATTTCATTTTTTTTTTTATTGAAATTTGCCAGTTTGGTTATGTTGCCTTTGAGAATGTATGGTAGCCCAGGAATGAAAACTACCCCCATAATGGTATACCATTTTCAAAAGTAGACAACCCAAGGTATTTCAAATGAGGTATGTCCAGTCTTATTTTAGTAGCCACTTAGTCACAAACACTAGACAAAGTTAGCGTTCATAATTGATTTTTGCATTTTTAACACACAAACAAATATAAATGCTAACTTTGTCCAGTGTTTGTGACTAAGTGGCTACTAAAAAAGACATAGCCCACATTAAATACCCAGGGTTGTCTACTTTTGAAAATGGTATGCTATCATGAGGGTAATTCTAATTACTGGGCTACGATAAAGTGTCAAAGGCAACATAACCAGTCTGGCAAATTTCATTAAGTATAAACTGAAAAAATGAACCATGCTATATTTGACCCTGTACCTTTCAAAAACACCATAAAACCTGTAGTTGGGGGATACTGTTGTACTCGTTAGACATCGCTGAATACAAATATGTGCATGTTATTGCAGTAAAAACTAACAGTATTATGACATTCACAGTTAAAATGTCATGCAGAACTAAAAAAGTTACAAAATAAATTAATCTTAATTTCTAACACTCTTTTAGATTTTATTCATAATAAATGTTTTATATATGAATAGTTCCTGAACAAAATTATATATAATAAGTGTGGATGCACTTAATATGAAAGAGGTGAATTACGGTTGAACAGACATGTAGCGCAAATTCAGTTTTTTGATTATGTTTTGTTTTGATCACAACTTGTACAATTGGCTCAGTCCTTAAGGGGTTAATCAATGTTTGAATAGCAGATCAGTTCTCTACTGCTTGCAGGGGGGAAACAAAGAAAACAGAGGATGATCTCAACAGAAGTATGTGAACGATCACTGGTTTTCTTGGAGCTTATGGTAGTCTTTGTACCTTTCTATGTTTCCTCCCTGAGATGGGCTCCTGGACATGACATCTTGAAATTGCAGTGGGGACACAATTATGGCTCTCCATAGTCCCCACAGTTGTTCAGCAGGTATTAATGGGATATAGAGTTTTGCCCCCCCCCTGTCCTGTCACATCAGATAGTGCTACTGCTATCGGTTATATCTTACATAGTTACTGCTGTCTGTTATACACGTTACGATTGCAGCTTAATCTGTATTGATTTGGCATTTATAAATTGCTTCTAGAAGTGGACAGAGTGGCGCACGGTACAAGTACATACGAGTTGCTGCAACTAATCATTTTTTGAGAACCAGTTCATAACTCCTTGTTTATTTCTTTGGCTTCACACCAGTCACCTTGGTTTCCAAACAGATTTACCATAGTGGTCCTGTCTCAAGCTAAGCCTAACATAGCAACATTGAATATGCCAAGACCAATGCCAGGATCTTTGCTAAGCAGCCAGCATTGCAACAGTAGACATGTCAGTCTGTAAATAGTATTTTATTGACCTCCACCGTCATTATGCTGTTTACTTTTTTGCCTCCTTGAAACCCTGGCCAAGCAGGGAGGATTGAAAGGTCCCAGAGGAAAAGGTATTAGTATTAATAAGGACACTTGATTAATGTGAATCTCTGCTATAAAACTGTGGTTTTTGCAGGATACAGCACATTTTATTGGCCTAACATACAAGTACAGAAGGCATGTTTAGAAGTGCTGTGTTACCTGGAGATGCCGTGTAAGAGATGATTGAATTGAAGTTGGATTCATTAATTATTAAGGGCAGATTATAATAGTTATATGACAGTGCCATGTTTTAGTAGTTTTTAATCGAAGTAGCCCTGTTACCCAACTATAGTTTATGTACATTAAACCCACAATCACGCTTTTAACTATATGTAATCACAAAAAAGCACTTCATCTTAATTGCCTAACAGATGAAAAAAAGGAGAAATGGCACTGTTTACATTTTGCAGTTCCTGTGCCTGAAGTGGTTGTTATTCAGACAGTCACTAGGTGATTAAGGGTCATTTATTGAATATATTTGATTTCTATGATCAGCATGCAAAGTAAATGCAATGCTGAATGTTTTGTGAGAAGCATTGCATTGGATTATGGCAAATGTTGCACGTGCATTTTATGTCCTCACTGCAATGAGAAGCATCTAATGGGACAAAAGTCAGAATGTGAAGAGCCTCTCCCAGCTCTAGAACAAATTGCCATTTTTGTATGTTTTTTTTTTTTTTTTTTAAAGGAGCACTCTAACTGCTAACAACTTACAAATAAGGGCATCCACTAATCTAAAGCAATAAAGGGACATATTTAATCTAAAAATACTAACTGCCTATCAGAACATGCAATTTGCTATGTTTTATACTGGTTCGGTTCTGGTGATCCACAGTGTATGAAGGACTGTCAGTATTGAATATTACTGCAGGTGTTAGTGATGCAGTCATTCATATCTGTTAGCAGCCACCTTGGGGGAGGCAGAGATAATCTGCCTCTAAGCAAAGCTGGAGGTTTCACCAAACATGGATTAGATCTATTTTTTTTAATTTTTTTTAAATTTTTTTACATGAAGCTGGTCTGGTCATACATGTTTGGGAACAACCATGTCTCTTAAAGAATTCTATGAGCAAGGTGCAGCACCCTCTGAGTCTAGTCAGCAGATTGCTTTAAAATTATTAAGTGGAAAATTAAAATCTTTAAATGAACCCTCTCCAGTGCGAACTCTAAGCTTCTGTTCCTTTCATGGCTTTGCCAGCTGGATTCTGTTCAGCTGCTCTTGCGTGTCACTCATAATTTGAATGTGTTCATTTTTTATTTCTTTTCTTATTAATGGTCACATATGATTTACTTTCTGGAGTCTAGTGTTGTTCCTGCTGATACACCTACAGTTGACTACAGACTCCTCACACTACCTTTGCTTATTTTATGATTGCACTTTTAAATTGCTGTGAACTCTTGTTCTTCATCAATGCTTTCTCAATAAACTCTTAAATCAACCGCTATATGAACCGAGAGGATAAAATGTGTGTGTGTGTGTATATATATATATATATATATATATATATATATATATATATATGTGTGTGTATAAACAGAATCACAGTTCTTAAAGTAGCACTGTTGGATAGGGTCCTGGACCTCAATAGATTGACAATAATTTATTATAAAAAGTACATTAATTTCCTGGCACATTGCATTCCATTACTACAGCCCTAAGCATCCTCCGAAGAGTAACCCCTTAAGGACACAACTTCTGGAATAAAAGGGTATTATGATGGAATATTTCCATCATGTGTCCTTAAGGGGTTAAGCTTGGACAGAAGCAGCTATGGAAAAGTCTCTGTGGTGTAGCAGGTTTAAACCAATTTAGTTCTTAAACCTGTTATCAGACATATTAAAGCTAATTCGCTTGTGTTAATTTGAAATCAAAACTGCAACGATCTGGCCTATATTTTGCATTGTTGTTTTCATTTCACTACAATTTTCCCAATAGGTAAACAAACCCCATTTAAGTTGCATGCCTAATGCCCATTTTACCTGTTCTCCATCAGCTGTATTTAAATAATTAAAAACCTTGCTTCAAAGAGCATAAACTCTGCAAATGCAGGTGAATGTTTTCTTCTTTATTGCTAGCTAGTCCAACAATGGATAGCTGTCACAGATGATGTTTGAGCTAGACCGGTTTGTTAAGCATTATGGGAAGTGTAGTTTACACAATTGTGCAAAGCCATGTTGAACAGTCTGTATTTATTCTAATAGCTGGTTCATTTATTTACTGTTCATGTAGGAGGAATCTCAACTACTTTTCCAATACATATGCAGCCGCCGTAAGTGCAGTCGATCCAGACGCTGGAAATGGAGAGCTTTGCATCAAAGTTCCATGTGAATTGTGGAAGCATGTTGATGGTAGGCATAGGGTGGGGGTCATTTTGCTTAGTAATTAAAACAAATAAAGAACTTTTTTAAAACTTTTTTTTAATTTTTTTTTTAAATGGGATTTAAACTAATTTGTGCCTCCCATGTCCTATGTTGGGACTTGGCTTGGAGGGATACAGAGCAGCATTTTTATTTGTTGTTGGTTATTAGTCCCATGAACCACCTTCTTACATTTTTTAGGTGCAGTAAAGATCTGCAGGCACTGGTACTCGCTTACTGTTTTCTGAGGTACCATTACATGTAGCGATTTTCTTCAAGATGTTTCTTTACTGTAGAGTGAGTTTGGGTGAACCAACAACCAGTTTGTGCAGTTTAGGAAAAACTAACAGATTTTTGTAGGAGTTTTGCAGACCTTTTCCAGCTTGGTTATTTTGGCAGAGATATAGCAGTTTGGGTGTAATTTCAATATCATTTATTGTTTCACTTGGCTTTAAACTTGCTATATTCTTTTTACATTTAAATTCTCTTGTATGATCAGTATATAATTCCAAGTAATAATTGTGTGAAATATTGTTGTGTACTCTCTACAGAGCTGAAAGGTCTGAAAGTAAACATTGAATTCTCCTTGGATCAGCCAAAAGGTGGGCTGCATTTTGTGGTACCCAATGTCGAAGGCAGCATGGCAGAGCGGGGAGCTCATGTATTTTCATATGGATATCAGAACTCTACCAGGTATGGTAACTTTAAAGGGACAATACAGGCTGGAGTTAACTACTTATTATTATGATTATTTTTTATTTTATTTTTTTACAAAAATATATGCATAAACAATTTGCTCAAATTTGTTAAGTATCGACCGGCCTTGCAGCTTCTGCAGGGACAATAGTTGCATAGTGGGAACTGATTAAAGCAAGGGTTTTTGGGAGTTGTAGCTAAATTCAATTGTATAACTAAGATAACAAAGTTTTTGAGAAAATGAGAAGCTAACTTATGTTTTTACATCTGTGCTTTGAATGCTTTAATTACTAGATTTATTACGTAGGCTTTACTACAACAGTGTAGAGAAACCTATTGCACAGCTTTTGCAGTAAATATGTGTAATAACTAAACATTATTTAGTGTGCAGCTAAAGTATTTATTGAATGATCTAGTTACTTAGAGGTTGTTGCCTGCATAGTCCTATGGACTTGTTGAATACAGTATCATGGAGTGGTGTACACAAAAAACAACAACTTTCAAATCCTTTCAAGGGTGCATGAAGTCACCTCTCAAATATAAAGAATTTGGTAACACTGCATGGTGTGTACGGAGTATCGCTACGTATACAATATTTTTGTGGAATCTTTTGTCATATTAACATACAAGATAAATATGTCATCTGTAACAAATAAACTGCTCTTAGAGGCTCTCCTTCATGCTTCCCATATTTGTTTGTCTCATTTTTTTTGTCCCTGTAGGTTTTGGTTTCCTTGTGTTGATTCTTACTCCGAGCTCTGCACATGGAAGCTGGAGTTCACAGTTGATGCGTCCATGGTGGCGGTTTCAAATGGAGATCTAATTGAAACGGTTTACACTCCTGACATGAGGAAGAAGACCTTCCACTACACACTTGCAATACCCACAGCTTCTCCTAACATCTCCCTTGCAGTTGGTCCATTTGAGATCCTGGTTGACCCATACATGCATGAGGTAATGCACGATTGCAGTCTATCTGCACCTTATCTAGAAATGCAACTGTAATATTTTAACCAATAGATTTGTCAAACAAGTTAAAAATACAGACTACTCACCAGTATGAGAGGTCGTTCTGGGAGAATAAAGGATAATCACCAGGATTGAGAGCGATGTTTAGGTGATAATCCGGTTAGTTTGAATATTATAGGGAAAATCCAAAAGGTTTGTTAAAGTCCAATCCGGTTTGGCAACAGTAAATCCGTGTATAGGAATATCCAGGAGAAGGGTCAAATCCAGCCCAGTCAACTGCACACAGGTAGAGGCACATTAGTTGTGCACTGAGACATTGAAGTTGAAGGTTTAAATAGGTGGATCCATGAACTTCAATTAGACTCTTAAAGTGATTGGAAAGTGAAGTGAACCATTTAAAGGAATTGTTACAGTAACTTTAAATGGTGTTCTGGTATTTTACCTTGAATTTCTCATTTAGTAGAAAAAAAATATTTTCTGCATGTCTGAGGGATATATTTGACCCTTCTCATTGACAATCTATTCTTTTTTTTTATAGGTAACCCACTTCTGTTTACCTCAGCTGCTCCCACTCCTAAAACATACTACCTCTTATCTGCATGAAGTGTTTGAGTTTTATGAAGAGATCCTTACATGCCGTTATCCGTATTCCTGTTTTAAAACCGTTTTTGTTGATGAAGCTTACCTTGAAGTATCTTCATACGCATCCATGAGTATTTTCAGGTTGGTATGAGCATTAATCTCCCTTAAATTTCTATCATTGTCATATATATCCCCCAAGGTACCCTTCGTTTTTTTTTTGTTTTGTTTTTTTATGTATCCTCTTCATGCTAACCAACTCTCCCCTCAAATCATTGTCACCTTTAACTTGATTATTGGCACACCTCCACTTTTTTTTAAATGACTCCACTCTGGCTTTGGTGCATCTATAATCCTAACAGCGGCCTAACACGTTCATATTTTTGACAGGACCCTACAATTTAACCTGAGCTCAGATCGTTTGCTTACTCTTACTTGGCCACTTGTTTTCTCACAACTCACCCCTTTTCTCCTGCAATTATTCTAGATATTTTTATTTGTACCTCTTTTGAGACCATCAAGTAAGGTTTTGTCATCATTTATCATTTCCCCTGCATTTCTCATCCATGTCTACCTTGACCATATTACACTCTCTCACTCATCACACCCTGACCATACTACACCTCCTCACCTCTACCATCTTACCTCTTATTACACCCTCACTCCTTATCACACCCTCACCCCTTATCAAACCCTCACCCGACACCCTCACCCCTTATAAAACCTAAACCTTCATTATAGCATTACCCCTCATCACAGCCTCACCCCTCGTCACAGCCTCACCTCATAGAGCACCTTGTCCACTTCAATCCATTTCTCTGGAAATGTCATTGGGTGAGCATTCTGTGGTGGTAAGGCACAAGCTTACCCAGTTGCCACATTGTACTCTTTCACTAATCGGTTCAAGTTTATTTTAAAAAAAATGTAAAATGCTAAAGTGTCATTTCAAGTGCAAACATGGCCATCTTTATTGGTTTTATTTAATGGACATTGCTTCCATGTTACATGGTGAGCATTTATAAACTGCTAAATGTTTAAGGCCATACTGACTTTTAACAATTTCATTAAGGTGAATTTAGGAAAGTATTTTTATGTTTGCTCTTTGTCCTATTTTGATATTTTTGGTTCATATTTCTTGTAGCACAAACCTTCTGCATAGTGCTATGATCATAGACCAAACTCCGTTGACTAGAAGATGTCTGGCTCAGTCTTTGGCCCAGCAGTTTTTTGGATGCTTCATTTCCAGAATGTCATGGTGAGTAAACTACACAGCCTGACTGTGTTAATATTGACAAATGCATGTCTGTTAAAAAATAAAATATGTGGGTAATATATAAAAAAAAAAAAAAAATGAATAAACATAAATCGGCAGATGAGCGACTAAATATTGAACAATATGGGAAGTAACAAAAAAATAAAAATAATACGCCTAATAGCTCACAATAATACAAAACAAATATTTTAAAACTTTATTTATCATTAATATGACACACATAAAAGGGCAATTCTCATTAATAAACAATATATTAGTAAAGCAATAATAAAAAATAGCACATGTCTGTTCTTGTACATGGAGGATGATAAACACATACTTTTGAGCATGCCTTGCTTGGTTATCTCTCAGGAAGCATGGTGAAAGGGACACTATAGTCACCAGAACCACTACTGCTTAATGTTGTGATTCCGGGACATAAAACCAGTCACTATAGGGTCAGCAATGTAAACAATGCCTTTTTCGAGGAAAGGCAGTGTTTTCAATGCTGTCTAAGTCCACCTCTAGTGACTCTCACACGGACAGCTACTAGAGAGACTTCCTGGATGAGGTCCTGCAATGTTTAATGCATTGATTGCCTATGGGAGTCCAAATCCAATTCACAAAGGCGCCATAGCGACTGCAGACCGAACAGCACGGTGAGAGCCAAAAGGTAAGTAATTTTGTTTTATTTATTTCATTTGTGGGTCAGGAACCAACTGCTGTAATGTTTCTTTAACACTTTTACATATATGCACATACACTGATCAGCCACAACATTAAAACCACCTGCCTAATATTGTACATGTCCCCCTTGTACTGCAAAAACAGCTTTGATATATTAAAGTACAGACTCCACAAGATCTCCATGGATTTGATTTGCGTTGACACCCCACAAGACTTTTTGGAGATGCTCTGACTCTGTCGTTTAGCCATCACTATTTGGCTCTTTTCAGACTAATGCAGGTCTTTCCCCTTGCCCATTTTTCCTACTTCCAACACATGACATTTAAGAACTGACTGTTCACTTGCTCCCTAATATATCCCATCCCTTGACAGGTGCCATTGTAACAATATAATCAACGCTATTCACTTCACCTGTCAGTGGTTTTATTGTTGTGGCTGATCAGTGTAGAGATTTAACCAGAAAATGGATGGTACATGGTTATTTTCCAGGGTAGAATAGATCACAAATGTTACTAACATATTATTTCCCATTTTTGATTTATTCTTTTAATTTTGTGAGGCCATGGTGCCTTCACATATTTTATTGTACTATTTAATACTACAATGATAAATATTTTTTATGTAGTACTTATAACATTTATTTGTTTATTTTTAACTTGTATTTATTATTTGTGACACAAACTAATCTGTGTTTGGTGGAAAACTGGATTTCATGCTAAACACACAATTTACCTGCAGTCACAGCAGCCACTTTGAGCGTGTGACATTGCCAGCCATCCTGCTGCCATTCATACGAGTTTATGATGATCTCATTCATATTCCTCGTTTTTGCAGGTCTGACGAGTGGGTTCTGAAAGGCATATCTGGATATATTTACGGCCTCTGGATGAAGAAAACATTTGGTGTTAATCAATATCGTCACTGGATCAAAGAAGTAAAAAAAAATCTGTTTAAATTTCCAGTATTACACTCTCTCACCCTTTTTCTCTTAGCAATTTCTCCTGACTTATAAAGTATGTAATATTGAAGACCACCTGAAACAAGCAGGGTTGTTTATTAAACCATGGTTTGGGAATTTGAAAATTTCTGCAGCTTGGCTATTTTGAACTAAAAATTTAAATTTGCTGTTTAATTAGCAGCAATTCACTGATTAGTGAATAAGTCTGTAAGTATTAGCATCAACACAGCTGTTTCTCCTCCTGTAATGTTTTGTCATTTAGAAAAAACTTAGAAAATTATTGCCTAAATTATGCTGGCATTTGAGTCAAGTTATGTGGATCTTCAATGTTTTTAACTTTCATTGTATGCCTGGCAGTCCTGCTACATCTGAAGGATACCATCTACATTCATTTAGCCTCCACAGTGCTGTGCATGCCGCACCAGGTGGATATGAGAGTGTGACATGTCTAGAGCTAGGTTCATTTCTATCTTTCAGAAACACCTGGGGCTTAACCCCAATTTGATGTCCTCAATATTATGTATCCCCACCTTTCTATGCTATGTTCCCTCCTCTCTACCCATGAATAGTGTGCTGCTGATAATATCTAGAATATAAGTTAAATCATTGCCATAAACAAGCGCATGACGTTCACCCAGGTGTAAATGTAATCTTGCCGTGCTACCTGCCTAAAAAAGGGGTGTGCAGCATAGTTCTATTCCCAGCACATCATTTCATGTGTTTCTTCCTTCAACTCCATTTAAATAAGCTCTACAGTTTAATGTGTTGTTAATCATACTTGCTTGTCAGGCAGCTCAGTGAGAAATAGTTTGGATGAGTATGTATTAGAAGAAAAAAACAAAACAATATTCCTGCAAGAAACCCAAGATCAGTGGTTAGTATATTACACAATTATTTGATGTTGGCAATTATTAGCCAACGATGTCCTCCATAATTGGTTTATGTAAATCGATGATTTCTTCTGCTCTTGACCCCACCCTTATTTATTTCAGTTAATGGATTTTATTTTTAATATTAGGAGCTGGACATGATTGTAGCCCATGAACTGAGGACAGGAGGGGTTTTACTCCATCCCATATTTTCTGCTGGCAAAGAAAAGGACAAGTGAGTCAGTTTACTTTTTGTATTTCTTTCAGTTGTGTGTAAAGCTCCTGTTCAATTCTTGTGAAAACAGTCAAAATGAACGTTATAGAACGGTTCTGGAGACATGATCATAAACCACGAGGCCATAAAGCTCCCTGTGGGTGGTTGTTTAATTTAGCACTTATTTCCTGCTCTGTTAATTAAACACACTGGGCTGTAAGATCTGATTGAAAATGAAGCCATTATTTTTTATGGAGGCTGTGTGACTCACAGCCAGGGGAGGTGTAACTAGGACTGCTTACACAGATTTCACTCCTGAAAGGTAGATGACTGAGCAGTATGACTGCAGGGGTGTTAGCAAAATTTAATTAAGCTACACATACTGTACTTAGCTATCAAAGAAAAGGGATGATGAAGATTCCATGGGAACATCCCATTGTAGTTACCTGAAGGTGTATGGGGAGGGAATGCCAGAAAGGGTCTTATATAAACACAAATAATAAAAAATAATTTCATTAACACCAACATATTCTGGAGATTTTTACAAATTACAGTTGCAAGAAAACCATTTGGAATGATATGGATTTCTGCACAAATTGGTCATAAAATGTGATCTGATCATCATCTAAGTCACAACAATCACAGTCTGCTTAAACTAATAACACACAAAGAATGAGATGTTGCCATGTTTTTATTGAACACACCATGTAAACATTCAAAGTGCAGGTGGAAAAGGTATGTGAACCCCTAGATTAATGACATCTCCAAGAGCTAATTGGAGTGAGATGTCAGTCAACTGGAGTCCAATCAATGAGATGAGATTGGAGGTGTTGGTTACTGCTGCCCTGCCCTATAAAAAACACACACCAGTTCTGGGTTTGCTTTTCACAAGAAGAATTGCCTGATGTGAATGATGCCTCGCACAAAAGAGCTCTCAGAAGACCTATGATTAAGAATTGTTGCCTTGCATAAAGCTGGAAAGGGTTATAAAAGTATCTCCTAAAGCCTTGCTGTTCATCAGTCCACGGTAAGACAAGTTGTCTATAAATAAAAGTTCAGCACTGCTGCTACTCTCCCTTGGATTGGCCGTCCTGTAAAGATGACTGCAAGAGCACAGCGCAGACTGCTCAATGAGGTGAAGAAGAATCCTAGAGTGTCAGCTAAAGACTTACAAAAGTCACTGGCAAATGCTAACATCCCTGTTAACGAATCTACAATACATAAAGCACTAAACAAGAATGGATTTCATGGGAGGATACCACAGAGAAAGCCACTGCTGTCCAAACAAAACATTGCTGCATGTTTACAGTTTGCACGTGGATGTTCCACAACAGTACTGGCAATATATTCTGTAGACAGATGAAACCAAAGTTGAGTTGTTTGGAAGAAACACACAACACAATGTGTGGCGAAAAAAAAGGCACAGCACACCAACATCAAAACCTCATCCCAACTGTGAAGTATGGTGGTGGGGGCATCATGGTTTGGGGCTGCTTTGCTGCGTCAGGGCCTGGACGGATTGCTATCATCGAAGGAAAAATGAATTCCCAAGTTTATCAAGACATTTTGCAGGAGAACTTAAGGCCATCTGTCTACCAGCTGAAGCTCAACAGAAGATGGGTGTTGCAACAGGACAATGACCCAAAGCATAGAAGTAAATCAACAACAGAATGGCTTAAACAGAAGAAAATACGCCTTCTGAAGTGGCCCAGTCAGAGTCCTGACCTCAACCTGATTGAGATGCTGTGGCATGACCTCAAGAAAGCGATTCACACCAGACATCCCAAGAATATTGCTGAACTGAAACAGTTCTGTAAAGAGGAATGGTCAAGAATTACTCCTGACTGTTGTGCATGTCTGATCTGCAACTACAGGAAACGTTTGGTTGAAGTTATTGCTGCCAAAGGAGGTTCAACCAGTTATTAAATCCAAGGGTTCACATACTTTTTCCACCTGCACTGTGAATGTTTACATGGTGTATTCAATAAAAACATGGCAACATTTCATTCTTTGTGTGCTATTAGTTTAAGCAGACTGTGATTGTCTATTGTTGTGACTTAGATGATGTTCAGATCACATTTTATGACCAATTTGTGCAGAAATCCATATCATTCCAAAGGGTTCACATACTTTTTCTTGCAACTGTAAATGTCAGGATACAAGAGAAAACTAAGACCAACTATTACAAGAGTTTCTAAGAAACAAGGTCAAACGAGCTTACAATCTAGAGAAAGTGAACTTTTTAATTCATATGTGGCTTACCATAAATGCATATATTTTGCACCCAACAAATCTGTTACTTTAAGAGACTTTACTATAACTTGGATGGCTATATGTACATCCGTACACCAATATCTTGGCCTGTTATTGCAGGATTTGTCTCCATGGGCAGCGTCCCTTTATGGCATATAGCTGTAAAAGCATTTCTTGAGTCACCCCGGTAACTGCGCTTTGACAAGTTGGGAGTGAATCAGTTGTGCGCAGTCCATGTTGCCACTCTTTCTGGTTAATGACCATCTCTGTGCTTGTAGGATCCCATTCATAGGTTTATTGTATTTATTTTTTATTTTTTTTTGTACCCAGCCACAGTGCACTAATCAAGCAATTCATTCTAAATGTAAGACAGCCCTCCATGAATCCCCATTATTCACTGATATTGATTCACTGGCTGCTGTGCCACTTGATTTCACAATTCACATTCTACTCCTTCTCTTTCTGAACTTCAGCAGTTTGAATTAATTATTAATAGATCTCAAACATTTCTGCAATCATAACGTTGCCTTTATGTGGCTTTCATAAAGGAATTGCACATTATTGTTGAATTGTTCATACATTCTAATTTAATGGATGGCTGTTTGCAGAATTATTAGTGACAAACATTAATATTTCACCATTCTATTTTACAGCCCTTCTTCACACCTCCACTTCTCTATAAAACACCCTCATACTTTGTCCTGGGAGTATTACAGCATGTTCCAGTGCAAAGCTCACCTCGTCATGCGACTGATAGAAAACCGCATCAGTATGGAATTCATGCTGCAGGTAAAAGCAACAGTGGAGATGGGTTTCACTTGCTTAACATGGGGTTTGTGGGCTTTGATTCTGCAATAACTAGTAGACAGAAGCTTCTCGGTGGAGCAGCAACAATTAATAGAATTAATGGAGATTAGGATAAGCAAGCTCTGTGCACCATAGCCTATCCAAGGGGGATATTTTCGTGGTGCTTTCCCTTAAAAATTATAAAGAATCCATAATAAATATGATGCTTTTGCGATATGATAAACTGTGCAGATTTCTCTTAACCCTTTTTTTTCTTGTCATAGACCATTATTCAGCATCACTTTAGCCTCCTGTCTTTCAGTTGTTTTCCTTATACACACCATATTAGTAATATTTAATATCCTTTACACAGGGTGTTCTATTTACTGCCAAAAGGAACACTTTTTCCCCCTCCTTTTGCTTTAATGTGTTTCTTTGAGCTGCACATGATTGCGTTTCCTGATAGTCAAATGGGTTATTGAAGCAGACACCAGAATAAAAGGCAAACTCCAATTACAAGATGATTTAGGAGCGTCTGATGGCACCTGAATCTTCAGAGACAATTTGGAGAACCCAAATGAAATGGATCCACTGTTGACCCTGGCCAGCATGGTCCTGTACGAGCTTCACTCAAAACTGTCTGGTTTTCTGGTAGCAGTCATTGTGGACTCAAGCCAGCATGGTCAGTTAGAAGTTGGCAAAACTGTCCTGTTTCCTGGTAGCTCATTAAACTATTACTGACAACTTCCTGGCATGCAGGGCCTATCAAAACCCTGATGGCAGACGGACTGTGAAAATATTTGAATATGCAAAATTTACGGAGGAACGTTGGCCAAAAGTTTAAGCCTATATTAAACTAACACTTTATTTAAAAGAGATTTTTATTTATATTATTGTGGCCAGCCTAAGGCACACCTTTGCAATAATCATGCTTTCTAATCAGCATCTTGATATGGCACACCTGTGAGGTGGATGGATTATCTCGGCAAAAGAGTGACCAATATTGGCAAGAAATAGGCCTTTTGTGTACATAGAAAAAAGTCTTAGATCTTTGAGCTCAGCTCAAAAAAAAATGGGGGCAAAAACAAGTGTTGAGTTTATAATTTTGTTCAGTGTACACGCACACGCTCTCACTCTCTCGCCATTGCAACAACAAAATAATCTGTGCGGTATAACCTCAGCCAATATCCATAGGTATCTGCATAGCAGGGATATGTTAGGGAGTCACCATTTACAGCCACTCTACTGTGATGTATTTGTAAGCAAGTTGAAAACATAGAAACATAGAAACATAGAGTGTGACGGCAGATAAGAACCATTCGGCCCATCTAGTCTGCCCAATTTTCGAAAAACTTTCATTAGTCCCTAGCCTTATCTTATAGTTAGGATAGCCTTATGCCTATCCCATGCATGCTTAAACTCCTTTACTGTGTTAACCTCTACCACTTCAGCTGGAAGACTATTCCATGCATCCACTACCCTCTCAGTAAAGTAATACTTCCTGATATTATTTTTAAACCTTTGTCCCTCTAATTTAAGACTATGTCCTCTTGTTGTGGTAGTTTTTCTTCTTTTAAATATAGTCTCCTCCTTTACTGTGTTGATTCCCTTTATGTATTTAAATGTTTCTATCATATCCCCCCTGTCTCGTCTTTCCTCCAAGCTATACATGTTAAGATCCTTTAACCTTTCCTGGTAAGTTTTATCCCGCAATCCATGAACCAGTTTAATAGCCCTTCTCTGAACCCTCTCTAAGGTATCAATATCCTTCTGAAGATACAGTCTCCAGTACTGTATACAATACTCCAAGTGAGGTCTCACCAGTGTTCTGTACAATGGCATGAGCACTTCCCTCTTTCTACTGCTAATACCTCTCCCTATACAACCAAGCATTCTGCTAGCATTTCCTGCTGCTCTATTACATTGTCTGCCTGTAGCGTTACTTACCTTAACCGGGGGCCGGTCGCGGTCCTCTCTTCAAGCCGCGCGCGGTCCTGCGGCTGCACGAGCCGCGCGCGGCTCATCCAACTGCTTTGGATGGAAGGCGGGCAGTGACCGCGTGAGGCGGTCACGTGTCCCGCCTGAAACGAAGAGCGCGCCGCGAGTCTCGGGCGCGCTCTTAAAGAGACAGTGGGAGCCTAATTGCCAAAAGGCTCCCATTGGCTCCTGTCATGCCACACTCCCTATACAATTACCTATGGGGGGTGTGGAAGTGACAGGAGCCAATCACTTTCGTTTAAAAGCTATTTAAACTTACCTTTTTCCCTTAGCTCGTTGCCCTATCGTGGTTTCTGTTTCAGTTCCCTTTAGCGCTTGTGGTGTTCAGTTGTGTTTTCTCGTATTGACTTTGGCTTCGTATTCTGACTTCGTTTTCGCTTTATCCTTATCTGTACTGTTTGCCGGCTTGCTGTTTTCCGTGTACCAGACCCCGGCTTGTCCTAGTTTACGCTGTCTCTCTGTGCCCTTGACCTCGGTTTGTTCCTGGCTCTGTCTCCTCTCATATACGTCGAGTCCGGCCATTCTAAGGTCCGGTAGACGTATCTCTCCTCTGTATTTGCCTCTGTTTAGCTGGATCCTGCGTGTAGGGGTATATTCTCGTTACATTACGATGGGCCATGGACCCCGCAGATTTAGCTCAACAGATGGCGTCCCATGAGGCAAGATTTGTAGAGCAGGATCACCGTATGGATCAGATAGCTCAGGCTCTCCAGACGCTCCTAGCTAGAACCGTTCCAGCAACCACACCTAACCCTCCTACCGCCCCTTCTCCCTGAAGTATCTACTTTGCCTAATACTTCGGCCCATTTAACACCTCCTCCTAGGTATGGAGGGGACTCTAAGACTTGCAGAGGGTTTATTAATCAAATTGAATTTCACTTCGAAATGTATCCACGTTCATTTCCCACAGAGAGGTCTAAGGTTGGGTTCTTTATGCACCAACTTACCGATAAGGCACTTGAGTGGGCAAATCCTATTTGGGAAGCTAATGGACCTATGGTACATGATTTCAACAGTTTTCTTACGGCTTTTCGTAGAACTTTTGACACAATGAAAAGGTCAAAGAATGCCGCGAGAGCATTAATGAGAATTAAACAGGGTTCTAGGTCTGTGGCTGATTATGCTATTCAGTTTCGCACTCTTGCTTCGCAGGTAGATTGGACCAACAATGGGTTAACTACTGCCTTTATGGAAGGTTTGTCAGATACGATATTGGATGAGGTAGTAGCTAAGGAGCTTCCTATTGCCTTAGAGGACCTTATCGATTACCTCATTGATATAGATAATAGAATTCGTGACAGGCTCTATACCAAGAACAGGAATAGACGTTTTGTTACACCCATTAACCCCAGAGTTAATATACCAGAGAGTGTTAAAGTGTCTGAGGAGGAACCTATGCAATTAGGGGTTGCCAAACTCTCTGATACTGAGAAATTACATAGGAGAAGGGAGGGACTTTGCCTATACTGTGGTAGGAGAGACCATATGGTAAAGGAATGTCCTTTACTCCCGGAAAACTCTCGCACCTAAGACCTTATAGGGGACTGGCCTTGGGTGTGATATCTAAGTCTCCTAAATTGCCTCCTAACCGCTTGCTTCTCCCGGTTTCTTTATATATGGGAGAGATTTGTATAGTTGACAACATATATGCTCTGGTTGACTCAGGGGCAGCTGAAAATTTTATAGACTCTGGCTTTATAAAGAGAAACAACATTCCCATCAGAGAGAAGGAGATACCCTTGGCCGTTGAGGCCATAGATGGTAGACCATTAAGTTCTCCAGTTGTTACTCATGAGACTGTACCATTACACATGTACACAGGGGTTTTACACTATGAAACCATTCGATTCCAGGTCATCACCTCTCCCTCTTCACAGTTAGTATTAGGGTATCCATGGTTACGTGCTCACAATCCCATTTTTGACTGGGAGACAGGGCAAATAAAATCATGGAGTGAGGCCTGCCACGAGTCTTGTACGTTGGAAGTCACACCTTTGAATTCTATTGAGGTACCTACCAGTCCTCCTTTGTCTATGGTTATACCCCCTCAGTATTTATCTCTAAAGACTGTTTTCGATAAAAGGGAGGCTGAGAAATTACCGCCTCACAGACCCTATGATTGCGCTATTGACTTGTTGCCTGGCACTATACCTCCAAAGGGCAGGGTGTACCCCTTATCGGTTCAAGAAAACCGTGTCATGGAGGAGTATATTAAGGAATCACTAGAAAAGGGGTTTATTAGGAGATCCTCTTCTCCAGCTGGAGCAGGGTTCTTCTTTGTATCGAAGAAAGAAGGTGATTTAAGACCGTGTATAGATTATAGAGGTCTAAACAAAATCACTATCAAAAATGCATACCCTATACCTTTAATTACAGAATTATTTGACAGGCTGAAACATGCCACTGTGTTCACTAAATTAGACCTTAGGAGTGCATACAATTTGATACGTATAAAGGAAAATCACGAATGGAAGACTGCATTCAACACTAGATCCGGTCATTACGAATATACTGTTATGCCATTTGGGCTTTGCAATGCCCCAGCAGTATTCCAAGAATTTATTAATGATGTCTTAAGAGATTTTATTCACACATTTGTTATCGTATACTTGGACGACATTTTAATATATTCTACAGATATACACACTCATCACAGACATGTTACGACAGTTTTGAAGACCCTTCTTGCTAATGGTCTTTATTGCAAGCTAGAAAAATGTCTGTTTGACCAAACCGAAGTCCAGTTCTTGGGGTATTTGATTTCCGCTAAAGGTTTTCGTATGGATCCCCAGAAGCTTGCTGCTGTAATAGAATGGCCTCTACCGCAAGGTCTGAAAGCTATTCAGCGTTTTCTTGGGTTCTCCAATTATTATAGACGTTTTATCAAAGGTTTCTCGTCCATTGTAGCACCTATTACCCGTATGACTAAAAAGGATGGCAATACTCGTGTTTGGTCTACCGAGGCACTTCAGGCTTTTGAATTTCTTAAAACTACGTTCGCCTCTGCACCTATTTTACAGCATCCTGTCCCCTCACTGCCCTATATTCTTGAAGTTGATGCTTCGGATATTGGGGTAGGTGCTGTCTTATCCCAAAGAGAGTCGCCTGAGAAGCCATTGCATCCATGCGGCTTCTTTTCTAAACAAATGTCCAAAGCAGAGAAAAATTATGATGTGGGTAATTGCGAACTCCTTGCTATTATTTTAGCACTTAAAGAGTGAGACATTTGTTAGAAGGAACTAAGGATCCTATCCTCATTTTTACGGATCACAAGAACCTATCCTACCTTAGCGAAGCCAAAAGATTGTCTTCCAGGCAGGCTAGGTGGTCACTATTTTTGTCCCGTTTCAATTTTATTATCACCTATAGGCCAGGTGATCGCAACACTAAAGCAGACGCTCTGTCCAGACAGTTCGAAACTACTGACAAACAGGAGATTGATGTTACTCCTGTCATTCCCCAGACAGGATAATAGCTACTACTATTTTGTCTATTTCCTCGTCCCTCTTGCAGGCCATACAAGCGAAACAAAGCATGGCACCTAGCGAGAGGCCTAATGATAAACTGTTCGTTGATGTTCCTGAGAGACGGGATATTATGTCATTATATCATGATACTAAGACTGCTGGACATCCTGGTATTTCCAAAACGGTGTCAGCTGTTTCTCGGTATTTTTGGTGGGATTCCTTACGAAAGGATGTCACTGACTATATAAGTGCTTGTACTACTTGTGCCTGTATGAAATCCTCCCGTAGAGTTCCTTGTGGGCTGTTGCATCCGTTACCCGTTCCCGAGAGACCTTGGTCTAACCTGTCCATGGATTTTATTGTTGAATTACCCCCTTCAAATGGTAACACAGTAATCCTGATGATAGTGGATCGGTTCTCCAAAATGGCTCACTTCGTGTCTCTTCACAAGTTGCCCACATCCAAGGAACTGGCTCATATCTTCGCTAGAGAAGTATTTCGATTACATGGGATTCCCGTATCTATTGTATCCGATAGGGGTAGCCAATTTATTTCCAGGTTCTGGAGGGCCTTTTGTTCAGAAATGGGTATTTCTCTCTCATTTTCTTCCGCTTATCATCCCCAGTCTAATGGGGCTGCTGAACGTGCCAACCAGTCTCTGGAGCAATACCTCCGTTGTTTTGTGTCTCACCATCAGGACAATTGGTCTGACCTGCTTCCTTGGGCTGAATTTGCTCGGAATAACGCCACTCATGATTCTTCCGGCAAGAGCCCTTTTTACGTTGTCTATGGCCAGCATCCCGTTGTTCTTCCGGCTGCATTCTCCTCACAGGGCATGCCAGTTCTGGATGAGCATTTGGCTGGTTTGCGTAATACTTGGGAGCAGGTTCAGCGTTCTTTGGTGGACTCTGCTACTCGCCAGAAGGCTCAGGCTGACAAGCATCGCAGAGCAGCTCCGTCCTATGTTGTGGGGGACAGGGTTTTGCTTTCCACGCGGAATATTCGTCTCCGGGTGCCTTCTATGAAATTGGCTCCCCGCTTCATTGGACCTTATCGTATTATACATAAGGTTAATCCTGTTTCTTATGCCTTAGGCCTGCCTAAGAATCTACGTATTCCTAATGTTTTTCACACCTCATTGTTGAAACCTTTCGTACGCAACCGCTATACCCGGCATACTCCTCCTCCCCCTCCTATCTCGGTGGAGGGTCATGAGGAGTTTGAAGTGTCTGCTGTTCTTGACTCTCGTTTCCTTAGGGGTCGACTTCAGTACTTGGTACATTGGAAGGGTTATGGGCCTGAGGAGCACAGTTGGATTTCGGCTGATGCTGTCCATGCTCCCCGTCTTGTGCGCTCTTTCCATTCTCGTTTTCCTGCCAGGCCTGGTCCTACCCGCCCGGGGGGCGTGTCCTCAGGGGGGGGTACTGTAGCGTTACTTACCTTAACCGGGGGCCGGTCGCGGTCCTCTCTTCAAGCCGCGCGCGGTCCTGCGGCTGCACGAGCCGCGCGCGGCTCATCCGACTGCTTTGGATGGAAGGCGGGCAGTGACCGCGTGAAGCGGTCACGTGTCCCGCCTGAAACTAAGAGCGCGCCGCGAGTCTCGGGCGCGCTCTTAAAGAGACAGTGGGAGCCTAATTGCCAAAAGGCTCCCATTGGCTCCTGTCATACCACACTCCCTATACAATTACCTATGGGGGTGTGGAAGTGACAGGAGCCAATCACTTTCGTTTAAAAGCTATTTAAACTTACCTTTTTCCCTTAGCTCGTTGCCCTATCGTGGTTTCTGTTTCAGTTCCCTTTAGCGCTTGTGGTGTTCAGTTGTGTTTTCTCGTATTGACTTTGGCTTCGTATTCTGACTTCGTTTTCGCTTTATCCTTATCTGTACTGTTTGCCGGCTTGCTGTTTTCCGTGTACCAGACCCCGGCTTGTCCTAGTTTTCGCTGTCTCTCTGTGCCCTTGACCTCGGTTTGTTCCTGGCTCTGTCTCCTCTCATATACGTCGAGTCCGGCCATTCTAAGGTCCGGTAGACGTATCTCTCCTCTGTATTTGCCTCTGTTTAGCTGGATCCTGCGTGTAGGGGTATATTCTCGTTACACTGCCTACCTTTAAGTCATCAGAAATAATCACCCCTAAATCCCTTTCCTCATATGTTGAGGTTAGGACTCTATCAAATATTCTGTACTCTGCCCTTGGGTTTTTACGTCCAAGATGCATTATCTTGCACTTATCCACATTAAATGTCAGTTGCCACAATTCTGACCATTTTTCTAGTTTACCTAAATCATTTGTCATTTGGCTTATCCCTCCTGGAACATCAACCCTGTTACATATCTTAGTATCATCAGCAAAAGACATACCTTACCATCAAGACCTTCTGCAATATCACTAATAAAAATATTAAAGAGAATGGGTCCAAGTACAGATCCCTGAGGTACCCCACTGGTGACAAGTCCAAGCTTTGAATATATTCCATTAACTACAACCCTCTGTTGCCTGTCACTCAGCCACTGTCTTACCCATTCAACAATATTGGAATCCAAACTTAAAGATTGCAGTTTATTGATAAGCCTTCTATGTGCAACAGTGTCAAAAGCCTTACTGAAATCTAGGTAAGCAATGTCTACTGCACCACCCTGATCTATAATTTTAGTTACCCAATCAAAAAAATCAATAAGATTAGTTTGGCATGATCTCCCTGAAGTAAACCCATGTTGTCTTTGATCTTGAAATCCATGTGTTTTTAGATGTTCATCAATCCTATCCTTTAACATGGTTTCCATCACTTTCCCCACTACTGAAGTAAGGCTTACTGGCCTATAGTTGCCCGACTCCTCCCTATTACCTTTCTTGTAAATGGGCACAACATTCGCTAACTTCCAATCTTCTGGGACTACTCCTGTTAACAATGATTGGTTAAATAAATCTGTTAATGGTTTTGCTAGTACACCACTAAGCTCTTTTAATAGCTTTGGGTGTATTCCATCAGGTCCCATTGACTTATTTGTCTTTACTTTTGACAGTTGAAATAGAACCTCTTCCTCTGTAAACTCACGTGTAATAAATGACTCATTTATCCTTTTTCTCAACTGAGGTCCCTTTCCTTCATTTTCTTCTGTAAATACAGAACAAAAATATTCATTGAGGCAGTCAGCCTGACCTTTATCCTCTTCTACATACCTTCCTTCTTTTGTTTTTAATCTAACTAATCCTTGTTTTACTTTTCTTTTCTCATTTATGTATCTAAAAAATGTTTTATCCCCCTTTTTTACTGACTGTGCTATTTTCTCTTCTGTGTGTGATTTGGAAGCTCTTATAACTTGCTTAGCCTCTTTCTGCCTAATCTTATAGATCATTTTGTCTCCCTCACTCTGGGTTTTTTTATAATTCCTAAATGCTAACTTTTTGTTTTTAACTATTTTGGCCACATCTGCGGAGTACCACAGTGGTTTCTTGAATTTTTTGCTTTTACTGACAAGCCTAATGCAATTTTCTGTTGCCTTCAATAGAGCAACTTTTAAATAATCCCATTTTTCTTGGACTCCATTTAAATTGCTCCAGTCTGATAATGACTCCTCTAGCACTAGTGACTGGTGGTACCAATTCCATTTTTCGAAATGTAAGGTAGCATGAGTATACATGTTGTGACAAAACGGTCTTAATGTTTTGTTGGATGTGATTTTAAAAAAAATATATATATTTTTTTTAATGGTTTGTTTTTTTGCAAAAAGATAAAACACATTTTCTTGGTTCTTCACATGTGATGCTTAGACAGTGGCACAATATTCCTATTCACCTTTCAGTTTTAGAACCTATATTGTAGTTTTGTTTTTCTTTTTTCATTGCAGGTTTTCAACAAGCTTTTAAGTTTGGCCAGCACAGCTTCCTCTCAGAAGTTCCAGTCCCACATGTGGAGTCAGATGTTGGTTTCCACATCTGGGTTTCTGAAATCCATCTCTAACGTGTCTGGAAAAGACATCCAACCTTTAATAAAACAGTGGGTGTATCCTTCTCTGTTCTGAGTGGGTTTCATAATTGTCTGCGCTAACTTGGTACATGTGTGCAAACGTTATTTACTTTGTTTTCTGGATACTTTATATAGTGCAAATACCTGGGGTTTGGAGGACATCCAGTAGCGTCAAACACAAAGAAATCAATAAACTCCTGTGGGCCAGGTGATCAACAATTTGCATGGGGGGGAAAAAGGAATCTTTATTTTCATTGTCTGTATCTGTGAGCTGTGAGATAATAGGATTTTTTTGAATCATGCCCGTCAAAGCTATTTTATTTTTTTGTCTCTGGATTGCTATAGAAGTGTGTGTGTGTGTGTGTGTGTGTGTGTGTGTGTGTGTGTATGTGTATATATATATATATATATATATATATATATATATATATATATATATATATGTGGCATATAATATGTTCCTGTGTTAAATACTTAGGGAGATCCTGTTGGAATCACAATAGCACCTGCGAGAGAAGGTCCTGGTAACATCAGCCATTTCAGGGGATGTTCCATATTTGTGTTCTCATGTAGAAACACCGCTGCAAAGCAACACATAGCAAGTGCTGTTGTAATGCACTATTTTTTTTCCTTTTTCATTTAGAAGAATGGCCTCATTAGTAGCATTGAGCGACAAATGTGTGTTTGTAATTTATGTTCCCTTCATATATGCAAGGATTACAGGTACAGTGTTTATGCTAAGAAGCCACATATTTGAACATGCTTGGTTAAGACTTAACAGTATCTTCCAGAGACCAAAGCGGTGTAGTCAAGTTTTATGGCAGTTTTGCATTTAATAGAAAAAGAAATGTTTTGGAATTGGAAATCAAGCAGGACTATACATCGTTGGGAACACAGAAATATGTGGTAAGGGGCTGTTGTTTTAATAAAGACCTATCTGCCTGAACTAGAAATGGCAAACAACCTTTTGTCTTTTGCAACGTTTTAAATAGATGTACCACATCCATGGCAGCGGCTATACTTTAATTTTTTTTTCCCTTTCTTTTTGGATTAAGAGAGGGAGAAAATCTCCATAGTTGGGAAGACGGAGCTCATCCGTTCTGCCAGCTGGTTTCCAGCGATGTCTGAGGCTTCAATGATGAAGCCACGGATTGGCTGACGCTCTGAGCCTCTCACTAGCTTCTCAATCACTAAACTGCGTGACAGAGGTATGTACCCATGCCCAGCCTTTGAGGCCTAAGACATTACTGGAAACCAACTGGCAGAGTGGACGTCTAAACAACTTTGGGGTTAAACCATTTGTAAACGGTGCAACTGATGCAGGTGAGATGGCATCCAGGACCTCCTGGCACTGTATCAACTTATGGTGTCCAGAATGTTCCTTTAATGGGCCACCTGGCACATGGATGACTAAACACAGATATTTAGCCAAAAATGTAATGAAAGGAAAGTAAAAACTCAATTAAATAATGGCATTTTAATTAATGAGTTGCTATGACAAAATATCATAAACACCTAGATGGAATCTATTCACATTTCATGGACTCTTACACAGAGAAAGAAAATAGCTATTTATCTTCGTAATTAAATATATTAAAAAAAAGAATATTTGCACCATAATCATTTCAGTTGGATGAAGTGGTTATGGTGCAATGTCATCCTTTAATTTAGAAGACAAGTATCATATTCATCAGATATTTTTTTTTAAATTCCTCACTGACTGTGCACATCATACAAAAGTTTATAATGCTTACCCTGCTATTGTTTCATGGTAGTGTTTCATGGCCTCCAGTAGTGGCCCAATTATTCCAACCCAATTTTGTAAAGGTAACTGCCAAAATGAGCCAACTAATAAAATAACATCATTATTATGTGTAATTAAATTAAATTCAAAAAGTTTGATACCCTCTTAAGATCTTCATTTACTGTCATTCATGTGCATGTGTAGATTTGATTATTTGTAAATATTTTGTTATTTCTGTTTTGAAACCTTTTAATTGTCTGGTGGACATATACTGTTGGAACTTAAGCAATACATGGTATAATCTCCTGTACCACAACTCAATTTCTTGCTTTTTTTTTTTTTTTTTTTTTTTTTACAGGGACCCCTTAAAGTGACTGTTCAAGAACTCGATGGTTCATTTAACCATACTCTACAGATTGAAGAAAACAGTCTCAAGCATGATATACCGTGCCACTCAAAAAGCAGAAGGTAATTGTCGCGAGTAGGGGGCCTGCTGGATGATTTAACCTGCCTTTTATCAATATGGTTGCCAGAGTGACCCCCATACTGATTTATATTTAGTTTGAAATGACAGCGAACAGCCACTGGTTACTCGCTATTTAGGTGACATACTGTGAGTAGGGGCATGCGTGAGGATTTAAACTCCCTTTTATTAATATGGGGGTCATAGTGACCCCGTAGATTTTAATGCGGGGGGATAGTTATGTATTTATTACAAGGAGGTGCAGTTAGAGATGCAGTTAGTCTGTAGTATTTGAGAAAACACTGCACACTAACATAATACCTGCTGACGTAAACCTTTATGGTCCAGCTTAAAAGAGGAGCCAACATACTCGGTTTGTGAGGTGCCAACTGTTTTCGTGTCCCTCCTAGTGATATTTGTGTACTTGGTAAACAGTGTCACTTTGGACCCTGGTTATCCTTTGCTCCTTCATCTGGTTTTGATGTGACGTGAAGTGTTTTGGACAGATATTCATAAAGTTGCATGTGTTTCCACTTAGTACCTCACTAAGAAATATGTTTTTTGAAAGACTTTGAACGTTCATTTAATCTCTCATAAACCTACAATGTCTTACACAGTTCAACTGACCTGAACCTGCTTCTAGTGTTTCCTTTAAATAAATCAGTTTATATGTTTTTACTCCATAACAATCTATCAAATGAGCTTAAAAAGGCAGCTGGGCTTACTGCACAGATTATATACGTTTTTGAGCATTCATTGGGTTCGAAATCGTGTTCCTAAAGGCTTGGTTTGCAGAGGATTATGGGAATTGTAGCCTATTAAGTGGATGGCTTAGAATGAATTATTATAATTGATTGGCCCGGTTTGACATGACACCCATGCCTTAGAACACTGTGTTATACAATAGTAACTGTTGTGTTTTTGTTTGGTTTTTTTTCTTGACAGAAATAAAAAGAAAAAAATCCCTCTGATGAATGGGGAAGAGGTAGACATGGATCTATCTGCAATGGAGTAAGTTGTATATTTGTAAGAAATATAACATGTCTATTTTACTTTAAAAGTTCCATGTGTATTTGTCTCCTTTGGATAACTCCTAGTTAAATATCCCCATTGTATAATTGTAAAGGATGTTGGTGCTAAATAAATGCTGATAATAAATAAAATGATCCCAGTACAATATATGGGAAACACTTGTGACTGTTTGAACTTCCTTAAAAAACCTCTCTGAACACTCCTCACCCTCTTGTCAAGTCATAATTTTATTTTCTATTTTATTTTAGGATTATTTTGATATTTGCTGAATAACTTGTGCTGCTGTGGAGTTCTAGTAAAGAGAGACTTAAACATATATAAAGCCTCCTGTCATGTAGTAATATTTTTATACCTATATGATATGTCTCTTTGCAGTGCTGATTCCCCATTGCTCTGGATAAGAATTGATCCAGACATGTCTGTTTTGAGAAAGGTTGAGTTTGAACAGGCAGATTTCATGTGGCAATATCAGTTGCGCTATGAAAGAGATGTTGTTGCACAAGAAGAATCAATTCTTGCCCTGGAATCCTTTCCGACTCCTGCGTCACGGTTGGCATTGACCGACATCTTGGAGCAAGAACAATGCTTCTACCGAGTTAGAATGATGGCATGTTTCTGCCTTGCTAAGGTAAGATTGTACAATATAGATACTTTTTTTTTTTTGTGTATGCCAAAAGGTTTGGCATAATCTGAGATAATTATTATTAAAGGACACCTTGATTTATTATGTTTATATAAAAAAAAATAACTCTTTAAATGACATTATTGTATTCCAGCCTAAGCACATATGGACACTTTTTTGTTTCTGTGTGTTCTTTATTTTTGCGAATTAAATCTGATTAGTCGTGACTATGGCTAGTTTGGCAAACTTATTTTTTCCTGATCAGCTATTTTTTCCTCCTTTTTTCACATGGTTTTAATTTGTATATTGTATAATCCTAATCAATCAGATACTGGTGATTTTTAATGTGTTCTCTGTCTCCAGTGACGATCTTTCATCCATTCTCTGATCTCCTGTTGCCTTATCCTATTCGTCAGTATGACTTCACATGTACAAATTCTCAGTGATTCTCCATTGTAGTCCATGAAGACTGCTACCACACGCACCAAAATGTTTTAGGCAGCATGGCAACCAACTGATTTGAAGAAGAAGGAAAAAAAACAAACGATTGTGTTTTTGTGAGGGCGAATGAGCCAATATTGATCATTGCACAATTAATATTTTTTTTTCTTCTGCGCATTAACCTATACCCCACCTCCTGTTTAGTCTGTTCCAAGGGCAGATCTATGGTGCATTGATTTAGTTTATTTTGTTAAACCAAACACCTGCCCTCAGAATATTTTCTATCCAACCAAATCTGGTTATTTTTGCCACAGGCATCTTGCTATGGCGTGTGCTTACTTTTTAAGTTGCTAGTGTTTGTTATTTATATCTATAGATTGCTAATTCGATGGTGAGCACATGGACCGGACCTCCAGCCATGAAATCCCTCTTTACTCGCATGTTCTGTTGTAAGAGCTGTCCTAACATTGTGAAAACAAACAACTTCATGAATTTCCAAAGCTATTTTCTGCAGAAGGTAAGCATCCTAACCAATAATGATATTTGTTGAAAGGAGTTCAGCATAGAAATGGCAAAATAATCAATCATTAACTGTTCTTCGTCCAGTCAGATGCTATTTTATAAAGGCGCTTTGAGGACACATATGTGCTAGTGAGATTACAGTACCAGGCATGGTAAGATGTCAAATCGTTGTAGTACAGCGTGATAACTTATCTGGATTTTGCTGGACGCCCTCAATGCAATCTGATCTTCTGTAGCAGGAGAAGCTGAATGTTACTGCTTAGACCAAAGCAGGACTCCAATCAAAGCCAACTAGTGCAGTCATGTTTCAGCCCGCTTTGCTCTATTGAGCAATCCATTTATATATATTTTTTTAATTTTATAAAGTGTGTGTGTGTGTGTGTGTGTGTGTATATATATATATATATACATATATATATATATTACATACATTGTTAATATTGAGTTAAAACTTTACAATAGTGGAACAGTGATAATGTATGTCAACTTCTTAACTTGTTTCAATTAACTAGTTTATAATATTTTAGATTCACTTGCATTTATTTTTTACTTGCCTCTGCCCTACATTAAATAAATTTTTTTAAAAGGCTAACCTTCTTGGTGTCCAATATAATCCTGTTAATTGATTTTAATGATTATTTTAAGAAAGCCTTTGATATGAACAATCTGTGGCACATTGTAGTAAGCAACTAAGTCACGTTTGGTCATATTTCAATTTTTGTCTGTTAAATATCTTATGTTTTTGTTATAATGTCCCATACCTAAATAACTGTACTTAAATATTAACACTGTTATTTCACTTCCAAGCAGCAGGTGGAGCTGTCAGACTTATTAATTTTGACAACCTAATAAAAAAAATGAAAGCTTTTTAGTCTGAGGACCTCAGTAAATTAAATAAAAATGTGTCCAGTATGGTGAACTTTCAACTGCATGTTTTTGGTTTTATTTACAATAAATATTTGTTTCTTTTGTGTTTGTGCGTAAATTGATCTGAATATATTTTTTTCAGACTATGCCAGTTGCAATGGCTTTGCTGAGAGATATTCATAATCTCTGCCCAAAAGAAGTTCTTTCGTTTATTTTAGACCTTATCAAGTACAATGACAACAGGAAAAACAAGGTATGAAAATTTCAAACATGTTGTATTGAACGTTAAAATGTATTGTTGATGCTAGTATGGTGTGGTGCTACTTTGTTTAATGTTGTCTGTACATTGTTATAGGCAAATTGCTAGAAAATGCAAAGACCAAATTTTATTTTTAGTTTGCCTGTTCAGTTGTTGACATTGCCATGCATTGTAGGAAGAAACAGATGTGGGCACTTCTCCCTATAATCAAGCAGGAACCAAACTTCAGGTACTTATAAAGAAATCTATATGTTGGCTGTCTTTCACAAGCAAAAATGTTTACCTGGAGCAGAAGTGCTTTTTCAGGTTTATCGTGACCAATGGGAGCAGATTTTCTGGTTTCTCCCTTCCAATGGGGGCAGATTTTCTAGTTTATCTTTTCCAATGGGTGCAGATTTTCCGGCTTATCCTTTCCAATGGGGGCAGATTTTCTGGTATATCCCTTCCAATGGGGACATATGTGTTTAAGTCCTATTTGGCCAGAAGCACAGCTCATCCATCCAAAGACCATGCAGTTTAAAGGGACATGCATCATTTGACAATCTTTAAAAAGAAAAGAAAAAAGTTTGTTCTGTGTGCTAGATAGACGCTTAAATGACAATAACTGAAATAAATTTTAAATAGATGCTACAACACTTATGTACAGGTCTCTCTGGTCCCAGAAGTATATTAAAACAATAGGGGATTTGAGAGGGTTAATACGAAGAGAAACCACCTCAAAAACCCATAAGTGGAGCGCTTGTAAATACTTACCCCTAATTTTAGGGGTATCAGGTAGTCCCAAATAAGGTGAAATACGCAGAACAAAAAAAAGAGAAATCTTCAATGGTGAAGTATGTCTGATTTTAGTGACAATAAATATAAAAGTGGTAGTTTGCACTCACAAGTAGAGAGCCAAGAGGGGGACTGGCTCAAATCACATTTGGTGTGCGATGGGAGAAACCTTCCCTCTTTGATTTTCTTGTTTCAATACTCAGAAGGGAAAAAGACACATAGAAGGGATTTTCCCTTGGTGAAGTATGTCTGAATAAGTTATATGTGCAATTGTATCTCAAAATGAAAAATTGCTCACCTGGTCCAGAGCCAATATTAGTTAACCTGGCTCTGGTGTATACAGCTTGTTACCCACTGAGGGGGGGTAAACCTTCTTTAAGAGGTAGATGATAAAGATGATTTAGGAGGTAGATGATTAGGACTTCGATTAATAAAGCCCAAGGGAGGGCGAACCGCATCTCGAAGAGGCTGGCAGCTAAAGACTCTTTATATATATGATTGTTCTATTGTTTTGTAAATTTTATGTATTAATTCTTTAATAAGATATTGTATATATTAATAAATTGAAAAACTAAAAAACAAGCAATAGAAGGCGCTAAAAGTGCTTAATATTGAATAAATATAAAGATAATAAAGGTAGAGCAGCACCTAAAAGTGTACAAGCTCATAAAACACCATACATAAGATACAAATAAAATAGGTGCGCTGTACCTTTAAATATTTAAAAGTGCAAATAGTGCATAAATTAGTGCGAAAAAACAAGGAGTGTGTGCACAGTATAACCACACTCAGTGTAACATATGTGCAAAATTGCAAGTGAAGTAGTGAAAGACCAATATCCGAATAATAACTTACAGAAAAAATGTATATCTCCTTTGGTGCTCCAAATCAAATGAGAACATATGTAAAGGGAGATATAAAATGGAGAAACATAGCATAATACAGTTTAAAAATAAGTATAAGAACCAACAGTATAAAATAGGAATATCACTCACAAAGGAAGAGCAGTAAAAGCCTGCTCTAACTGATCCAGCTTATAGTCCTCAAACCAGGACTTCAATGATGGTACAAGTAGGCAGGACGCCAGCTCTCAATGTACACAGCCTTTATTAAAAGTTAAAATCCACAGTCCCCGTTTCCATTTAGAAGTCTAGTAACCTTTTGTCAGTGCTGCATTACGAATATCTACCAGTCCTTGGTAATTTTCGGCACTGCAGGTTTCACTTCCTGGAACTCGGGGTTCCGTCCGGTCACGTGATGACGTAATCGACGTGATGACGCGTTTCGCCCAATCGGCTTCCTCAGATCACGTCCTAATGTAGCTGGTCCTGCCTTTTAAAGCCCATACAATGGGCGTGGTATACATCAATCATTTCAAAGACTCCCCATGATCTCATTAGGGGTTGATCTTCTAAATGTCTATTTTAAGAAGTCCCATAAAATATACAACAGCAATTTAAAAATAACACCGAGCTGAACGACTTCCTCAGGGATATCTAGTATATAAATGTCCATATGTCTTATTCAAAACAATAACAATAATAATAGAATACATATATTACACATATATTTCTTTCATTAGCATCTTAATAAAGGATAAAAACAGACACAGAATAAGAGAATATATATACACATATGTAAAAAATTTGTATACCCGAAAAAAACCTTCTATGAAGGAAGAAAAGGAAGAAGGTAATTAATAATCATCTTATTAAAATAAAACACCTAAAAATACTAAAAAACAGTATGCAGAATAAAAAATAAAAAAATTGAAAATTAAAAAATAGCAAATATTGAAAATATAAAAAATATTTAAAAAAGTTATACAAGTCAAATTCAATAGAAAAAACTGAAAAAAATCAGCGCTAAATGGCCACAATAAAAGAAGGCTGCACTCCTCAAAAGGGAATCCCCTATAATTCCCTAATAATTGGAAGAACACAAAACAAACAGTACAATAAGGATGCGCCTAAAATATATACTGAAATATATAAAATACAATAAATAATAAAACAGTATATAAAATATGATATAAAAAATGCTTGACTATAGTCCAAAACGTATCAAAGTTCGTGATGGGGAATCCCACGTGAAATAAAGGAAGATTCTTAAGATGTGGAGTAAGGTCAGATCTTCATAGTTGTATGCTTAGAATTCAATGGAGCATATGTGGAGAGAAGAAGAGACAGGACTCCAATGGTACAGTATGTAGATACGTTGAGAATGAAATAATAAAATAGGTCTTACTCACACTTTTCAGAGCTGAGGATCCAGCTCTGATATTAGGCGCGTGAAGTGGAATAATCACCACTCAAGGATATATGGAGTAGATTTCAATTGACGATTCTCTGGTGCACGTTCGACGTCCAAATTACAGGCCCAGAAGGAGAGAATAAAATATATAGTGCTCTCTGTATTATGATAAAAGGTTAAAAAGTATAAAATGTATGTTACTCACATTCTTTTGAGCAGGTATATACTGCTCACTATAAGCGCTTAGGTGGTATAATCCCCACCTATGGATTCTTTAAGCTTCTTCTAAAAATAGGCAATATAGGTAGTCAGGTGAAAGAAAAGAAAAGAAAAATGGCAATAAAGTGTTTTATGCCAAAAATTATTTATTATAACGTAATAAAATAATATCTAGATGCGTTTCGCCTCAAGGGCTTCTTCAAGTCTACTTTATCTGAATTCTAAGCATACAACTATGAAGATCTGACCTTACTCCACATCTTAAGAATCTTCCTTTATTTCACGTGGGATTCCCCATCACGAACTTTGATAAGTTTTGGACTATCGTCAACCATTTTTTATATCATATTTTATATACTGTTTTATTATTTATTGTATTTTATATATTTCAGTATATATTTTAGGTGCATCCTTATTGTACTGTTTGTTTTGTGTTCTTCCAATTATTAGGGAATTATAGGGGATTCCCTTTTGAGGAGTGCAGCCTTCTTTTATTGTGGCCATTTAGCGCTGATTTTTTTTCTGTTTTTTCTATAGAATTTGACTTGTATAACTTTTTTAAATATTTTTTATATTTTCAATATTTGCTATTTTTTAATTTTCTATTTTTTAATTTTTTTATTCTGCATGCTGTCTTTTAGTATTTTTAGGTGTTTTATTTTAATAAGATGATTATTAATTACCTTCCTCCTTTTCTTCCTTTATAGAAGGTTTTTTTTCGGGTATACACATTTTTTACAGATGTGTATATATATTCTCTTATTCTGTGTCTGTTTTTATCCTTTATTAAGATGCTAATGAAAGAAATATATGTGTAATATATGTATTCTATTATTATTGTTATTGTTTTGAATAAGACATATGGACATTTATATACTAGATATCCCTGAGGAAGTCGTTCAGCTCTGTGTTATTTTTAAATTGCTGTATATTTTATGGGACTTCTTAAAATAGACATTTAGAAGATCAACCCCTAATGAGATCATGGGGAGTCTTTGAAATGATTGATGTATACCACGCCCATTGTATGGGCTTTAAAAGGCAGGACCAGCTACATTAGGACGTGATCTGAGGAAGCAGATTGGGCGAAACGCGTCATCACGTCGATTACGTCATCACGTGACACGGACGGAACCCCGAGTTCCAGGAAGTGAAACCTGCAGTGCCGAAAATTACCAAGGACTGGTAGATATTCGTAATGCAGCACTGACAAAAGGTTACTAGACTTCTAAATGGAAACGGGGACTGTGGATTTTAACTTTTAATAAAGGCTTTGTACATTGAGAGCTGGCGTCCTGCCTACTTGTACCATCATTGAAGTCCTGGTTTGAGGACTATAAGCTGGATCAGTTAGAGCAGGCTTTTACTGCTCTTCCTTTGTGAGTGATATTCCTATTTTATACTGTTGGTTCTTATACTTATTTTTAAACTGTATTATGCTATGTTTCTCCATTTTATATCTCCCTTTACATATGTTCTCATTTGATTTGGAGCACCAAAGGAGATATACATTTTTTCTGTAAGTTATTATTCGGATATTGGTCTTTCACTACTTCACTTGCAATTTTGCACATATGTTACACTGAGTGTGGTTGTACTGTGCACACACTCCTTGTTTTTTCGCACTAATTTATGCACTATTTGCACTTTTAAATATTTAAAGGTACAGCGCACCTATTTTATTTGTATATTAATAAATTGATCTATTTGATCATCCACCTCAACCTGCTGCCTACCTGCATCTCCCTCCTAAAGAAGGTTTACCTCCCTCAGTGGGTAACAAGCTGTATACACCAGAGCCAGGTTAACTAATATTGGCTCTGGACCAGGTGAGCAATTTTTCATTTTCAGATACTATTGCACATATAACTTATTCAGACATTCTTCACCAAGAGGAAATTCTTTCTATGTAGCTTGTTCCCTTCTGAGTATTGAAACACGAAAATCAAAGCGGGAAGGTGTCTCCCATCGCACACCAAAGTCTATGTGATTAGAGCCAGTCCCCCTCTTGGTTCTCTACTTGTGAGTGCAAACTACCACTATTTATATTTCTTGTCACTAAAATCAGACATACTTCACCATTGGAGATTTCTCTTTTTTGTTTTGCATATTTAACCTTATTTGGGACTACCTGATACCACTAAAATTAAGGGTAAGTATTTACAAGCACTCCACTTAAAGGTTTTTGTGGTGGTCACTCTTCGTATTAACCCTTTCAAATCCCCTATTGTTCTAAAAGAAAAGAAACCTTTTTAAATACACCAAAATAAAGAAAAAATATTTTTAAAAGTATAAATTGTGGTCAGATTATATGGTTGGGAAATGTCGATCAACTAGGGGAGTTTCTTCAGCCCTCCACCCTGCCACTTGCTACCTCTTACACTCCCAGCTCAGACCAGCCCATTAATGACAAAAATCATTGTGCAGCAGGAGAGAGAAATCAGACACTGGAGCCTGCTTTGCATGATCACACTGATCAGACTCTCTTCTACTGTCAGGATGTTGCAAGGTAAATAAATATTCCAACTGCACATGTGTAAATCTGTCAGGCATGCTCAATGCACTTTTCCAGCATTCCTAGGGATAGGACATTGGTTGGTTAGATAAGTGTGGAGCTAGTGTGGAAAGCATAAGAAAGAAGAAGCAGGTAAACATGGGAAAAAAATCATATTGGCCTGTTTTTTTTCAGCCTGCAAAGTGAGGCAACTGTCTCATTTAAAGCCAAAGATATGAATGAGACGGTTGTCTCAAAGTGATGCATGTCCCTTTAAGTAAGAGCTAGTGCATGTTTTCAAATTCTGATGTCATGCAGTAGTATTGGGCTTCTCAAAAATATGATCTAAGCCCATTTAATTACATCATGGCAAATAAGTTCTCTTCTGCAATGGATTTAAATAGAACTTTAAAGATGGCTGTTCCTACAAAGCAAAAAAAGAGGTATTAAAGAACGACTATAGGGTCAGGAACACAAACCTGTATTCCTGACCCTATAGTTTTAAAAACACCATCTGCACACTGACAAAAGACTAAAAGTACTTTTACAGGTTAGTACTTTAATATCATTATTATGTTATTTTAGGCCCCCTGGAAGCTGCACTGGTTGTAGCTGCACAAGAATGACTTAACTTGTGCCTGCAGCAAATCTACTGCAACTGCCACAGAACACTGGCTGCTATGGCTGGCTTAGTTCTTTCACTGCTACTGATATAAGTGGCTGTGTTTTTGTATAAATATGATACAGAATTCCTAGTTTGGTTCTCCTTGTTTGAATGTATACAGGGCTTAAAATATAAATCCTACGCTGCTAGCCTGCCCCTAAAATTCACTTGCCACTGCAAGAGTCTCGGGGGTCCATGGCACACTCAGCAGGGGTGAATCCCTCCCATAGCTACATTTTCACACTCCTTGCTAGTGGCAAGGGGAAATGCTGAGTCCTGAATACATATACAAAACCCTCTTACTAATGTCAAATGGAGTTCTTGTCTGAGACCCAGACAGCCTTCATGCTTCAGTATAGAGCTTGGCAACTCTTACACGGTAAAGTAGGCATGTATCTTAAACAAATGATGGTGTTTTTTTTCTTCTAGGTAGAGTGAGTTAATTTACTCATTCTATTAATGGAGCAACAGATAAAAAATGGTTTAATGTCTCTTTAAAATCCTGTTACAGGAGTCGTAGGCAAAATATAGGGAAAAGAATTACGAGTTGTGTTGTTCATACATTTAAGAGATCAACTCTCGTTTTCTGTTGAGCTGCAGGGGTTAAATCCTGTGGCTTAGTGGTGAATGTCTTTGTGCATAACCTCACATGTCATTATATTCCATTGGCTAGTAATCTGTTTATTTCGCTGTCATGTTGTGGTGTTAATCTTGTACACGTTCGCTGCCTGAACACACCACTGACATGTTCCTAAATTGTTTAAAATAGCATATATTTTCCTCTACGTCATTCTCGAAGTATTGGATTGAAATATCTAACCCCTAAGAATGGATTCATTTATGCACCCGGCATGGAGGTGTCCCAAGATTAATATGTATATAGAAAATAAATTCTGTTAGATCTGGTAAACATTATAAGCTTCTCTTCATATCTGATCTTGTTCCCACTTGTTGAATCATCATAGCTGGAATGATATTTGACTAATTTTGTTTACGTAGCTCGTAGCCAGGAAATTATTTTAATTAGTTTAGCATGGGTATATATATTTTTTAACTGTTTATATGAATTGGTGTACACTATGAGTGTTGAAAGGGTTGTTTCGAAGAGCTCAGGGTCGGCGGTATGTTTCCCAAAATTAATATTTATTTTATAATCAATCCTCTCCTACATTCGGTTGTCAAAATCCAATCCTGTAGCATGTGGGGGGGAACAAAGAGTTTCTCTTGTCTAATATTAACGCAAGTCCGTTATATCTCCCAATGATATCATATTGTAAGCCAGAGAGCAGAGAGAGTGTGCCATTATAGACAAACGGGGAACTGAACGGAAACTCTTTTCCCCTTGTAAATATCATAGTACAGCTTACAAGTCTACTTACAGAATTAGATCAAAGTTAAAATATAAAATTGGTGCTTCACTTAGTGAATAAATACTTTTTTTTCCCCCTTCTTCCATAGTTAAAGCAACACTGCTGACTTTATAAAAATGTCAAGTTCTGGGCCCAGTCTTACCTTATCGATAACTGTTTAACACTGTTTGTTGTTGTTATGTCACCCATCTGCTATGCCCCTTGCTCTCATCTGACACTCTCAGCCTATCATTGGTGGCCAAGGTGAATCTTCCATGTGTCGACTGGAGAGGAGACCAAGGTGTATATAGGAGATATATTGAGGTGTAATATCCCTTTTAAAAATAACCCTACAGTCTTACTATATATCATGTACTTTTCATATATAGCTGTGGATGGGAACAGCTTATACCCTGTTAGACACTAGTGATCTTTTTCACCTTTCTTAGTTTTTAAAAAAACCTATTAAGGTAAAATTTACCTTAAATTTAGCACCAAGCAAGGTCCTCCTCGCTTCATTTCCATGAACCATCTGCCTTCAATCTGCGTCATCCGTTGTCCAGTCATATGCTTCCCATTGAAAAACATTTGACTGGACAGTTTCACTCCAAGCAAAGTTCAAGTATCTCTGGATGTCCAGTGTTTCAATCAGAAATGCTGCAAATACAGACTATTACCACCATGAAAACATCTAAAAATGGTCATGGTAATTGGAGTAACATTTTAAGGATTATGCATACATAGAACATATCCATTATTTTAGTGCATTTCTGCATTAAAGCAACTATACCTATATCATGATTAATATTATACATTTTTTTTGTATATGCCCTTTCCTTTTGGCCACCCCTGTTTTGGAGGTGGGTAGGGGACTTGACGCAGTGGTGTAGACAAGTAATCTTCTAGTCCTTCTAACACATAATATAAAGTAACAAATTTAAGCTATTTATGGAAAATGAACTGTTTATATATTGGCACAGAAACTGCATTTGCTTTTATCCCTGTTACTGGAGTGTGATGTTACATTACTGTCAACATGGTATGCTTGTATGGTTAATTTGAAGTATATAGAGAACAGAGCAGGCCTGGTAACTTGGTGCCAACAATATTCTTTCACTTTGAAATTAAGTTTAGAAGATTTAAACTGTTATGTTGTAGTACTGAGGTAGGGGGGTTTAAGCTGTTGTTTATGTACTGTAACAGTGTTTTAATTTTTTGTGTACCCCACCTCTGGAAACCTGAATTACCACCGTAAAGGTGCACTCCAGGCGCCCACACATGCTAGAATACAGTTTGTTGTGCTGGAGATAGTTAGTTTATTTGTTTTTATTCCATAAGGCCACATTTTCTCTTCCAAACTGCGGTGTTCTTATTTATTTTAAAATATGGCTGTACAAGATGCCATGACTTTCCAAGAGTGATTTAGCGTTTGCTTTCTCCTCAGAAGAAAGCTGATAATTGTGATTATTACAATCTTAATTTTAAAAGCTATACCTTACTGTACAATTTTTTTCCCCACTGAAAATATATTCCTATTTTTCTCTTATTTGACTTTGTAATTTTTAGAACCTTTTTTTCTTTTTCTTTCTTTGATCAGTGTATGTGCTAGAGTGTTTGGACAGAAAACTCCCATTCATTATTGGATTGCTGTTTCATTCTAACTTATTCTTACTTCAGTTTTCAGACAATTATTATCGGGCGGAACTGATCGACGCGCTGTCTAATTCAGTAACACCCGCAGTGAGCGTTAACAATGAATCACGGACTCTGGATAACCTGAATGCTGAAGTTCGCCTGATTCTAGAAGAGATAACGCGGTTTCTCAATATGGAAAAGCTTCTCCCCAGTTATAGACATACAATAACAGTCAGGTAAGCTTGTTTGTTAGAACATTCTATGAGATGATCCTTTCTGAACATATTCTCACCGTCTAAAACCTTTTCAAGCTGATCTGATGATCATTTACTGATCCATGCCACCTGGAGTAAGTTGCAACCTACTATATTTTACTTTTTAATGGATACCCTTTTCTCCTAGTTGTCTCAGAGCCATTCGTATTCTTCAGAAAAATGGACATGTACCCAGCGACCCAACGCTCTTTAAATCGTATGCAGAGTATGGACACTTTGTGGATGTCAGAGTAGCAGCTTTAGAGGCAGTTGTTGATTACACTAAAGGTAATATAAATGTATTTTTGCTAATAGTAAGGGAATCTGAGAGGAATCTTGTTTCTCTCACATTCTTCTTCCATTGCACTTCTAAACGTGTACAGCTTGCTATGACTGATCAGAGATGAGTGACCTTATAGTCCAGGGGTGATGAAATGTCAGGTCTCCAGCTGTTGCACCTCCTATGAGGCTCTGCTAGATTTAAAGCTCTGCAGCATGCGGGGTTTAGTCCTGCAACAGTTGGTGATCTTTCTTTTTTCCCCACTAATGTTGTAGATGAAAAAGAGTCGTTGACCACCCATGCATTTGACACTTTTCTTAAGTTTTTTTAAAAATGTGGTTCTTTCTCTTTCATGGGAAACTGAAGCCAGAAACCTTGCTTTTGGGAATCAACTACATGTCTTTGTAAATAAAAGTATCTCTTACCAGGCCAGTGGAAGGTTTTACTGAACACCTTATCAAGTCTACAACTTGCTTCCTTCCTTCGTTGTACAGAAATCATCAACTTCTACAGGAAACAAAACACACAAGACTAAGCTCTATGAGAACAGCTAGTCAAATATGTATGTGGTTTTCCTTTCCTAATAAACTGAGTGGAAACGTATAGTGTTCCTTCCATCAGAATTGGCATTATGTTACATTCCTTCTTGTATTGAAGCTTGCAGTAGCTTCTTGCTAAAAGGTTGATAATGCCACATTGAATTAACTTGCTAATTCCTCTTTGTATTTTAATGCTTAAGGAACTAGCATTCTGCACCACTCCTGATTCTTCTTAGATGTAGTCATGACACCCCTCAGTAGGTCCACTAAAGTGACCTGAAAGAAAAGGGACTCTACAATTAAATTTTTACGAACTACCAACGTGAATCTTTGATCTGCAATTACCACTGGAAACATTAACATTTTAACCATAGTGTCCTTTTTCACACCAGGCACTGTCAGCATTTTGACATTAAGACGAGGGCCTGACAAAGTTTTCCAAACCGCTGCTGGCATGCTTTAATTTGCCTCTACTGGCAGTTAGATATATGTATGCCAGCACAGTGATGGTTAGACTTCCCTGCAATAGTGATCGTAAAATGCACTTTCTGCAACAACTGGCTAAAGAACATGGGAAATCCAGCTCATATACATTTATGATACCAGATTAGCCAGCATGGTTCTAGAAGCTGCAGATATAAAATGTGCAGGTGCATTGCTGGGGTGGACTGATGTGGGCTAGAGGTACAGTATTTGGAAAGGGAGAGAGAGAATACAATACTGGTATGTCGCATGATATAATAATTTTAATAAATTATTTTTCTGCAGTTTGTCTTAAAATGATTTATTGCTTTTGTACAAAAAAGTACAATAAAAAATAATTGGAACCCAGAAAGGGAATTTCAATGACTCTTAATACCGGAAATGGTCTCTATATGAATACATTTGTGATGTGTAGTATTTATTAATATATTAAATTAATATGACTGTGTATTTGTAGTTGACAGAAGCTATGAAGACTTGCAGTGGTTACTCAGCATGGCCCAAACTGATCCTTTACCATACATTCGGTAAGTAGGAAACCACTTATGTGCTACTCCAGTTATCTTCAAACTGCTTTAGATACAAAGCAGATCTAGACTGACTACCAATAGGAGTGTCCTCGGCTAAATGAAAATATTGCTGTTTTACATTATCAGATAAAAATAACAGCACTACTGCATTTACATATAGAGGTCTACTGGGAGTATGTCTTTTCTATCACTTTCCCACCTTACTGCTCATTTTAAGCATTTGGCAATCATCACAATTGTGGTTAATTGTAAAGGGAAGTTTAGATTGTAGGCCAATGTGCTGTAAACAATTTAAGGAGAACACCCAAGTACCCAAGGGATTACCTTTGCATTATATTGTAGCTGCTTTTATTTATATGTGTATACCCTACCGGGTTTGGATGAGCTACTGTATATTATGCTGGCAAGAATTAGGCTTGTTCTGAAGTCATGTACTGTGAATCAGTCAGCTCACACTAGATGGGGTTAAAGCATTGCAATGAAATGTAGGATAGTGTTGAGTTGCACATTCATTCTTTTGTGCTTGCATGTTTAACCATTAGATAAATAAAGTATGTTATAAGCAGATTTAATCATGAATAGGCCTGTTCAGCAGCAGGAGGGAGGTTGAGTCCCCTCTCCCCTCTCTAAATTTATGTAATTATATAACCCAGATGCTCGTGATGTCAGTGAAGCAGATTGTTGCCAATCTCTACTCTGTAGGTCCACTGTTACGGTCACAATTTATTGTGTGATTTGATTTTCTCCAGAGAATGTATACATGCTATCCGCTGTTTGCCCGAACATTCATTTCAACTACTTCATTGTGTCCCTGCTTTCAGAAACACATACAATGAAGCAACATTGGTTTTGTACATATTGGCCACTCTGATGATTACTTGACATCCTTATACATATTTTCTATATAAGCTATTCTTTATTTAGTCCTTTAAGGATTAAGGCAATTGTCCAAGTTCTGAAGCGAAGCAAAACAAAACCTAGAATTTGTGCGATGTGATGTCTTTGTGCGGTGCTATAAACCTCCCAGGTGCAATGCATCCTGGGGAAACTTGCTTTGTATTGCGAAAAAAAATTGTAAACCGAGGCATTATTTTCAATGGATTTTCATTTGTAAACCGAAAATTATTTTAACCGAGGCGTTTGTAAACCGAGGTCCCACTGTATTGTATTTCACATTCAGATTTCATATTTCCTAGATGAACAGGTTTACTTAAAGGAACACCCCAGTCACTATAACAAATGCATCACAATTAAGTTGTTATGGTGCTCACAGTACCCCCGGTGCTTTGTTACCTGAAGGGGTTAAACTATTTTCAAACATATAAACCCAAAAGATTGCCTCCAGTGCTGGATCTCCAGTTCCCTCAGCTGCTTCTGAATCGGAGTGGTCAGCTGAAGCCAGTCAGTAGCTTCCCATTCATAAAAAAAGGCATGATGGAGTTATGTTAATTGGAGTGTTCCTTTAATTAACAGGGCATCTATTTAGGTGGAACAGTCCCTGTTTTGGGCCCGAATCCCCCTGTCCCTCTTTTCTATCTCAGTATCTCTCTTTTCTAGGAGCTCCATATTGTTTGTGTGCCTTCGTTTATAGCTATAGCAGAAATCCACAGCAATAAAATGCCACAGTAATGTCTTTTATTCCAGAAGTTTGGTCCTTAAGGGGTTAAAGGGAATCATGACATGTCACACATGTCATGTGTCCTTAAGGGGTTAAACTAGAATACATGTGTGTAGAAATCAGTTTGTGTAAAATTAAAGTGTCCCTCGTCCATTTTAAATGTTGGGTAGTATGATAATGTGTATCTATTTATCTTGTAACTTTGGTTTGCACGTAAATAAAAACTATAGTGTTAATATGAAGTTAAAAAGATTATAGTTGGGGGGCGGAGCCAACTGCGAGACGAGCTGGACGCACACTAGCTAAGCTCCGGCGGGCACCACGGGCAATCCTCACTCACATCAGGCGACTACCGCAAAATGGGACACCCCAAAAAAGCACTAATCTCTGCCCAAACCTCCAGCAGACAGTCCGGAGCAAAATCGGGCGCGCTGACCAAATACTTTAAAGACAGCGCGTCCCAACAAAATGAGGAGGTTAGCCCCAAGCTGGCGCCGGATCAGTCGCAGGAGTCAGAATCGGCACCGGCTAGCCTTGCAACCTCTGACAGCACATCAATCACAGGGGACCAGGATTTGAGAGACATCCTAAGAAACTTACCTTCCAAACAGGATTTAGCAGAGATGCTGCACAAATTAGAAGTAACGTTCCAGAAGAAGATGGAGGACCTATCCACAGAAGTGAAACACGTGGGGGACAGAGTAAGCACCCTGGAAGACAATCACGACCACACATCCACGCAAATTAAACAGATCCAGCAAGCTCTGGAGTCACAGAATATACAGATAGTGTCTATGTACAGAGCATTAGACGACCTTGAATAGGGGACGCCGCAATAATCTGCGCTTCAAAGGCCTTCCAGAGTCGGATGGCGAAAACCTAACAAACACCCTCCAAACGCTGTTTAACCATCTGCTACACAAAGACCCAAGTCAATGCATCCTGTTTGACAGAGTCCACAGAGCAATCAAACCAAGAGGGCCAGCAACAGGCGCCCCTAGAGACGTGATCTGCCGGCTTCATTATTATGGGGTCAAAGAAGAGATCCTCTGCGAATTACGGCAGACCACCCAACCCCTCCTCTATCTTGGTGCACAAATCCAAATCTTCCCGGACCTATCCTGGATGACACTGCAAGCGAGAAGAGTCCTCAAACCGCTGACAGACGTCCTCCACGCCAGGAACATCAGGTACCGCTTGGCCACTCGCTTGGCCACTCACGGCCACCCACAACGGAGTCACAGCCACCCTTTCTTCAGCAAGAGACGTGCCTACGTTCACCTCAGCCTTGGATCTATCAGAGATACAAATTCCAGATTGGTATGGGCCGGTCCAACCCCCTCATAACTTAGCCCGTACGCAACGAGCTAGGTGGCAGACACCATCTAAACGCCGCCGAAATGACCCACTCCAACAACAAGGGGGCATCCCGCCCTGAAGCTCTATAAACTCTCACGCTAGCTGATATACCACATGATCTTTCATTTGAGCCCTAACAAGAGCGTCCATCACACGAGTGATACACACAGACCCAGCCTCCCTCATCCTCACCCCTTTACTCCCCCCCCCCCAAAAAAAAAATAATAATAATAATAATCAAAAAATTTAATAAAACTCTTGCACCCCTCCACTCAAAAACTTAAACTACATACTATAAGGATTTCTCGGGACAACACCCAAGGCAACCTCATCACTATACATCACTCCCCTTAGTGGAGGCGGAGGACGGATGACACAAGCAGTAAGCAATTCTCCTCACGAACTAGTTCCACTAATGGGACCATTTATTCATCCACTTCAAATACACATTCATGACTTCTGGGTCATATGATGATCAACGCTTATCGTGATTGCAAGTAAACCCCACCCCCTCCCTTTTTCTTATCCCATCTCCCCACTCCTTCCCATCCACCTCACTGTACCTGAGAGCGCTCAAGGATTAATTAATCAGCAAAGTAGAAAGACCAGTGCAGCCTTGTATGTGAAATATAATAAGATATTTACATTATCTGATGGTGTTGAGGGCGGATGGGAGAGCACTTGAGAGAGTTAAACTAGTGAAAAGGTACCAACCCTCCGAGTACGCGGGTAGGTGCTGCCACCCCAAATATACTCAACAACCATACTTAAATTTAATGCCTAGTACGGATGGTGGATCTTGCCCCTAGTCCCACTCAACAAAATATTGAACACCGCAGGGAGAACGCCCGTCTCCCACAGGAGAGAAAACCTCCTAAGACTTAATCCACCTCCCCTGAAATTCTAGACCACCTATAGTGACACCACAGGTCACAGCAGCGCCTCAGTTGTCTCCCAGGGATTCCCTACATCCCCAGGGAAAGCCGCCGACAGCAGAGGCCTGAATCCACATCCATATTCTACTAGCTAACTCTTAACTGTTCGCTACAGCCGGATCCTAGACACTTTGTAAATAGTTAAAATTGTTATTGTTCGTTTATTTTCACTGTATCAATTAGCTCCTAACAGACATCTAAGCTTTCCATGGCTAACATACATGTGGTTACTCTCAACACACATGGCCTCAACTCACCAACCAGGAGATCCCTGACACTAAATGAACTCCACAAATTAAGGGCAGATGTAGCATTCCTGCAAGAAACCCACTTTAGAGCAAACACAGCCCCATCCCTTCGCAGTAAACATTACCCCAACGGATACTTCAGTAACTATACTGACACTAAATCTCAAGGTGTGGCCATACTCATAGGGGCCAGAACGCCATTCACACATACCGCTCACTACACAGATACTAACGGGAGGCTTGTCAATGTGAAGAGACGCATAGGTAACACCCAGGCAACATTTGCCAATCTCTACCTCCCCAATACCAAACCATGCTCACACATGCGCAAATACATAACCAAAATCGAGGAATTCGCGAAGGGTATACTTATCATGGGAGGGGACCTTAATATCTCTCTCGATTCTGACCTAGACACAACCTCTAGAGCCACAAAATACAATGCAACAACCAGAGCCAGAATCACACAACTACTAGACAAAGCTCACCTATTTGACGGATGGAGGGTAACCCATCCCCAAACACGAGATTACTCCTACTATTCAGCAGTTAAACATACTTACTCAAGAATAGATATGCTCTTCCTCCAACATAGACACCTCCACCTTATTAAGTCCTGTGAATACGGCCCCATCATATGGTCAGATCATGGCCCTCTGTCTATGACCATACGAATACCAACCTTGACACCCACAATGACACAATGGAAGCTCAACGACACTCTCCTAAACAACCCATCCCACGTAGCACGTAGACACATTAAGCCGGTATTTTAAAGAAAACTGCTCACCATCTATCTCTCCTACAGTAGTCTGGGAAGCGCACAAAGCAGTAGTAAGAGGACACATCATAGCAATAGCATCCAAACAAAAGAAAATGAGGGAGGAACAGGTAGCCACTCTCACCGCAGACATAAAACACCTAGAAAGCATACATAAACGCAACGCATCTCTAGACACATACAAGCTACTGGTAGACAAACGCTCCACCGTACAAACTATACTCAACGCCAAAATACACCGTATGCTCACACGCCCGAAACATATATTCTATACTCAGGGAGGAAAATGCGGACGCTATTGGCTAGAGCCTTACAACAAAGCAAACAGCAAACATTCATATCCCAAATTAAGACATCATCAGGGTAAGTCACTACACTCCTACCCGACATTCTTAAGGAATTCCATACCTTCTACTCACAATTATACAACCTCAGACAACACCCACCTGACTCGGAAGACATGAAAAATTTACTAACCGAACGACTTACCCAGACAATACCCCCAAATATCAGACATATCTTTGACATGCCTATCTCATCAGAGGAATTTGCCATGGCTACTAAACACCTACCACTAGGAAAGAACACAGGGCCAGACAGATTCACAGCTAAATATTTTAAAACCTTCTCCTCGACACTAACCAAACCCATTGTGGAGGCTTTCAACTCCATCATGAAGGGCCACACATTACCCCAAGATGCCCTAGAAGCCCATGTAACACTCATACCCAAACCAGGAAAAGACCATATGGAATGTGGAAACTACAGACCAATTTCCTTAATAAACGTAGACTTAAAAATGTTCACAAAAATTCTTGCGAACCTCCTCATGCCATTCCTGGGGGACCTGGTCCACTCGGACCAAGCAGGTTTCGTGCCGGGGAGGGAAGCCAAAAATAATACGACCAAGTTACTTAATCTCATTCATCTTGCAGATGGAATCAACGCACAAAGCCTCATCCTAACTGTCGATGCCGAAAAGGCGTTTGACAGGGTGGACTGGTCACTATTGAAGGCAACTATGCGAGCAATGGGTTTTGGCCCGAATTGGCACTCCTGGATATCAGCTATATTTTCCACTCCTGGGGCTAAAATACGGATAAACAGCTCTCTGACACAGTACACATAGCTAATGGGACCAGGCAAGGATGCCTGCTTTCCCCTCTCCTCTTCATCTTAACACTGGAACCCTTTCTACAGGGTATCAGAGACAACCCGAACATTCAAGGCATGCCAGTCTCAGACAGGGAATGCAAAGTATCTGCTTTCGCAGATGATCTTCTTTTCACACTCATCAACCCCGAAACCTCACTGCCCCTCCTACTTAGAGAGATAGACCTATACAATCAAGTGTCCAATTTCAAAGTCAACGCTAGGAAAAGCAAAATTCTTCCCCTACGCATGGCAGCCACAACTAAAACCAAACTCCAATCTACATACCCCTTCCGATGGCCATCTTCCTCAGTGAAATACCTAGGAGTGCAGCTCACTACCCCCTAACAAAAACATATGACCTCAATTACCCGCCCCTACTAGAAAGTTTCAAAAACGAATTAAAAACATGGAACAAACAACATTTTGGATGGTTATGCAGAGCTCACATCCTAAAAATGACTATTCTCCCGCAATTTTTTATACATACTACAGACACATCCCATTAATCATCCCATATTCAGAAATAGTACCCACGCCCAAAAGGTCAGCGATGCTGAGATATAAATAACACAACTAACGCACTTCATTCATTCACAACCTCACCTCCTTCAGGGATCCAAACACCTCACAGCATTCAAAACAATTACATCCACCCAGTCGGTTCAAAAGAGACACCTTTCTACATTCTACAAACTCTTGCGGACAGAACCGAAAGAGTGTCTCCCAGACTTTACAAAGTCATGGGAAAAAGATCTACACATTGCATTCACTCCTGATGAATGGGGAAGGATATTTACAAACATTTTCAAATCATCTAGGAACACCTCCACCCACGAAAGCAACTACAAACGCATAGCCCGCTGGCATTTTACTCCCACCCGTATACATAAATTTTTCTCAAACGCCCCCAACGTATGTTGGAGATGCAAATCCACAGAAGGTAATACAGGTCACATCTGGTGGTCTTGCAGTATCGTACAGGAATAGTGGGAAAAAATAACCACCTTAATAACCGTAATCACGGGATACAAAATCCCACGGACACCACAAACACTAATATTCCTAATAAAACGAATGTATGATATAAATGTCTTTCATTTTAATAATTCAAAGGTTACTAATCACCATGTATGTCTTCTTGGTTCTACTTTAGAACAAATTGTCTATATAACTGTTAGGCTACTGTCTGTTCTTTGGGGGAAAAAATCAAATAAAAACTTGGGGGGAAGGGAATTATAGTTTGGTTTTCAGGACCGTTACAAAACAAAGCATTATATTTACTAATTTTAAACAAAAGTCACAGCTAAGCCTTCTGGTACCACTAAGCCCCAAAACAGCCCTGTTTCTTTCATGTGGTATTTATATCATCATCTCACAGTCAAACATTGAAGAATAAATTGTTGATCCTGCTTGCATAATATAAATTGCTTTCTGTTGCAAACATTTTATGGGAACATAAATGACATGATGGGGAAAAAACAACTCTTTTTTTTATTTATTTTTTTTACTTAAAAAAAACTGGTTACTGATTTTCAATGTTGATCTCTATGGATACATTTGTCCCTGTTCCTTCCACATTGTCAAGGATGGCCTAAAAGTACATCCCTAGTCGGTAAGAACAGCAACTACCATGATGCTTTTTAGAGTTGGTTGTTGAGTTGCCAGCTTTCTGCTGTAGAAAATTCCTAGAAACCTACATTGTGATATCTTAACAATCACTGTTTTGGAGCAAAATGCCAAATACCGCACAAATATTTGAAAAGTCATAAAGTTTGCACTTGGCAGGCCCCAAATCCGGTATTTGAATAATATTGTGTAGATTTTCGTTTTTGTGTTCTATTGTTTTATGTTGTTTAATTTTTAGACGGAGGACATGATAATATTTTGATCTAGAATTTTCTTTTCGATTCTTCGTAGTTCTCAGTTTAGCTAATAACCACATAATCCTGTTTAACTCTTTGATACTTCTTTAATTTGTGCATGTTCATTCTGCTGCTGCAGTCTCTTTAGGTTCACCTCCTCCATTTGTATAGTCTTGCAGTGCCGGACACAAACATCAGTTCAGTCTGGAGATGATGTTTTCTCATATTCTGGAACAGTAACTTAGCATTAAAAAAAAAAAATCATAAAATTGCCCGGGGCCTCTTTATGAAGCTCAACACCGTTATTGCTGAGATATGGGCAATGGCTGCCCTACAACTTGAAGGCTACAGAAGAAGTAAAGCATTATTTCAGTTACTGAATTGACCTGGCTTGTGTTAATTTATTTTCCATAAACACTGAGCGGAATTGAAAACAGGCGTGCAATTGCCCCTATTACAAGCGCTCGTACTCAGACAGAATGTACCAGTCTTTCTAGAGGAATTAGTTGAGACTGCATGTGTTTGTAAAACTGAATGCTTTTAATATGCTCACCACTGCTAATGACCTAATATATTATGTAATTGGGTATAACAGAATCTCTACTGAAAAGAAATTGCCCCGAATTATATCCAAGCGTGGCAGGCAGTGTGTGTTAATCCTGGTTTTTATTTCTGAATAACTGCTATTTCATACATTTTATTAATGGAAAATACGTTATTTCTGTGTTAAACTCTATGACATATTATATGACTCTATGAATATGTTACCTAATTAACACTGAGATACATTGAAAAAGCTTTTTTCCATAATGACGTTTAGTATACATATAAATCAAATAATTTCAGTGAATATTTCACTTGTATAATTATTATTATTTATTTATACAGCGCCAGCAAATTCCGTAGCGCTGTATAATATGTAAATGTTGCAGATAATAATGATTGGTAAAAGCCGTAAAAGGTCAATGACAGTCTGTTATATTGCACTTATCTGTATGGAGCCTACGTTAAACAGAAGTAACATTATTTTTTTTTTTTAAATGATCTCTTCATCCACCTTTTGATTGTATAGTTTTAAAGGTGAGCTTTCCTGGCTGTTCCAGAACTGAACTGAATTCCGATGTTATTTGTTAAATTTTAAATATAAATTTAAAAGAAAGCAGAGCACCTCATTTAAAAAAGGAAATTTCCAATATTTTAATGTTAATTATCTTTAAAATATCTTTGTTTTTTTAAATTATTTTTTGTTGTTGTTTTTTTTAATGTTACATCTAGAAAAAGAATAGTTCAGCAAGGAACATTAAAATAAAAAATAAAAAAGTTTATTGTCCTTTTGAACTTAAAATTTGAAAAATAAAAACATCTATATATAGTTACTCAGGCTGTGCTTCCGTGGAGCCCTCTTATATATATATCGGGGCTGTTTCAAAACAGTTTTGCCAGACCTGAGACTTTAACTCATTCAGCTGTCATTCCGTCTATAGGTTTTCAAGATACGACTGACCTCACTATTACTGATAGGACCTGAGTTTCCTTAATACATCACTTATACCAACTGACCATTTATTATACAAGTCTCGAATAGTTGAAATGCTGACATTTTAAAAATCAGAATAATAATCTTTGTAATGCACATTGCCATGTTGGCTAGAGCTTCTGAACATAAACAGGGGAGAAACAGAGCTCCTTAACTTATTCTTCTTTATGTTTAGGATGACCTGTATTTTAGAATGGTTTGACTACTTACCTGAATGGAGTACCAAGTCTATGTTCCTTTAATGGCATTGGTTTAGTTACATTTTATGTTCTTTTTGGTTAGATTTATATGTGTCTGTTTATCTTTAGCAAATTATTATTCACTTGGTTGGCTGTACTTTTTTTTTTCTGTTGCAATAATCATTGTGACCTTTTGTTTCTATTATTGCTGTTGATGTTGTTCCTAACTATCATTTTTAATTCCAGTATAAATATCTTGTCAGCTACTGAGAAACTGCAATACATGTTCTCAATGTTTTCTTGTCTTTTCCAGGCACAAGATTTTTTACATGTTGTCAAAGAACCCCCCATTTACAAAGAGTATGGAGTCTCCTTTGTGTAATGAAGCTCTTGTGGACCAGCTCTGGAAGCTTATGAATTCAGGTAGACCTATTTCAGCAATTTGTGCAAGTTATCTTCCTTTAACTGTTGTTAGACAGTGATGTTGATGTTAAGAATGCTGTTGCAGTGAGTTCTTGGAAATTTTGTCATAGATTGAAGACACACTTGACATTAGCTACATTAAGAAGGTAATAAACAAGCATCAGGGGCGGGCTGGGACGGAGGTCAGTGACCGAGGACCTGACACCAGGAGGGGGCCCGGCGGCTTGTTCAGTATGCCGCCAGGTGCGAGGCCCCTGCAGGCAGCCTGAAAGTGCCCGTAGCCGCTGTTATGCAGCTCCGCAGTGTGCAGAGCTGCAGACCATGTGTCTCGCAAGATCTGGCCAATCAGAGCATTATATATATATATATATATATATATAAATGGCAGAGGAGTATAGCTGAAAAAACACAATACTGTGCCAATATAATTAGAACTCACAAGATGTAGATAATAGGATCACCTTGGGGTGCCTCCCCTTAGATGTTTGGGGGGTATATCCAGAATTCCCTCTCAACTGGTTGGTGGTGACGCCACACTATGGAAGTCCGGACTCAGGAAATGGTAAAAATAATCTGCTTTATTTCATAAGTATAAAAGGTAAAAAACAAATATGGTCTACATGTTTCGTCTAACAGAAGACTTCCTCAGGGACCCAATAATAAAAACAAATTGCAAATATAAAATATCCTAACAAAAGGACAAAATAGCACAATCAGTGCGTTGCTGCGGGTTACCACGGCAACGCTGTGAACGGGTCACACTGTGGAGCTGCAGACCGGATATCAAACTGGACCACAAGAGAATGACAGAAGGTATGTAGTCCCCCCTCCCTCACACCATCACCCCTTCCCACACATTATTACCCCCCCCTCACCATCACCTCCCCTGCCACACATTATTTACCCCCCTCTCACCATCACCTCCACTCCCACACATTATTTACCCCTCTCACCATCACCTCCCCTCCCACCCATTATTTACCTCCCCACACTATCCCCCCTTCACACCAACACCCCCTTCACACCAACACCCCCCCTTCACACAACACCCCCTTCACACCAACACCCCTCCTCCCTTCCTCCCTTCACACCATCACCCCTCCCTCCCCTTCACACCATCATCCCTCCCTCCCTCCTCACACCATCATCCTCCGTCTCACCATCATCCCCCTCCCTCTCACCATCATCCCCCCTCCTCCCTCTCACCATCATCATCCTCCTTCTCACCATCATCCTCCTTCTCACCATCATCCCCCCTCCTCCCTCTCACCATCATCCCCCCTCCTCCCTCACACCATCATCCCCCCTCACTCACACCATTACCATCCTCCCACACCAATACCACCCCTGCTTCACACCATCACCCCCACATAAACCACATTGTATCATATTTGCCTTGCTTCATAACATTAATATCCATTATAAAACCAGGAAAGGGTGGGCATGGATCGTGCGCTTATTTGGTGGTACAATGGGCCACTTGACTGGATTTGCCTCCAAGGGCTAAGGCTGGCAGCCCTCCCCTGACAAGCGTTATCTCTCGTAATACATGTGATCATGTGTTTAGTTTGTAAAGGTTTTTAGAACCCAATTTACTTTGTGCTCTAAATGTTCTGGACCAATTTATAGAACTTCCTGACATTCATTACTTAAAGGTTTTAATAAAACACTATTTTTGGATGGACTAAGCCTTGCTTGTATGGGCTCCCCTTTGAAATAAAGTTAAAAAACATTTAATCAATAAACTCACCTGTGAGCCTGCGACTAGACCAGTTCTTCCTGCAGCCTGATCCTTCTCCTGTGATGTAATTTCTCTGGACTCGGGATGGTCGAGAGGCCAGTCTCAGGACTGCATAGAGCGGGATCTGTGCAGCCATTGGTCATCCATTACCAACATGCTATGCTTGGTGATGGAAGATGCTTTTTATGCCTGGAATTGACATTAGCAGCCTGGAACTCTTGTACCGAGCTGCTAATGACCTTATCGGTGGTGGTATTACACCTCCTACGGTAATATTAGATAACTTTGTATGTGCAGCATTTGTTACTGAAACTGTGCGTATACTGTATCCAAGTACCATAGCCATTTCAAATCAATTATGTGATCATGACACAAAGAGTAGCTTGCCAACATTGCCCTCATTTTATCCCAGCATTATAGCAGCTAAATCAGTGGTGAGGATTCAACGTAAAGCTGAAGTAATTCAACTGTAGCAGGTTTTTTTTTTTTTGCTCACACTATTGAGTTTGGCTGCAAAGCGGGTAAGAACTGCTGGTCTGCGTTAGTAAATGGTCAAGGCTAAGATACAGTGTAAACACTTGTTTCTGAAGCAGTTCATTGAGGAAAAAGAGCATGGAGATCAACGTATGCATTTAACCACAGTTTATGAATCCCAGGGGATACCACACACAGACTACAAGGTTAATTATCCGCTGGGGCCTCTTTCAGGGAACCTGGACAGTTTTATTCTGCCCAAGCTCCTGTCAAGATGTGTGAAGGGGATATTTAAACCCTTCATGTAAAGAGCGGCCTAAACCTTATTGTAAACCACGTGGCAGGAGATATAAGCCTTCTTAAAGAACGACGGCCAAATGTCTATATTCTCCGCAGAGAGACAGTTAAAAGATCACACTCCCTTCCTTCCAGGTCTTTGTTTTGTCTCATGTCTAACAATTGTGTGTAGGGGCTTTTGTTATAGTGTTTTGTTTTTGGTGTTTTCTTTTGTGTAATGCTGTACTTGCAGTAATAAATGTTTAATGTAGACACTTTAGCATTATAGTTGCCATAGATTTTATTTCTCTGATAACGTTCTGAAAATGCATAACATTCGATATCTATGTAAGAGGTGATCTTAATGTCATATGGGATCATATCGGACAAATTAAAGCCATCGAGTAATAAAAAAAGAAATCTGCTACATATCAACAGCCATCACTAGATTAAATGTACTTTCCTTATGTTTAAAGATCTGTGAGTTTGGTTTATTGTTTCTACTTTTCTCACAACATGGAAAATAAGTAGAAAGCTTTGTATTCCTGTTTATCACTTTTTAAACATTTCAATTTTATTTAAACTTCTCTGTACATCGTATGCACATCCCCCAAATACTGCTAATTTCTCATTCCTTATGATCAATCTGGCACGTTATAGTGGTTGTTAATATAACAGAAGCCTGTTTATAACAAACCATTGCTGTGTTAAAACTTTCACATCTATGGTTCCTTTTGAGTTTACATACAAGGGCTGTCAACGGATATACCATTAGCAGGATGGCACCTGGGCACTAATTTAGTGTTTTACTATTTGAGCTAATAAACACAGCTGGTGGCTATGAGGTAATTCTCAAGTTCCAGAGGAAAAATCACTTTTTGGGTCGTAATGCTGCCCAAATGGAAGCCCATTTTAGTTTAATCTACTTGCCTTTTCGTTTTCTTTTACCATGAATATTAATGTGACTACTGAAACGAGTACCAAAGGCAAAATAAAACCCTTGATTACCTATTTGTCATTTCACAATATTTTTAACAGCAATAGCCCACATCTTCCCTGGATATAACAGTTACATTTTTCCAAGTATAGACCTACATTGTTAATTCACATGCATTGAGACACTGTAAGTACAGGGGTGTAGGAAGAATCTGTGGATTTGCCAAACAATGGAAAAGTAGTGTTCACAGAAACCAGAGGCACTGCACTGTAATCACTATAAAAACCATAGTGATTTTGCCGCTTTAAATTTTAATGCAGGCTGAAAGAGTGAATACAAATCTTATTATCTTTTAAAGTAAATGCTTTATTTCAAAAGTTATTTGTGATTGGAAAATTAACTGTAAAAATAAGCTAAATAATCTTTCTTTGGTGCCAGACAGCAGATAAAGAATTACATTAGTTGTTTTTGTTGTTGTGTTTTTTTACTTCACCCTAACATGCATTTAGGAGATTGCCTTTCCTGGACAGATTAGCAGGGTGTCCTACCCCCATATCTTATTGTCGCCGCTAACAACTTACAAATCCACCAATATAACCAAGCAACCTACCTCATTGTGATTTCAAGCCCTTTTCTGCCAGGTTTTCCAGCTACAATAACCATTTTAATCCAAGAAAGACGTGTCTGTGTTAGTGAGAAATAACATTCACTACACATGTACCCTACAAATATGTAATGCAATGTCGGCAAACAGAGGTATTACATCCCAGCTCTTACACATTCTCTACTCTAAAAAGTGCATGAAACTGGCTACATTATTCTACTTTAAATTGTTCCTACATTGTTTGTCATTATAAAAATCATTGTGCCGGTTTGCTATGTCTCGCTGCATCGATTACACTATGTCTGCTTTTTTTCCTCATCTACTATCGCTTGTTTACATTTCGTCATCTCTGTATTTCGCACAAGTCATCCTCGCAGATGTGGTGCAGTGTTAATTTTGGTGGCAAATTTCAATTTGGTTTTAGTCATAGTCTTTAATAAAAAGCCATTTTAGTTTTAGTCGTATTTTAGTCATCTGAATTGTTTTTGTTTTAGTCGACTAAATCTCCTGTAGATTTTAGTCAACACAGTTTTAAATAAAGCCTCTAGCTGTCTGTTTTGCCCCTTCCTTAGCCCATCTAGATGTCTCTCTCCCAAGCCCTGGTCTGTCTCTTTTGCCCGTTCCACAGCCCCTCTGTGCAGTGTTAATTTTGGCGGACTATGACTAAAACTAGATTTCAATTTAGTTTTAGTCTAGTCTTAGTTTAGTCTTTTGACTAAAATGCTGTTTTAGTCTTATTGTAGTCATCTGAATTGTTTTAGTCGACTAAATCACAAAAATCATAATCGACTAAAATTGTTAGTTGACAAAATTCAAACTGATGTGGTGGTGATCTTTTAGTAGCACCTTGATGTGTTCTAACTAAATGCTAATGCAGGTGTCTCTGTTCCTCAAGAGACAACTGTGCTAGAGTATGCCTGTTGGTGTACTCCTCAATAAGATGATCTCCTGACCTTGGTCCTCTGCCACCTCTTCTTTGTAATTGCATGATTCACAGCTTGGTCGGTGTCACATTCTCCAAAATAAAGCTAGATATATTGAAGGTGGTAGCAATACTCCCTACTAGCTTTTCAACCCCCCATAATATGGAAGAGGTTAATTCAGTCTTTTGCAGTGAATAACTGTAGAATAATGCAAAAAACTGCTATGCTCTCAACAGAGCTCCCAAAATACATTTTCTGTCTGTTCATTGGACAAATATTCCCTACCGAATTTTTATTGATTGATAACAAAAATAATAATAAAAATTATTTTCTTTTAAATGAAGAGATGTATTATTATTTTTTGAAGTTTGCCTAAGCTCTACACATGGTTTATTTTTTGCCTAATGTTTTTACTTTTGTAATCAAGTTACCATTGCTCACATCCAATATTCTTTTCTGCAGATCTAACTCAAAAAGACAATACTACATGATTTGTTGTTGTGTTGTTTTTTTTACATTCAGAGTTAAATGAGTGCAAATCCGATAGCTCACTCCACTGCACTTCAATGGTTAACTTGTGTGGTTTACAAATGTAGGGCTAGAGAAACAAAATGTAAATGGTTTATGTCTCTAAAGCAACAGACTGTTGTGTATGTATGAACAAGGATTCTATTGTGCTTTTTCTGCTCTGAGTTTTTAATTTTTTTTTCTTTAATTTATTTTTTTCCAATCAGTTTTCATTGCGCTCTGGGGGGTGTGGGGTGAACACAGAGGCTGCTTGCCAAGCTCTGAAAACTGCCAGATGTTTAAAAAAACGACCCTGAGGATTGACTCTTTCCCAGAGTTCTCGAGTCCTCTCCAAAGTACAGAATTCATGTTGTTTATCCTATCTGGTTCCGGTATAAAAGTACACCATGTCTGGATTATGTTCAGATCTTGACACACTTCACGCACTAGTAGAAACCATTAAAACATTTATTGTTGAATCCAAATGGACACAAACATTAAAAATGATTCTGTATAGAGGAGCTCTCTCCAGGGAGCATTTCATGTTTAATGTTTTGTTGGTGAATTATTGTAGACATTAGAGCCTCAGTGCTTACAGAGCATTCTAATAGAATATAATTTTTTATTTTTTTTTTGCTACGCAAAATTTAAAATTGGCAGCTAGGTTTAGACATGCTTTTAGGTATTCCAAGGGGAACTAGCTTTTACATTTCCATGTAATGGTAAATACAGTTCCCTGTGTAAACTGCCAAAGGATCACATTAATATCATAACATAGATCGACTGACCGAATTGTTCCTTGCGCCATTCTCTGATTTCACAAAGATAGAAGTGTGACATTGGCTCCTCTTACAACTGCACGTCCCCATGCCTTGCAAGGCACAAAACGTGCTACACAGGAATAGGCATACTAGTGTGGAATACTAGACTATGTATCTGCCACCTGTTTAGCAGTTATCATACTGTTCAGATTCTGTGTCTGAGACTGTCCATATGGACGGGTCTTCTTTACTTGGGACTAGGTTGAATGTGGCAAAGACAACTTGAGAACAGCCATTACTGCTCTGCTTGAGTCACTCCAGATGTTTTGAACTACATCTCCCCTGATGCTTTACCAGTACCATGGCTGTAAGATAATTCTGGGTGTTGTAGTAAATACCATATGGAGTGCCGACGGTTGCCTACCCCTGTGTAGCGTCTCCCTTTTTTTGTGTCCTCCCCTGCACAATATGTCCACATATAATTTTGTTTTTAATCAGGATGATGATGTATTGTATTTAAGTCCTGAATGCAGGACCCGATGCTTATAATGTGTTGCCAAATAGGAAAGTGAAGCGAACCCAGCGCTTGTGACGTGAAAACCCCATAGATAAACATTGATTCAGTGCTCTCCTCGGGGTCAGTGTGAGTGTAAGCGCGGCACTGGCTGTGAATGCGCATTAGATCCCCAATGCTCCTTTATGAGAAGCATTGGATTGGACTTTGGCAGAGGAGGCCATGCCTGCTCCGTGACGTCACAGGTGGCAGAGAGGTAAGCAGCACCAAGAGATCCTCTACACTGGAAAAAAGAAATTTAAAAATACAGATTTGTATTCCTAACACTATAGTGTTCAGTTAAAAGCAGCACCTCTTATTCTTCAATGTCCCTCAAAGAGATGCTAGTAGGAAAGTAAAAAGTGTATAAAGATTATTAAGGGAGTTACAGCTATCTCAGATCACAGGAATATTTTCACATCGTGTGGAATACTATCTGCAACCTCTTTAGAAGTTATTTACAATACCATTCAGATTCTGTGTCCGAGACTGTGTCCACTTGGACAGGTTTTCTTTCCTTGTCGGATTAGGTTGAGTGTGGTAAAGACATCTGGAGAACACCGTCATCGCTCTGCTTGAGGTTCTAGTTGTGTTTTCCTTAGGCTTCTCTAACTTTTTCTCTAACATTGTGGGAGTGTCCATTATTTTTGTAGAAGTGTAGAAATTACCTATGATATAACATTTCCCTTTAAGCTGTCCATGTGCTTTGCTTACTTGTGTAATAATTTAGGCTTGCAACGCAATGTACAATGTAAAAGAGCCTTTTATTAGTTTCATTTTCCCCTTTGAGAACCTCAATATGTTGGAACTTTGCCTCTGTGTTGCTGAAGAGATTTACTTATTTACGTATGTAAGCAAATATCCTACACCAATGTATAGGATTAGTAAAAAGAGGAGTGATAGCACATCTCCTTAAGATGTATTTGCCATCAACCAAATGGTACACTTTGAGCAGTAAAAAGAGGAGTGATAGCACATCTCCTTAAGATGTATTTGCCATCAACCAAATGGTACACTTTGAGCAGTAAACCGTGAACATCATGTCCAAACTAACCATTTTAATGTTCCATTTCAGGCACCTCACATGATTGGAGATTACGATGCGGGGCAGTAGACCTATATCACATACTCTTTGGCCTCAGCAGACCCTCATGTCTGCCATTGCCAGAACTTGGATTAGTTCTTAATCTGAAGGAAAAGAAAGCTGTTCTGAATCCTACCATCATCCCAGAGCCCATAACAAGTAACCTCGAGTCTGTGCCAAGTGCCAACATGCACGGGCAAGTCACAGGATTTCCAAGCAATGTAAGATTAATACAATCTTTATAACCTGAAATAATCCACAATATTGGCAGTGTTATGGAAGTGATCGTGTATGTTCTATGCATTGAGAAAGGGGCAGCTGCTGTGATGTAAATAAGCTTTTTAGGTTCGCCTCTGGTGACTTGCTTGAAAACACTGCCAGCTTGTATCGTACTAATGGTAAACACGTCTCATTTTACGGGAAACTACAGCATACTAAACTGCTTGTTTTAATAGAGAGCTTGACCTTTAAATAAAAATATTTTTATTAATGCCCGCAATACAAGCAATGTTGTGGCTGATTAACAGATACTCTAAAAAATACGTTACATAACATATGTGCATGTATATATACCCACACATACATATATTATATACATACACAGACATATACGCTTTAGGTGTCCTGATCACTGCATTCACAGACTTTGGTTTTATGTTTTATTCTGTTTATATTTGAAGCTGTCAGCATTGAAATTCATATTGGTAACATGCATGTGTACATATACGTTCTTCCTTTCATGAAAGTCACCTTCAACGTAGTAGTGTTTTACCCTACAAAGAATATTAGGACGTTCCACTGTGACACCAGCTATTGGTGGGATCAGAAATATTCTAAGAACTGTAGAACACACGAGATTCAAAACAAAGCGGAGAATAGCATCATATTCTAGTACTGGTGTTTGTAAGTTGTTATATTTGTTTTCCACTCCGCTTGCAAGTGCCTAAACCATAGTGTATATTTGAATTGTATCGCTTTTTGCCTCTAACTATATTCTTGATGGTAGGTTAATACATTTCTCATTTGATGCAAATGTACGGTAATGATAAGCTGAAAAACTTTGTTGGTCTATCACCAGAAAGCATTATCAAAATATGCCATGCTAAGTTCAAAACTATTGAGAATTATAATAAAATAGGCTCACCAAAAACAATAACTTATTGTTTTTCAGTTTGGAGGACCAATATACTCTAATTTCCTGCACACAGTTTGTTAGGGGTATGGAGATTTGGGGGGGGAGAAATGATGCAGTTGTAAGACTTCCCCCTTTCTTCTGATATGCCAGAGGAAGAAGCTATACTGCCTCTTTTTCCTGCTGCAAAGGCTTGAATGGTGTGTGCATGCACACTATTTAAGTCCCCACCTCTTCCCAAATCAGTCCGTAGGCTACTTTTGGCTTATTCAACAGTTCCACTTGCCTATGTAACAAATACATTGCTGCATATCCCATAAGCCTCTGCTGGGCAAAGGTTTACATGCGATCCGACTCTTAGAATAGTATGCAGAGTTTAAGACAAGATATATAATATAGCAAGAAACTTGTTTGAAATTTATAGCCCCAGTGTGGAGGATATAGAGGCTTTCTGCAGAGTTTTTGTACTTGAACTTTGTATTGATACTACACATATATTGCCTCATTAAGTATTGTCGACTGACTTGCAGATCACCAGTATAAAATATCATGCATACCTGCTGCAATTTGCTTCATAATAATAATAACAAAGTATTTAACCAGGAAAGGCACATTCAGATCACATGGTTTTCAAGTATGTCCTTGGGATATTACCTTATACAACATCCAGGGGTTGTTACTATTTAATGGTACTCATTTTATGTATCTCGGGAGGATAAAGGGCTGAGTCAACCCTGCTGCAGACCTTCGACCCAAGGGTTGAACAAATTCTACTAATGATGCGTTAGCCCACTGAGCTACCTTGCCAGCATTAATTAATAAACCTGTCTAATATGTTAAGTGTTTAGGCTTCTTTTTATCAAATGGTACTCTATTGGTTCCTTTTATAAAATCTGTGTTTTGTAAACAAAGTGCATATTTTTACTTATTTTTTTTAAATTGAAGAATTTCAAAGAAACTACAGCATATTCATATTACCCACTAAGACTCCATAATAAAATAGAGGAAACACATGCTGGGTTAATAAAACGTGTGTTTTTATTTAGGATGAAGACTCTATTGTTAAGGAAAATGTGCCGAGTGCATTGTCCCTAACACAAGGTGTGAAAAGGAAAGCAGACATCGCTCTCGACTCACAGCTGGAGCCTGGGCAGGTACTGGAGAAGATTGAGGACAACAATAAAGGGAAACTCAAATTCAGAGTAAGAAAATGTAGCATCAGCTTGGCTATCAGGATAAGGGAAGTCTGCATTCTAGCCATGGCCTAATGGTTTTATTTATACATATTCTCATGGGTGCCCCAGGTAAGGTTAGAGGCTCTCGTGCTTTTGTATTTATAGTGATGAACCGGTTTTAATAGCAATACTAATTCAGCACTTGGAGAAGAACCGACTGTATAAATTTTGCTTTCCTGTATAAAGTATTGTTTTACACATATTTCTCAAAATGTGTCCAGCCAAGATTCCTTTGCAAGTGGAAAGTACCATCAGTTATGTTTTAAAATATGGGTGGGGGAGGGGGTTCATTTGATTTAAAAAAACAAAAACAAACCATGAACATTGTTAGTATATAATACATGCCTTTTAATTGCCTCTTTAGCATTTCTTCATTTTTAAAGTGTACCTGTCATTAAATAATAAGTTAAAGGCACACTTAAGCGTTATGGATACAAATCTGTATTCCTAGTGTCCATGTGTCCCTGTCCTATAGGAAATACTGAAGTGGTAGAGGTTAAAACATTGAGGGAGTTTAAGAATGCGTGGGATAGGCATAAGGCCATCCTAACTATAAGATAAGGCCAGGGACTAATGAATGTATTTAGAAAATTGGGCAGACTAGATGGGCTGAATGGTTCTTATCTGCCATCACATTCTATGTAAATAAAAGGTTTTTACTTAACTTTTATCAGTGGAGAGACTTGCTCAGCACTGCGTACCGCTTCTCCCATACTGTCATGTGGGAAGCATGGTCTCCTCTAGCAAGGTCCAATCTAGTGCTCCATATTGTGGTGCATTTTGGACCTGATGCACATGCGCCCATAGGAAGGCATTGAACCAATACTTTCCTGTGGTGGTTACAACATCACGTGACCAAGTTTTACTACTTGGTCAAAAATGACAAGACCACTGCACCAAGGCCAATTAATTTAAGTGGCCTGGGTGACTTTAGTGGTCCTTTTAAATTCCATCTCTACATGTTGTTTTACATCTTCAGCTGGGTCTAGAGAATACCTTCTGTTTAGATCTACTTGTATGGGGTGGAGAAGGTTAGATGTTTAGTACGTTCTAAATCTATACCATCATGTTAGCAGAATTGCTAGCAAATATAACCACATACCAATAAATTCTGCATCATAGATCTCTACACTGAAGAACTGACTGACAGGGAGAGTAGGAGAACTCTACTACAGGTGGTTCTCCTGCTCCCCAGAACTGCAACCATAGCACATGTTCCATGGTTACTCCTTAAGTGTCCACAAGCAGGGGAAATGAAATCAGAGTGTAATTGGGACCACAGGATATACCAGTGGTGGTTGCAAGAGTAATGACGGTGCTGATCCTTAACATTTTGATGGATGCAACACCTCCAAACCAAGCAGTTTGACAAAAATGGGTTTTATTGGTACACAAAGCCCATCATTACTGCTACAAATATAACTTGGCGTTATCTGTCCAAATTTGGACAGCAATGGTTGGCTTAGTCCAGTTTTTGGAGCCTGTCATTGCTGTGCACACAATCCATCCAACTCTGTTCAAATATGAATGCTTGACACATCCCAAGGGACAGCTCCAAGACACTCCTTGCATCATAACCAATACAATAAGCTATAGTACCAGTGGTGTTTAGAGTGTCCTTTCAAGTATAGATTTAAAAAGGAAAATCCATCATCAATGTTAAAGTTTATGATTTTCATGACATTGGATAATTTTGTGTTTATGGGTAAATGCTATCTTTCTCCCCTCTGATCTCGCATGAAATCTGATATGTAGGGGACTCCTTAACTGTCTGTATAGTTTTCTTTTAAATTCTCTCAATTTTTCAGGAAGAAGAAGAGATCGATATGGATACTGTCCATGACAGTCAAGCTTTCATATATCATCATCTGAACATGCTGGAACGGCCATCCACACCAGGTATAATCGTTTTTACATCGATTCACTTTAAAGGTTTTGTCTGGATGGTAATATGCATTTGAAAAACAGCGGTGCATTCCAAATCAATAAACAAAAGGAGTATACAGCACACAAAATCTTCTCAGGGCCTTCTACTCAAAACATTGCACATGTTGTGCTAAAGGTGGCTGTCGAAAAATGTACAGTTAAGTTTATTAGGGAAGTTTGACAGAGATTAATGTCTGTCTTTATTACATAATTTAATATACTATTAGACTTTCCTCAAGGACTCGCCGTTAGACCGTGACAACTTCAGCAAGTCACGTTTGTGAGAGGATGAACAAGTGTTTTATTGTGTAACAAGACTGAGTTACATATTTGTATTTAATGTTTAGGAAGGTTTGTCTCAGTGACTCTGGGCCTGCATATATACAAATGTATTTGTTTAAAAAAAAAAATATCAGTGATTCAGTCTTCATATGTAACATATTGTTTAGTTTACATTTTGGGATACAACATTACTAGACATCAGATTCCCCCCACATCAAAGAAATATTAGTTGTTTTTTTTACTGCATTGACTGTAATATGCTGCTTTATTACATTTTGTAAAAAGATTTAAGAAAAATAAATATAAGATACTTGACCGATTTAATCTGCTGTGGAACTTTATAAATCAACCTATAATTTTACATGTCCAGAATGTATAATATACTTATGATTTTTACATAAAAAATACCTTTTGAATAATATTTGCATGATGAAGGGGAATCCATAATCCTAGCTTTTAGGGCCTACTTTTTTTTTTTCCTTTTCATTTTAAACTCTTAAGACTGTACAAATTGACAACATCTGGATGTGGAAGGTCAAAACCCCTGCTTCTTATTAATGTTTGGTTTATTTAATTAAATGAAAACACTACAACCCGCCCCTCCAGGCCCTTCCTAAGAAGGTTATATGAAGGTCTTTAATATTGACCTTCTTTGCAACAAAGGAAGATGAGGGAACACATCTGTTCTTAACACTTTATTTCAACGCTGATCTCACCCTTTTGGTACATTAGCCATTTACACTATTTCTCCTATACGCAGGGAAACTACACTACATGGGGAACTTTCCAGAGTTTTTATTTATATTCCCCCTTCACTACAATTATCTGATACAACAATACTACGTTCCTTTTACACTTGTACATAGTGTTACACTGTTATACTATTTTGGAAAGCTTGTGTCTAACTTGTCTCTTTACTCTGCTTCTCATATACCTCCCAATTAAATGGCTTTTGACTACCTAGTGCTCATGCACACTTAGTGTACTTGATTTATAACTATAATAAATGGGCTTTAGGTGTATTTTGAAAGGCACTTTTATCTCTGTTTTTCCTAAGATTTAATGAAAGCCTTGAGAATAAGTATTCATTTAAATAAAGGAATAGGTATAGAAACATTTGCAGCGAGCTCCGATCTCTTTCCTCCTTAATCTCTTTTCTTGATTGTTTGATTGTAATTAAACAAGGTTTGACAAAAACTGAACAAGTGAACCAATAGCCTTCTTACACTATACCCACTACAAAAGGATGTAGTTGTTATGGTGCATGCTTTGTTTCTTTAAAATATATTGCTTTGACTGTGGATCTACATTTTGTTTCCTATAAATCGAACCTTAACTGATTCATAGAGTAAATGATTCCAACATCCCGTTGTGGCAGATTTATGCCATGTGTTTGAAATAGGTAGTTAAGCCCTTGTCAGAGCAATGATCACCTAATTATCAGCATAAATCCTTAATCAGGGGAACCAGCTCTAACCTGGTGTATGTCACTTGCTTTCTAAAACTGTTACAGCCTAAAATCCTGAAGGAGTATGCAGTACATTATGCAATCACCTTTCAGTGTTTTAGCTGTGTCTTTATCCATATGTCAAACAGAACATCAAAAGGTATAGGAAGTCATCCAATAAACATTTTGTATGTGTTTTAAAATACCATATGTGCCTTTTTTTTTTTTAACCGCACTATAAGCTTCTTTGTGTTATGGCCTTTGCCATCATTACAACCCATTCATTAAAGACTTTGTGCCATAATGGAGTGTGCTATTCAGTTAGCTGTATTAGGTCTCAGGAGCGGAGAGCTGCTTAAGGTAAAGAAGTTTCTTATGGTCCACATTGCGAATATGACATGCGGTTGTTGTTGTTTTTGGGCTAGTAAGGATGTAATATGATTTTTCAGAATGCATTATTGCTTTGTTCTCTGAGTTTCTGTTATGACTGTGACATAGCCAAAGCTCTCTGGAATGTAATTGTTTAGGGTCTTTTCCTAAAACCCAAGTGTTCCATGTTCATTCCTTTGTAGACAATTTTCTTATACACACTCTGATGGGTAGCCCTGGATGCCATTCTATCCTGCCTCCTGCAATTACAAATCATACATTGTGCTGTTTAGTTTATGTTAAACTTGTGCAAAAGCAATTTGATTGAATTCCTGTTAATCAATTCCGAATCGCTTTCCCATAGACTCCACAGGTAAAAAATCCAATCGGTTTGCCTTGCCAGGGATTGAGTATATGACTGAGCAACTGCAGTTGAAGACCTGCTTGGTTATCTCACTGGCATAGTGCATTAATTTACCTCTGACTCTAACACCCTAACAATGCTCTACTTATCCCATTCTATTGTTCTGCATACCTAAATCCAATGTTGAAATCCCTATTCTTGAAATCACAAATGTGTCACTTATTCATAATACCCTAATTCATTATAGATCATTTTAACCTGACATATAGTGTACTTTTTACATTACAAATTGCAGAGCATTGGACAAGGTTTAGTTATTAGAGTGGATCTATGGGTTGAAACATATTCTCAATGTCTCAAATACTGCATTTTCAATTATCTAGATGTAAAATAAAATGCACTGCTTAGTAAATTGCCACAGCAATAATCTCTCCGATTTCATGATGATCTTACTCTGGAATCTCTAACAAATCCAGATGCACCCTAAATTCTAACGTTTTCTTTTTTCCGTAGGAAGAGAACAGGCATCTTTGGACATGCACCTTCTTTCTGTGCCCGCAACGCCTCTGTCATCTTCTATCAAAGAATCCAGCATGTCTAAACACAGTGACCACCATCATCACCATCACCACGATCACAAGAAAAAGAAGAAGAAGCACAAGCACAAACACAAGCATAAACACAAGCATGAAAGCAAAGACAAAGAGCGAGAACCACTTCCATTCTCAAACAGCCCTGCCAGTGGACGCTCAATCCGTTCTCCCTCACTTTCAGACTGAACACGGTGCTTCAGTGAGCTTTGAAGAACACCCTGGCCACTATAGCCGTGTAACGTTTCTGTAGTATGGGCTTACCAATATGAGCGATTTGAAAAGGTGGTTCTGCACTTCTGCCATCAATAACTTTCAGTAACGAAAGCTCTATTAATGTCCGGAAACAAGAAAAAAAAAAAACTCTCGGGGTTTCCAGCAAAACTGCCAATGTTAAGCAATTCTTTTCGTGCTCGGGAGAACACATACTTTGTCAGTGAAAGGTTGACTAATTTTTTTTTCCACCACACCTCCATCTAACACTTCTTCATCCCTCTCAAATAAAATCTGTATATATATTTTTTTCTTTCTACTCCAAATTCCTTTCACTTTTGGCATCTTATGGACAATTTTTTTTAGAATAGATGTTTTAATGTGGGGTTCTTTTTCCCTGTTAATAACAAAGCAGTATTTCACTACAAATATTCAGTTCCATCCTGCAACCACTGAAACAAACCAACAAAATGCAATAATCCATACATTTAATGCTTTTAAGGAGCATTGTGTGTGAAACATCTTTTCAACTCAAAGCTGTGAAATGTGAAAAAAAGAAAAGTTTTCATAGCTGTACATACAAGGGCATCATATCTGAGTGCTGTCTTTACTGATGGAATTTAATGTTACGTGCACAATCTTGGAGTCAATTTACAAGAAGAGCTTACAATTGTGTTTTTATTATGTTCATAAAGGGCCAGTTGTAGATGAAAGCTATTTTTGTATTAGCATAGGGGGTAACTAGTGCAGCACAGTGCGCCATTAATTCCTTATTTATGATTAATATGCCCTGTAAAATGTAAATTAAAAACAACTCTTACCTTAATTCAAAATCCTTTTTTTTCCTCTGTGTCCTTTTTTTTTTAGGTGAAAAAAATTCCATAACCTTTATCTCCTATTGCTTTAGCCAGACTTATTATATTCATATAGGACACGATATACAAAATAATTATCCAGATGATAATGGTGTCCAGGATATCTTATCCCTTTACTGACGAAGTGGGTGCTCAGCCATTCTACAAAAGGAATAGGGGCTCCTCCTGGCCTGGATGCCTTCCCTCCATGGTGATTACAAGCCGTGGGACTGGCTGACAACCTAGGCAGCCTCCCTGTAGCCAATCCTGCCCATCCGCATCATGTTATCGCAATGACACTGCAATCATAGGACTCGGATCGGCGTGATTGACAGATTCACTGCCCTGTGTTGTCTGGTAGTTCCCGCAATATATAATTAATAAAATTATATAATTAGGCTAAATAAGAATTAAATATAGAAACATAGAATGTGACGGCAGATAAGAACCATTCGACCCATCTAGTCTGCCCAATTTTCTAAATACTTTCATTAGTCCCTAGCCTTATCTTATAGTTAGGATAGCCTTATGCCTATCCCACGCATGCTTAAACTCCTTTACTGTGTTAACCTCTACCACCTCTGCTGGAAGGCTATTCCATGCATCCACTGCCCTCTCAGTAAAGTAATACTTTCTGATATTATTTTTAAACCTTTGCCCCTCTAATTTAAGACTATATCCTCTTGTTGTGGTAGTTTTTCTTCTTTTAAATATAGTCTCCTCCTTTACTGTGTTGATTCCCTTTATATATTTAAATGTTTCTATCATATCCCCCCTGTCTCGTCTTTCCTCCAAGCTATACATGTTAAGATCCTTTAACCTTTCCTGGTAAGTTTTATCCCGCAATCCATGAACCAGTTTAGTAGCCCTTCTCTGAACCCTCTCTAAGGTATCAATATCCTTCTGAAGATACGGTCTCCAGTACTGTGTACAATACTCCAAGTGAGGTCTCACCAGTGTTCTGTACAATGGCATGAGCACTTCACTCTTTCTACTGCTAATACCTCTCCCTATACAACCAAGCATTCTGTTAGCATTTCCTGCTGCTCTATTACATTGTCTGCCTACCTTTAAGTCATCAGAAATAATCACCCCTAAATCCCTTTCCTCATATGTTGAGGTTAGGACTCTATCAAATATTCTGTACTCTGCCCTTGGGTTTTTACGTCCAAGATGCATTATCTTGCACTTATCCACATTAAATGTCAGTTGCCACAATTCTGACCATTTTTCTAGTTTACCTAAATCATTTGCCATTTGGCTTATCCCTCCTGGAACATCAACCCTGTTACAAATCTTAGTATCATCAGCAAAAAGACATACCTTACCATCAAGACCTTCTGCAATATCACTAATAAAAATAATAAGAGAATGGGTCCAAGTACAGATCCCTGAGGTACCCCACTGGTGACAAGTCCAAGCTTCGAATATATTCCATTAAATACAACCCTCTGTTGCCTGTCACTGCCTTACCCATTCAACAATATTGGAATCCAAACTTAAAGATTGCAGTTTATTGATAAGCCTTCTATGTGCAACAGTGTCAAATGTAATTTAATAATGCATGTATATTTATGTATTATATTTATTATTGTGACATAATTAAGTGATTTTATTAATTATATATTAAGGGGTCTGACTGACAACCAAGGCAGAAATTCTAGAGAATTTATTTAGAAACCCTATATTTGACCTTGTAACTTTTCAAAGCCCCATAAAACCTGTACACTGTGTGGTACGGTTGTTCTCATGAGACATGACTGAACACAAATTTAAAGCAGTAGAAGGTACGATGATGAAATATCACCAATGAAAGTGTGGTTTTTGTGCAGAAAAAAAATAAGAATACTAACTTTGGCCAGGTTTGTGACTTAATGGCTATTAAAAAAGACTTGACGTATACCTCATTTTGAATACCCTGGGTTCTCTACTTTTGCAGATGGTATGCCATGATGGAGGTAATCTTTATTCGAAAAATTAGAATATTGCGCAAAAGTTCATTTATTTCAGTAGTGCAACGTAAAAGGGGAAACTAATATATTAGAGATGCATTACATGCAAAGCAAGATGGTTCAAGCCGTGATTTGTCATAAGTGCGATGATTATGGCTTACAGCTCATGAAAACCCCAAATCCACAATCTCCGTAAATTAGAATATTGTGAAATATATTCTAGGCTCACAGTGTCCCACTCTAATCAGCTAAGTAAGCTATAACACATGCAAAAGGTTTCTGAGCTTTTAAATGGTCTCTCAGTCTGGTTCAGTAGAAATCACAATCATGAGGAAGACTGCTGACCTGACAGTTGTGCAGAAAACCATCATTGACACCCTCCATAAGGTGGGAAAGCCTCAAAAGGTAATTGCGAAGGAAGTTGGATGTTCCCAAAGTGCTGTATCAAAGCACATTAAAAGAAAGTTATGTGGAAGGGAAAAGTGTGGAAGAAAAAGGTGCACAAGCAGCAGGGATGACCACAGCCTGGAGAGGATTTCAGGAAAAGGCCATTCAAAAGTGTTGGGGATTTTCACAAGGAGTGGACTGAGGCTGGAGTCAGTACATCAAGAGCCACCACACACAGACGGATCCTAGACTTGGGCTTCAGATGTCGTATTTCTCTTGTCAAGCCGCTCCTGAACAACAAACAACGTCAGAAGTGTCTTACCTGGGCTAAAGAAAAACAGACCTGGTCTGTTGCTCAGTGGTCCAAAGTCCTCTTTTCTGATGAAAGCAACTTTTGCATCTCATTTGGAAACCAAGGACCCAGAGTCTGGAGGAAGAATGGAGAGGCACACACTGCAAGATGCTTGAAGTCCAATGTGAAGTTTCCACAGTCTGTGTTGATTTGGGGAGCCATGTCATCTGCTGGTGTTGGTCCACTGTGGTTCATTATGTCCAGGGTCAACGCAGCTGTCTACCAGGAGATTTTGGAGCACTTCATGCTTCCTTCCACAGACAAGCTTTATGGGGATCCTGACTTCATTTTCCAGCAGGACTTGGCACCTGCCCACACTGCCAAAAGCACCAAAGCCTGGTTCAATGACCGTGGGATTACTGTGCTTGATTGGCCAGCAAACTCACCTGACCTGAACCCCATAGAGAATCTATGGGGCATTGCCAAGAGAAAGATGAGAGACGTGAGACCGAACAATGCAGAAGTGCTGAAGGCCTCTATTGAAGCATCCTGGTCTTCCATAACACCAAAGCAGTGCCAGAGGCTGATAGTACTTGGTTTGGGCGTGGCATGGAAGCTGAGTCCATATGCATGCTTATACTTTTCAAAGGTCCGATATTGTTCTCTGCACAATACTTGTTTTATTGATTGCATGTAATATTCTAATTTACTGAGGTTGTGGATTTGGGGTTTTCATGAGCTTTAAGCCATAATCATCGCACTTATGACAAATCACGGCTTGAACTATTTTGCTTTGCATGTAATGCGTCCATCTCATATATTCGTTTTCCCTTTTACGTTGCATTACTGAAATAAATGAACTTTTGTGCAATATTCAAATTTTTCGAGTATCACCTGTATAGCTCAGATTTTATGTTTTCTTTTGGTCAGAACTTATATAGTTGCCTCCATTGTTAAGGGACTAAACAGATCAAATTTGCAGGATTTTATCATGTCAGACCAAAATTAAAAAGCATGCAAATAATAGTGCAATATTGTTACCTCATATTAGATAAATCAAGTTATATACAATGCAGTTTGATTGTATACTATAGTAGATTGTTGTACATCTGTTAGTTGCTACCCACCATTCTTTGACAGGAACCAACCTTAGGTTTGAATCATGTGACCTAGATGAATTTGCTCAGATTGTCTGCGTTATCACCAAAATGGTTCCTTAAAGTGGTTATTTCTGTACAAATTGCCCTGCAATCTTCCTGAAATGAGAGAGAAAACTGCTCAAGAGAAGAAATCACATTTTGGTACAGAAATCAGCATGAAACTTAAATAATCATAGTGCAGTATGTAGAGATATCAGTATGAAGAGGAATCATAGAGACCTCAGAATGAATGGTTGTATTAATCATATTGAACTTGCTCATTACAGAGCCATCCCTAGGCTCTTGGTATAGTGCAGTGCTACACTGGAACTGTGGTATAACCACATCAATCTTACTCCAAATGAATACAGATCATGTTGTGGTATAGTATTTGCAGGGTTTTGTTCATGACCTAAGCCCATAAAAATTTAGAACATAAAAAAACATAGCGCACGTCCGCCCTTTTTAGCGTCGGACATTGCTAAGGTGCTGGTCCATGCCGTTGTTCTCTCTTGCCTAGACTACTGCAATCTCCTTCTCAGTGGTCTTACATGTTCCCAGCTTGCTCCGTTGCAGTCTATAATGAATGCTGCTGTAAGGCCCCTGCACTCTGCCAAAGATTATCCTCTGTCGCTACTCCCACCTTTGATGCTCGCCTTCAAGATTTCTCTTGCACTGTTCCTCTAGAACTCCCTTCTCCGTTAGACTTTCACCCAGTCTCCATTCTTTCAAAAAATCATTGAAAACTCACTTTTTCAGGAAAACTTATCAATTAAACTGTTAACATCTTTCCCTCCCTGCAGCCTGACTCCTCTCCTGCAACTGTCAAAAATAACCTACTAGGTCCTCAGTGAATACTTTTCTAGCAACCCACTTTTCTACCCCTACCTTTACCCTTTGTGTCACTATACTCCACTCCCTCTAGCATGTAAGCTCATGAGCAGGGACCTCAACTTTTCCTTTTCTGTGCGTCCAACTTTGGTTACAATTACGTGTCTGCTAGTCCACCCATTGTACAGCACTACAGAATTTGTTGGCGCTTTATCAATAAAAACAAAAAAGCCAGCCTTGGTTGCCAGAATTTAAGAGTTTTCACTTTTTAATGGAGGATTACTTGCAACTCTGTCCTTGGCATCCACTTCCCAATATTCCTCATGGAATGTTGTAATGTAGCCACATGACGTCCGGGCACAAGCATCCATTTTAATATAATGTCTCGAGGCGTTTTCCCACCTTCCACCGTCAGTCCGTTTAACTAGCCATCTCAATGTTGTGCAGCACAAATGTCAGTACTTGGGGAACTTGAATATTGTATTGAAAGGTTGACATTTATAAGGTGATTGGCTGAAAATAACTGTTACAAGTGGTTATAGGTTAGAGACGGAACAATGTAATAACGACCTTCTTAAAGGTACTCTTCATTGCCAGTAAAACAATCCGTTTTCCTGGCACTGCAGGTCCCCTCTCCCATCCCCAGTTGCTTACCTGAGACCCCCATCGATGTCCCTCGTCGCTGCTTCTTCCTCCGACCACGCTCCTCCCCTTCACGTCAGCCGGCGGGGGAGACCTAATGCGCATGCGCGGCAGCATTAGACCTCTCCACAGGAAAGCATTGAAAATGCTTTTCAATGCTTTCCTATGGGGATTTTAGCAACGCTGGAGGTCCTCACACCTGTGCTAGAATCCCGGAAGTGCCCTCTAGTGGCTGTCTATTAGACAGCCACTAGAGGAGGAGTTAACCCTGCAATGTAATTATAGCAGTTTATGAAAACTGCAATAATTACACTTGCAGGGTTAAGGGTAGTGGAAGTTGGCACCCAGACCACTCCAATGGGCAGAAGTGGTCTGGGTGCCTGCAGTGACCCTTAAAATCTGATCACATAGTGAGTTAGAAACCAGTGGTTCTAATTACATTGTGTATCTTGGAGCATTTTTCCATAATTTGTTTTTAAAGAACAGACATGTCTTTTATACTGTAAAGTTACCATACCTTTTACTCCTGCTGAATTATCTGGAACATATCTAGTATACTAGTATAACAATATACCTCCACGCAGTATTCTGAGAGCCCCACCTCTGGCTTGGTTTGGTTTATTTTGTACATTCTTGTCACTTTTCTCATGATTTAGTGGTAACGTTATATAGGCTTATATTATTAAATATAGTCTTCAAAATGCATTAAACATATCAGACTAGGTTGGACACTTCCAGGAGACATATTTACCTGTTTATATGTAAATAATTTGTAATTATAACTTGTAGCTTGCAGTCATTCAGATGCTAATAACATGGGTATTGCAGTTAGTAAGCAGTGATACTTTTTTATTGGACTTACAATGCATATTAGACAACAAGCTTTTTGAGGTTCTTTTCCAGGCAGGGCCGGTGCAAGTATTTTTGCCGCCCTAGGTAAAAGTCAAGTTTGCCCCCCCCCCCCCATGTGACATCACAATGCCCCACCCATATGATCTGCCATGTTAACTAACGCCAGTGCTTCAGTGCCGCAGTGTTTACATTAAAAGGCATGCAGGGACAGGCTATAGACACCAGAACCACTACATTAAGCTGAAGTGGTTCTGGGGACTAGAGATTAGTGCCACGAATAATATACTAGATTGCCTACTTACAACCAGATGAGGATGATGATGGGCTCTAGCTGCAGTCTGGCTCCACTGGTCTGGTGTAGAACAGGATCTCTGGAGGCTGTTTGTAACTGTGGTCACAAAAATCAATGTTCTGGGAGAATGGGAAGCTCCATTTTTTTTAAGGCCCTTTACACAGCTCAAGGGTCCACTTTCATGTTCCACCAATGAGTTTGTTCACACGGGGTGGTGTAGGGGGATGTCCGGATATGTGTGTAAGCAATGCATTATGTGAATCTGTGTTTGTATGTGTAAGGGCTGCAAGGTGTGTTTCTGTGTATGTACGGGATGCATTCAGTGTGTGCATCTGTAAGGGGTGCATTGAGTGTGTGTAAGGAATGCATTGTGTGTTTTTCTGTGTGCAAGGGGTGCATTGTGTGTAAGGGTTGCATTGCTTGTGTGTGTGTGTCTGTGTGTGTAATGCATTGTGTGTTTTTCTGTGTGCAAGGGGTGCATTGTGTGTGTGATGGATGTCAATCTCTTCTCCCCCCTCTCCCTCCCTTTTCCTCTCTTCTCCCCCCCTCCCTTGTCACTCTCTTCTCCCCTGCTTGTCCCTCTCTTCTCCCCCCTCCCTTGTCACTCTCTTCTCCCCTCCCCACTCTCATTCCCCCATCAATTCCCCTCCCTGTCAATTCCCCCTTCCATTAATTCCCCCCACCTGTCCATTTCTCCCCATGTCAGAGTTCTCCCCATGTCATTTCCCCCCCTCCTGTCCATTTCCCCTCCTGTCAATTCCCTCCCTGTCCATTCCCCCCCCATGTCAGTTTCTCAGCCACCCCCCATGTCAATTTCTCCCCTACCAGGGCCAGTGCAAGGATTTTTGCCGCACTAGGCAAAAGTAAAGTTTGCCGCCCCCCCCATGTGACATCACAATGCCCCACCCATATGATCTGCCATGTTAACTAACGCCAGTGCTTCAGTGCCGCCGTGTTTACATTAAAAGGCCTGCAGGGCCAGGCTATGGACACCAGAACCACTACATTAAGCTGAAGTGGTTCTGGGGACTAGAGATTAGTGCCACGAATAATATACTAGATTGCCTACTTACAACCAGATGAGGATGATGATGGGCTCTAGCTGCAGTCTGGCTCCACTGGTCTGGTGTAAAACAGGCTCCCTGGAGGCTGTTTGTAACTGTGGTCACAAAAATCAATGTTCTGGGAGAATGGGAAGCAGCTCCATTTTTTTTAAGGCCCTTTACAGAGCTCAAGGTCTGGGTCCCAGGGTCCACTTTCATGTTCCACCAATGAGTTTGTTCACAGGGGGTGGAGTAGGCGGATGTCCGGATATGTGTGTAAGGAATGCATTATGTGAATCTGTGTTTGTATGTGTAAGGGCTGCAAGGTGCGTTTCTGTGTATGTACGGGATGCATTGAGTGTGTGCATCTGTAAGGGGTGCATTGCTTGTGTGTGTGTGTCTGTGTGTGTAATGCATTGTGTGTTTTTCTGTGTGCAAGGGGTGCATTGTGTGTGTGTGTGTGTGTGTGTGTGTGATGGATGTCAATCTCTTCTCCCCACTCTCCCTCCCTTGTCCCTCTCTTCTCCCCCCCTTGTCCCTCTCTTCTCCCCCCTCTCCCTCCCTTGTCCCTCTCTTCTCCCCCCTCCCTTGTCACTCTCTTCTCCCCCGTTGTCACTCTCTTCTCCCCTCCCCCATCAATTCCCCTCCCTGTCAATTTCTTCCCCCACTCCCTGTCAATTCACCCCTCCTGTCAATTCACCCCCCTGTCAATTCTCCCTGTCAATTCACCCCCTCTGTCAATTTCCCCTCCTGTCAATTTACCCCCCCTGTCCATTTCCCCTCCCTGTCAATTCCCCCTCCCCTGTCCATTTCCCCCATGTCAATTTCTCCCCCTACCTCCCTGTAGCGTGGCCAAGCCCTCTATGGTATGGTCAGCGGGTACAGGGAGCTTTTGTTTCCTGTACCCGGCCGGACTCACAGGAAGTGCACACTCAGTAAATTTACCTCTTTCTCCAGCGCCGGGCAGGGGACCCTCCTCCTCCTCCTTGGCTGAATGCGCATGCATGGCATGAGCCGCGTGCGCATTCAGCCAGTCCATAGGAAGCATTCACAATGCTTTCCTATGGACACTGGCGTCCTCTCACTGTGAAAATCACAGTGGGAAGCGCCTCTAGCGACTGTCAATGAGACAGCCACTAGAGGCTGGATTAACCCTATTATAAACATAGCAGTTTCTCTGAAACTGCTATGTTTATAGAAAAAAGGGATAAACCTAGCTGGACCTGGCACCCAGACCACTTAATTAAGCTGAAGTGATCTGGGTGTCTATAGTGGTCCTCTAACAAAGGTAAAGCTAAATGGAGTATATGGCATAAGATTGATTTCTTGTAGCGGGAGACCGGCTGTGAGGATATGTGCAATAAAGCCAGTTCGGCCGACCATTCGGTTTCGTCTCCTAGGATCCTTCTCATATCCACTTTGATCTTTTCCCAATATGGAATAATGTCCAGGCACTCCCACCAGAGATGTAATAGCGTCCTCCTTTCCTCTTGGCATCTGCAGCAGATCGTAGCGACCTCTCTCTCAGGGCATTGCGATGGGGATATATTCTTCCTCCCCAAAAAATGACCAAGCACTTGAGGGAAGTCCTCCCCCTGTGTTGCTATTGTTCGTTATTGGGAGTAAGGGTCTAGGGGTAGGTGAGATATGTGGCAGTTCTCTGATCGACTCCCACTCAATGTTTGCACTACCCGGTCTCCACTGTCCCTGTAGTTTCTCTCCCCCGATCCTCCCATCCATACTGCTGACTTCAAGCTCCCCCTGGTGCGCCCTCTCCCCCATCTGGGGCCACCCATTGTTTTTGTGTGTCGCTTTTGTGCCATTCAATGATACGCTGCAATGCCGTGACCTGATGATACTTTTTGAAGTTGGGTAGCGCTAGGCCTCCCCTGTGTCGAGGCATGCATAACAGCTTATGGCGTAACCGGGATCTCTCCCCTTTGCCAAACGTATCAATGATTGACGTTTTTAGCATGGGAAAAAAAGGACACCGGTAACTCTAGTGAGATGGTCTGGAAAAGGTAGAAAACCTTAGGGAGCACATTAATTTTAAGCGCTGCTATTCATCCGTGCCATGTAACATGCGGGTACACCCATTTGTCCAGGTCCGCCAATATCCCCTTCAGCAGAAGTGCAAAATTATGTTAGTAAACATCCCGTAGGTCTGTAGTCACCCATATTCCAAGGAACTTCATTTTACCGAAGCACTAATGGAATGGGAATATCGCGTTCAGTGCAGTGTATTCCTCCGCCGCGAGCGTGACGTTTAGCACCTCACATTTCGTTAAGTTGAGCTTAAATCCGGAGAGCCTAACAAATCTTTCAAACTCTGAAAGCAAGCAGGGCAGTGTGACTCGTGGGTTAGAGACAAAGAAGAGAAGATCATCCTCATATACAGCGACCTTGTGTTCCACTCCCTGCCAGGAATAACCTTGAACATCAGGGTTCTGGCGAATCTCCTGGAGTAGAGGCTCCACAGTCATAGCGAAAAGAAGTGGGGACAGAGGGCAGCCCTGCCTGGTTCCGTTGCTAATCCCAAAGTCAGCAGCCAGGCCTGCATCAACTCTCACTGGGGCGCGTGGCTTGTCATACAGGGCGGAAATCCAGGTGATGAATATTTGTCCTAATCCCATCTTCCCCAGCCTTCTCAGCATCTGTTGATAGCAGTATGAAGCGTTTCTGAAATTTCCTCACAAGGTGGTGTATAGAGAAGACGTGCAATGTACTATCTCATGCCTCCTGCCCCGGGACCGTCTGATCTGTGTGGACTAAAGTTGGCAAGACGAGTTGTAGTCTGGTTGCCAATGCCTTCGTAAACAGCTTGGGGTCCACATTCAATAGGGAGATCGGGCGATAACTATTGCAGTGCACCGGGTCCTTCCCAGGCTTGAGCAAGACCATTATGGTCACAGCTATGGATTTTGCACCAAAGCTCCGCCCCTCCACGACAGCATTGAGTGTTTTTGTCAACCACGGTAGGAGTATCATGGAAAAGTGCTTGTAGTAGCCCATGGAGAATCCATCAGGGCCCGGTGCCCTGCCGGCTTTGTTTTTTTAAAGAGCTACAGCTAATTCCTCTGCGTCAATCTGCGCATCCAATGTAGTTGCGGTTTCATGGCTTACCTTTTTCTTGACATTGGTGTGAAAATAATCATGAACTTGCGTAAGGTCAATCTGTTCAGAGGCATTCCCATCTGGCGTAGTCAGGTTATATAAAGAACTATAGTAGCGTTGGAATGCCTCAGCAATGTCCTTTGATGAGAAAATCCCCAAAGATAAGCCCAGTTTGCGAAATATTGTAATAAGCGAAAATACAGGAAAGGAGTTCTTTCATCCGTCATCTGGCTTCCATCAATTCCCCATATATTTCGACTAGTTGAGTTTGTTTGTGTTGGAGTTCCAATTTCGATATGGTCTTGTAAAGGTCAGTCATCTCCTCCAGGGCCGCTTTCTTTTTGCGGGAAGCTGTGCGAATGAGTGTGCCACGTATGATACTCTTATGTGCCTCCCAGATTGATATCGGGGACGTCTCCTCTGATCCTTTTTCCTGGAAGTAGGGTCTTGTTCAATCGCCAGGTCCAAGTCACAGGTCGAAATAATGGGGATTACAGTTCTGTGCTAACCTGCCCATGATCCGACCATGTTGCGAGTCCAATAGTGGCTGTCAGCAATTGAGAGAGATCCTCCTGCTGGATAAACAGGTAGTCAATGCGGGAATGACGATCATGAAATGCAGAGTAGTGTGTGAAGTCTTTGACGGTGGGATGAAGTGCCCTCCAACAGTCCTTCAGGCCCAGGTCCCCCAGTGATTTGCGGATAGAGCGAATGCCCACTTGGGATATGCAGCTATGTCCCAATGAAGAATCAAGTAGTGGATCTAGGGTAACATTAAAGTCCCCTCCCAGTATTAGTGTGCCTTCCGAGAAGTCCTTTAGTTTATTCAACGACCCCCGAAGAAATTGTGCCAGTTTAGGATTGGGAAAATATATTTATACCAATGTATATAGCTTGTCGGCTATGATGCCTTTCAGGAATAGGAAACGCCCCAGCGGATCAGCCGTTCTGTCCAATTCCCAGAACTCCAGGTTGGCGGCCTTATGGGCCAAGGGGTGATTGCTAAAGTAATTTGCTTGGTAATGTCGAACCTTCCAGGAAGTGTGTCTCCTGCAACATCGAGGTGTGTCTTTTCTTTTACTCCCACAATAGATGTGTTCGTGGCTCAGGAATATTCAATCCCCTACAGTTAAGAGTACCAGGTCCCCCACTCCCCCTTCCTCCAGCTGCAGGAGTCCCGGAAGAACCTGGACCCCCGGACTATACCACAAACTACGACAAGTTAGGGCGATAGAAAGGGCCAGGGGGCGTGGCTTGTCGGCGAATGGAGTGAGTCACACATTGCCGGAGCTCCGCAACCTCGACCCACAAAGCCCCAAATAAAAGCCTGCCAATACCCCAGAATGGGGAAAACCAGATGCCAGGGCACCCCGGGACCCTCGGGCAACAGCCCATCGAGAAAAATCTCTGGTCCGATGGACAACTTTCTCTCCACCCCAGACAGCTTCCGAGCCACGAGGCCTGCAGACAAGATGGCGGCCGCCTCCCTGGGAGCGGAGAACGGCGCGGACTCAGAGCCCAGCTCAGCTAAAGGGGAAGCCCTATCGCAGATAACAGAACTGGCGGCCATCTCGGCCAACATGTTCACCAAAAGTGATAAAGCCACCATGGTCTCGGAGCTGAGGGCAGCTATACGAGAAGAGATCTTAGAGGTTCGCAGGCCCTTGAGCAACGGGTCTCAGAGCTTGAAAATGACAACCTACGAGCCATCCAGCATTCCCAGGCCGCAGACCATGCCACAGCCAGGCAAGGATCAGTGCTCCTGGACCTCCGGAGACAGGTGGAGGATCTGGACAATAGTGGAAGACGTAACAATATCCGAGTTAGAGGCCTGCCAGAAGCCGATAACGAAGACCTCTTCGAAGCCCTTACACAGCTCTTCACACACATCTTGGGCGAGGAGGCCCCTGATGACTTCCACATAGAATGAGCCCACAGGGCCCTGCGCCCCCCAAGGAGAGACAGCCTCTCTCGAGACGTGATATGTTGCCTACTTTCTTTCCAGCTTAAAGAAGCCATCACGCGAGCGGTACGCCCGCAGACCGTCACCATCCGTGACGCCTCGGTGTCACTGTACCAGGACCTGTCCTCCCTTAACCTGGATGCCCGGAGGGCACTGCGGCCGCTAAATCGCATCCTACAGGAGAAACGCATACCCTATAAGTGGGGTTTCCCCTTTTGCCTCCAAGCCAAAAAGGATAACACGTGATGCTCCATGCGATGGCCCAATGAAGTACCCAGCTTCCTAAGAGCAATGGACCTGCCACCAGTCACTGTCCGCAACTGGATCCTGGACCAACCTCCGCTGCGCCCAAATCACCCTGAGGTTCCTGAAACCCTGCGCAACCAAGCTCGAAGAGAAGCGCAGCCCACACCCTGGGTAGGCCCTAACGGACCCGAGGAGTAACCACCTGTACCTCGGACCGAGCCCCATAACTGTCAGCCCATTCGGACCGGCATCAAGGACGCTCTTAGCAACAGCTAAGTAGCAAAACTTGCAGTCACATGGTGACTTCCACCTCATGGGCCGGGTGGGTACCGGGTTGAGGGAATTGAAAGGAACACACAACGCAAACGAGACAACACGGGTATGAGGGGATGGGAAAGGACACCTAGAGGCCGCGGCCGATTTTGGGGGGGGAACGGGGGCTAAGTTTACAACCCGATACAACTTTGGTAATGAACCTAGCACTGCTTCCTCTAAGGACGGGACATAGCTCAGAGTAGGGTCTGGATTTAGCATGACAAGCTAGCTCTACCACTTGACTATACATTGCCGGCAACCGAGAACTTATCAGTTACACTCCTACCCTTACCTGCCCTCCAGGGTCACTACAAGGTACCCCTAGGTTCGCACACCGAAAAAGAGCCAGCACAGACGAAACGGGGAGGAGAATGGCCCCAACTGGCTGAAAAAGATTTGGGAGAGGGGCGCGGGAGCCTTACCGGCCTTTTCTTTCGGTTTTAATCTGTTTTACCATGCTTGCATTGTAGACGATTCCCCCAGGGATTTTACGCCAACAACTCCGAAGCTAAACGTACAAGATTGGCAGTAATATTTGCCCATTCTGTCCCTTTCCTAAGCACTGCATCACAAGCGGACCCCCTGGGCAGGTTCCTATTTATGAAAGGCACGATCGCAGAACACAGGTACACTTTCGCCACAATATACTGCCCCAATAAAGGACAACACCGGTTCCTGGCGAAAGCCTTCACGCAGCTAGAGAGGTTCAGAGATGGCACTCTGGTGCTAGCTGGAGATCTAAACATCCCGCTGGACCCCCAGATGGATTCGTCCGTGGGCATCCCCCCGCACTGTATACGGAAAGCTAAACAGGCATTGATCAGGTCGGGCCTGGTCGACTGCTGGAGGGTGGCGCATCCCGAAGCTAAAGATTACACATGCTATTCTGCGGTGCATAATAGATTTGGCAGAATCAACTAGATTTTCCTAGCCCAAGAGTACCTTCCCCTCTTGATCACCTCCACGATAGGGATACAACACGATTCGGACCATGCCCCAGTTCAAGTCATACTTAAATCACCACTCTTCAAACCCTGGGAACTTCAATGGAGACTCAATGAAAGTGTGCTGACAGACACCAATTTCACCACACAAACACTGACCCAATACTGACAATGACAGCCCTGACATTGGCCCCCTTATGGTGTGGGAAGTGCACAAATGCGTGATTAGGGGACAATTTATAATTATGCACCCAATGGAAGAGGGAACACACCGCAAACATCCAAGACCTGACGCACACGATAGCAGATCTAGAGACACAACACAAACGGGACCAAACGGATGACACTTATCTCTTCCTCAGTGACAAGCGCAGATAGCTCAGAGACCTACTCTCCCAGAAACTATTACACAATATACGGAAATCAAATAGACACTTTTACGAATTCTCCAATAAATGTGGGAGAACACTAGCCCGCACACTACAGCAAAAGCAGAGGCAGCACCATATTCACCAAGTTAAGGGGAGGGATGGGACGATGAAGAGAGCCCCGGCAGATATCCTCCAGGCCTTTCGGCACTTTTACTTGGAGCTATATAATATCAACACCACCACACGACGAACTGAGAAACATCACAACGCCTACACCGTGTGAACGCCTTCCTCTTGAAATATGTCAGACGCAAGCTCTGGGAGGAATTAGCAGAGGAACTGGAACAACCCTTCTCCGCGGAAGAGCTCGCGGCTGCCCTTAAACGATCTAAATCCAATAAAGCCTCGGGCCCTGACGGTCTACCGGTCTTGTACCTGCGCAAGTTCCAGGACACACTGCTACCGCAGATGTTACAGGGCTTTAACTCCCTACTAGAGGACGGCCGGTTCCCGACAGACACCTTGCACGCGACAGTGACTGTCATACCAAAGGAGGGGAAAGACCCCACTGACTGCGGGAGCTATAAGCCGATCTCGCTCCTCAACGCAGATCTCAAATTATTCGCCAAGACTCTGGCCCTGCGACTCTCCCACGTGCTCCCCACGCTGGTTCACCTGGATCAGGTGGGTTTTTTTTTTTTTCAGGATTATAGATCTGCTGGTGTGCTTGGAATCAGTGTCCTGTTGTATGACCCAATTTCGTCCAAACTTTAGCTGTTGGACAGATGGTCTCACATTTGACTCTATAATTATTTGGTGGTCAACTCAATAACTGCAAGGTTCCCAGTTCATGTGGCTACAAACCAAGCCCAATTCATCAGCACTCAACTACTTGACAGTTGGTATGAGGTGTTTTTGCTGATATTTTGTGTTTGGTTCTCGCCAATTGTGTCATCTGTTCAAAGGACATTGTTCCAGAAGTCTTGTGCTGTGTTCATCTGTGCTGCCTAAGTTGGGCTGCCATGTTCTTTTTAGAGAGAACCCTTCGAAACAAACCATATGTAACGGATCGCCTGGCACCCCGACTTGGTACCTCCGTTGAAGGATGCTCCTAGCGCTTCCTGAGGACTCCAAGCACTCTGGCAGACACCACAATCACCGAACCGGAGAAACAAATAAATTCTCCCAAGCATTGAATGCTGTAGACAGTTGAATAGGAACCATACGAATAGGTTTACTCTCCTAGCAGTCAAACTGGAACAGCATACAATATGCTTGGGAGAATTTATCTGTTTCTCCGGTTCGGTGATTGTGGTGTCTGCCAGAGTGCTTGGAGTCCTCAGGAAGCACTAGGAACATCCTTCAACGGAGGTACCCAGTCGGGGTGCCAGGCGATCCGTTACATTGGTGGCAAGCAGTGGGATGGCGTCCTAGTGCGAGGTAAAGCAGCTCGGAGACACAGTTCGTGGATTTACAAATTGAAGGCAACGCTAGACCCTATCTACAAAAGAACTAACTTCATCAGAGCAAGCATGGCGTATGACTACACTCAGGAGGAGTTTGACAGAGAGGTTAATGAGGTGCTGTCTAACTTTGGACCCAACCCCCAGAGAGAGCCGTGCAGCTCGCCAGGAAACTAGTAGGAGAATACCTGCAATCTCTAGTCGATTTAGTCAAAAAGGAGTCCCAGGGAGTCAAAGGTGTCGTCCTTCCTCCCCAGCGGCAGTGTGTACCCCAGGGAGCTGAATGTGTTGTCCTTCCTCCCCAGCAGCAGGGTGAGTCCCAGGGAGCCAAAGGTGTCGTCCTTCCTCCCCAGCGGCAGTGTGTATCCCAGGGAGCTGAAGGTGTCGTCCTTCCTCCCCAGCGGCAGTGTGTACCCCAGGGAGCAGAAGGTGCTGTCCTTCCTCCCCAGCGGCAGTGTGTATCCCAGGGAGCTGAAGGTGCTGTACTTCCTCCCCAGCGGCAGTGTGTACCCCAGGGAGCAGAAGGTGCCGTCCTTCCTCCCCAGCGGCAGTGTGTATCCCAGGGAGCTGAAGGTGTCGTCCTTCCTCCCCAGCGGCAGTGTGTATCCCAGGGAGCTGAAGGTGCCGTCCTTCCTCCCCAGCCGCAGTGTGTATCCCAGGGAGCTGAAGGTGTCGTCCTTCCTCCCCAGCGGCAGTGTGTACCCCAGGGAGCAGAAGGTGCCGTCCTTCCTCCCCAGCCGCAGTGTGTATCCCAGGGAGCCAAAGGTGTCGTCCTTCCTCCCCAGCGGCAGTGTGTACCCCAGGGAGCTGAGGGTGCCCTCCTTCCTCCCCAGCAGCAGTGTGTACCCCAGGACGCAGAGACCGTCTGTCTCGCACCCCAGCCGCAGGACAAAATATTGAAAGGGGAGACAGTTGGTCCCCCTCTCCACCAGCAAAGAGAGTGTCAGGGAGAGGAGCAGGCTACCCCCTCTCCCCAGCGGCAGTCTACAGTTCAGAGAGAGGAGCTTGTTACACCCTCTCTCCAGCGGCAGCCTAACCCACCAAGGGGAGATGTTAAGCCCCACAACTATGCAGATGGGACCGTAGTCTCTGCACTTGCAGCACCAGGGGTAGGGACGGTCGGTCCTGTTCCCCAGCCACAGAGCAGTGTATCCAGAGGGGAGACAATCTGTTTCACCCTCCCACAACCAGGCTCCAACCAGGCTACTTCAGTGGTAGCGCTGGCACCCGGGCAGAGTACCGCTGGTCTCTGCCCACTCAGCAACCCACCAAGGCAGTCTACCAGCCCCCGCACAGCCGTGGTGAGGCACCTGGACATGGACAAGTTGCTATTTTATCCAGGTGTAGTAACCAGTTATTGTGGGTGGGCTGTATTGCTGTTTGTGCTTCGTGGGTGGGTTGCTGGACTAACCAGGGCACTGACCGGCAGGAGGTCAGATACCCTGTTAGTCTGGATGGTGAAGGGGACAAATGTGGCGAAACCGGCCTCGCCACGTGTCCTTGGAGGGGGCTGCTTGCCCGCCTCTTGCCTTTGGACTATGGACCAGACTTTATGTGAATGTGTTAACCCAGATAGCTATGCCATGGAGCCCATTCATGTAGTTAAAAACTTCGTCTCCATGGCAATTTAACTGTGTGAATAGGATCTGAGCGCTATTCGGTAGTTTTGTGCGATCAGATCCCAGCTATCTGGGGATATGTGACATGTCTGTGTTTTATGTATAAAATGTGACTTTGTGTATTTTATAATATTTTAATGCTTTGTGCTCACCATGTGCATAATGGAGTCTTGTGTCTGTCCTGGGAGATAACTGAATTACTCTCAATTATCTCCAGGATAGAAGACTTTGAAACTGGTTTGGGCCAGAAAGCCATGCTTCATTTAGTCACAAAGGACTTTCCCTTAA